TAGTGCTGATCGGCATATGCTTTTTGCGTATTTAATATACGTATAGAATTGTTGCGGTGTTGCCTTGTCATTAGGATAGATTAGTAAGAACAGAAGTAGCTAATATGGAGAATATCCATATTTGTAGTGCTAGATAAGATAAGTCATGCCTTAACGTGGATGTTGTTTGTGATAGTTCTTCGCATATTTGATATTGATTCTTATTGTGTGATAGATAGCAGTAAGATGATTCAAGTTCTAGTTGATGATAGTTGAATTAGACAACCTACAAGCTTCCATTAAAATTAAGTATCAGTAAGAGATTCAAAATATTTACTGATAGAAAAGCTATGTAAGGAACATCTCAGTTCGAGATGTTTCTCCTAGTAAGGTATAATAATAATACTGTTGTTGTTTACAAATTAGACGGTTCCTATATAAACGGGAACATTTGAGTTGAGTGGTGTGGTAAAAGTTGTAGATGTATCTTTGCTAATAAAAGTTTCATCTTCACGGTATTCGGCTGTGTGTGTTTAACGTTAAGTAAAAGGGGCGTTTAAGTCAGTAGCTACTTATAGACTTTTACTGTAAGTTACCTTATCGCAGAAGTGAAATTGTGACAAGTATGTTATGAGAAACGTATGCTTTTTGTATTATAATACGATACATGGTAAAGGCAACATCTCACTAATGTAACGAAGAAATTTCGAAAATGAATTCTTACGTAAATTATACTAACAAATTTTAGAAGATAATCTAACGATATTCCTTGTGGCTTAAACAACAGGACATTAATTTTTAGAATTCAGAAACAAGGTTGAAAGATTAATGATGAGTAGTGATTTAACTATCACTTTGTGGCTTACTATTTTGTAGTTATGAAGAAATTTGATTGGATTTCATATCAAACTATCTAACATTATCATTCATTAATTCTATCAAACTTTCGATACAATCATACAATATACGTGAATTATTTCATTTTTAATTCTTTGGTGAGCATGAATCTGATTTACTTTGTTTAAATGATAGTAATTAATAATTACTATTTATTTTTAAAGTTCAGATTCTGTAGTTACATCATGATCAATTATTGAAAGAAATATAGGGCCAATACACGGGTATAAAACAGAATATAAAATTAAAATCTTTAAAACCCTTACTGCAAAATTTGGAGATTATATTTTGGATCTTATACTCGTATATAGAGAAAATTTGGGGCAGTTACTCATACTGTGTAGCCAATATCGAAAGGTAAAGGCTGAGTTTATAATTTTTAAAGCCATTTTATACTAATGTGTTCGTAATAAACTTAAGTAATTCAGAATATCCAAAAGAAAGCTAATGCAACTTCTAAAATAAAGAATATCAAATAGCTGATTGCTTTAAATAATTCGAAAGGATTAATTTTACGCCGATAAGCATGTTGACTAATCTATCGCCGTAAAATTCTAATTGCAAATTAAGTAGACCGAATTTTGACTCAATTTTACAGCAGATAAGTCTACTACTCTAGTAAGCATATGTGAAATATCTACTATATGAGCAAATACCTAAAACAATTTACTTTATTTCTAGCATAAATTTGCTTACATAATTTATATTGAGTTAGTATCCATTTTCGTAAATATTCTTAGCTGTAAAAATTTCGAGCATAAACATGAACTACTAAAGTATATTCAGAAAATAAGACGGTAAAAGCATATACTGTATATAGTATGTTCCTAAACTGAGCAAATAACAATCATAGTAATATTGAAATAAATACTTTGATATATTCAAAGCAAAGTGTTGTGACGTAATGAAGATCAACTTAAAATATATTAGCATGTATAAGACTTGGCGTTAATTTATCTTTACTTAACAGCATGAATGGAAAATAAAGGAAATTTAATATAAATGAAAATTTTGCTTTTAAGACTTTAAATTACGGCTATTGGACTACCTAGCGCGCTGGGTATCTAAAGATTCATTTTTAAAATACTTGAACATATGTAATAGATTGTGTAAATTTATAATGGAAGCGATTATTTAAGACTTACTAATAATTATAATGAAATCGATATAAGGAATATATTAATGTTAATAGTTTAAATATAGTATGCAAAATCAAACTATTCCAAATCCTGTCCAATGAATGAGTTCTTTGGAATTAAAGGAAATATTCACGTTGTATTATACGATAGTTTCCAAGCATGATATATATTTCCTGTTCTTAACAACATCATCATAGCTCGGCAAGTTTTCCTGTAATATATTTATTCCTAAGACAGTAAAATAAAAAGTGACAGTTCCGTTACTCAACGTTGCATCTAAGTAATAGTATCAAATTTTTCATTTTTGTCAGTTACAGTAATTTTATTGTTGTTATAGCCCTTAATATTTCATCGTATAACTGCGATTTTGAATATTACCGAATCTAGACATCGACAGTAACAATGTCTTATTCAAAAATACACTAGATTTAATGCCATAAATTTATGGTTGGGCCGCTTGTTTTGTGTCACTAATACAGAATCGATAAGTAAACATTACTTTATCACGAATACAGTACTAGCTTACTACTAGTATTGAAATGGTTTGCTATGATTATAATTATACAGTCTTCAAAAAATTTTACAGAAACACTTCGATTTGATCTAGTTAATACGGTATGGGTAATTTACACGATAGACATTAATGTTTTATTCTAGAATTCCTCGTCTGCTACAGCGTAATACATAGAGTAAGTTATAGTTTAATACTGTAGTTTGAGGACGGAGCGTAGCAGAATAGCCTTATCATATATTTTTGAAATATACTTCTATCTATTAAGTCTGTGATATGTGGTTAAGAGTTAAGGTTGCTATTTTGTTCTGTTGATAAAATTAGTAAGTAAAATTCTTATTTGAAAATACGGATACGAAATCAGATTAGGTTAATATGTAAAATATCTAATCTCATTATCATATAGAAATACCATAGCATAGAAATAAGATATCCTCATTATTAATTTGTATTATAAATATTCTTTCCCGCTAGGCATCTGTAATGTAACTTAGTATTGTGATTGTAGACTGTTAGCCATGTGTAGTATAATGTACGGTAGATATTTATCCTAAGAGATATTTGGTAGCTGTAACTATAGACTGTAGTGGTAGAGACTCTATGCTAGAGTACAGATGACTATATACAGTAAGCTGTTGAGTTACTAATATGGCTATAGGTAAAAATAGAACTGTAAATCATATATTAGGATATGGTTAATTCATTGTACTTTGGCTGGTGTGAATAATGTCTACGTAAGTACTGTAGTCGTATCCATATTGGATTAATGATGGTCCGCAGTAGAATAGTCTTACTAAGAATAATTTAACTATGTGTAAAATAAGGTAAAAGGTTGCCATACGGATTGTAGCTGCGAATGCTACGAAAAGTATAAAAGCATGCAACTTTAGATTATTCTGTTAGTTCGTTGTAGAAGTCTTTAGAAGTAGTATTCGGCTAGAGTAGAGCTGTGTAGTTAATCTTTGTATAAGATTCAATAAAGCCCTTATTTTTCTAAAATTTGGAATTTCGTGATTGGTATATATCACAGCATCCTACATTGTAAAAGCCGTCTTTATGGATTTACTTTGTTAGTTATGCTAATTACAGGGTAAGCTTATCCGCTTTACCTATTCTACTTTGCTATAGTTATTCGACAAGTTCATATCATTATACGTACAATAACACCGTTTTTCTCCTAATACTAGCTGCAATAAAGACTACTATTTCATTAAGTTATTCCTTATAGTTTCTTGTGAATATTGCAAACTCTAAATCGTCCGAAACATACACAGTTACTAAGATAATTACTTTTGCAGCCATTCTTTCTATGTATACGTCTATCATAGATTATGAACTTGCAACATTTAAAAGACTTTTCTAATAATTTTTGAGTCTTAATAGTGTAGTTTACTTTTTGCTTATGAGTTTATCATCACTTCAAACGACTAGCTATCTTGATATTCTGAACATTACATCATTTAAAATGGTTGATTATTCTTAGTAAAAGATTTAAATATTTGAATCACGAAAATAACCAGTATTACATCAGCAAACATCCTACAGTATTCGATACTGCAAGTGTGCTAATAATCTGGTGTGCCATAAACGTTTGACTTTCGCTATTAGAAATAGTATAATCATTATTATGCGGATTAAATGATCTTAACCTGTTGAAGTGCCGCCTTCTATCGTAGTTTGTGACTGAAAATCTTCGACTGGGTCCGAATATGACCATAAATATCTTCGTCTTCTCCTACTAGTCCGACTCCGAATGCATATAATAACAATGAAAGCTATGAAAATGAGTGCCACGCTAATTGAAGGTATTAGAATGACACTGTAGAATTTCGTAAGTGACTCTGCATTTTCAGTCTGATGGTTATCTCTGTTATTTCCTTCACAGTCTGGTTTAACTTGATCTTTTCCATTATTATTAGTAGTAAGGTTATACTGTTTGGCTAGTAAATAAGAGCGAATAAAACGAATTATACCATCATAAGATAAGTAGGCATCAAATTTAAGCAATATCAATACATTATGAGATTAATGCGGGTTACCTAGACTTTGCCATGTTCTACATTTAACGTGAACAATCTTTCTATTACTGGTGCAAATCCCTCGATATCTCAAAGATGATATTTTACACTCATTTATCGCTGATTCAAATCCAGAACACGATATTTTGGATAACCAAAACGTTATATTGCTGTATTGCAAGTTGATACTGGCATCAGTTTCTATAATAAATAAAAACTTGTTGACCCTGATATTGCATAGGATGAAAACATGTACATAATTTCTAATTATTTTTGGTTAACTAATATGAATATAATTAACTGAGAATGTATTACATCATTCCGTAGTGCTACTTTCACTGTTATTAAAGTATCAAGTAAATAGAAGCTTTAGTTTATTCGATGATACGAGAGTAAAGCTATTGTTCTTTGCTTAAATAAATAAATGTTCTACACAAATTAAATCAACCATTAAGATTAAAAATGATCATCACCTTCAACCGGTAATGCTGCAATATATCCCAATTGACGGCAAACAACCGATGATTCAGAAAACGTCCAGCCATGAGCACAAATAGAGCCCCAAGTGCTATTAAACTGGATGTCAACACGGCCGATTCCACGATTAGAATTATTCCCAGATAATCGAACTCTCGTCTGAGATTTAATTTCTATGTAATTTATTCATAACACAACATAATAAGATACGAGTTGCATGTTTACTTAAATTAAATATTACAGTGGTTGCATAACAATAACTATAACATCTGTAATTATGTATTTGAACAGCTTCTAAGAAATCTATACCTGGCTGCAATAAAGTCGACAGAGTAGGTTGACCCTGTAAACATTTTGGAATAGGACAGTAAGCCCAGCCAATTCCACTTGTTGTAGTATTTCTAACATAACACCAAGGTGAAGTACGTTCACCATTCGGATTACGGCAGAAATTATCTTGGCCGAAAAAACTATTGCTTCGCCGATAGCTAGTTCTATTAGCAATATGCCAAGGCAGACATTTTTCTCCATCAATAGTAACATTAATAACGCCTTGATAAAGGCTGCCATTCCCAAAATAGCATGTTGGATCTATCCCCAAAAAAGTAAAATCATAGTCGTTAACTCATAATCTGTTTTAACTTTTTCCTTAATGTACCGTATAATACTTTAAATTGGTTGGTATAGTCGTAATTCTTTTCTTCAAAATGAACTATTCCTCTAACAAGTATTCATTCCATTGATATGGAACCCATACTAAATATACATCCTTATAATTCGCAAGACGAAAATATATTCTCATCAGAGGTAACAAATGCACTTACCAACGGGTCTCTTCGTATTAGCTGATCTGCTATGACGTTTTGAAGCCCTATAGTCTACTGTAAAAATCATCATATATCAGATCAATGATAGAATAGAAATTGATGATCAGTCGTTAACAGTGATGTGAACAATTCTGAAAATTTCTGTTTATATAGTAAAGTTCGATAATGTGTTCTATCAAGTAATAGAGTCTCATACAAGAGACAATAGTTTAGTGAAATGGAGCAATGATTGTGAATACACCATATGGGTACACTGTAGGTAAACGATCTTTGAACAGAATTACTGTAAAAATAATTTTCTGACGATATCGATCTACCACTACTAGTAGATAGTCGAGAGTCAATAGAACTAGATATTTTGTTACCTTTACCTTCATCTGCTTTCCTATATACATCTTTATTGATGAAATTGTTATTCAAACTAATTCCATTTAGTGAGTGCGGCCCATGACATTTAATTGATAAATTATGTCCCCGTTGATAAGCAAGTTTGAATAGATTCCACACCGATCCATTACATTCACTAACTTCACTTAGTATACTAAATTTTAAGAAAGATAGCTACTTCAATTTAAGATAGAACAACATATCATGTTTAATAAACTGATTAGCGAAAACCGACAGAGAAAAATAAGGCTAAGTTATCTAAATTTCACCGGGAACACACTAAACGGCTAAAGAGACCTAGTGTGTGATTTACAAACTAGATTGAAACTATGCTTATGAAAAAGTGAATAGCTAAAGAGAAATACAGAAACGATGATTCGATATTGAACATGGGTATCCGGATTCTATTTGACTAAAAAATAAAAGCTAAATAATGTATTGACAATGTTGCGGTAACTACATATTGGCTACATTTAGTTACATTATTTACAATGTACAAGTAGAATTTTTTGTTGTTTAGTAGTTGAAACGGCATCTTTACTTTGCGAGTGGTGATAGCAATATCGTCATGTACTGTACTATCAAGTTTAAAAATCTAATTTAGATTGCAAGTGACTTAAAGTCAAATCAAATTAAATTAGAAGAATATCCTTTCTGAAAGTCGATAATCGTGATTATTTAGTTCAATTAACAACTTTTACATGATCGGTTGGTCAATGGTATGATTTTTTACTGATTTAAGCACATTTATTCATGAATCATCTAGACGAAGACATTACAACATTTAATCTGTCATTAATACACGCTATGAATAAAATATGAATTTTATTTGATAAAATGAGCATCATTAAAAACGTCTAGGTTATACGGCAAGGCATCCAGTTAAAAAGTATTCAACTTACCTTTTGTCAAAATCTGAAGGCAGGCTATACAAAAGTAACGACAGATATCGAGATGGGCAAAAGATATATTTTCTCTTCCATATTAGACTATTCTTTAAATTCTGCTTATCTTCATATCGAATTGATAAATAGTCTATTAATTTTGAACTAGGATCATTTAAATAATTATTTAAAGTACGAGAGGAATATGCACTATAAATGAAAGTGAAGAAAACGATGCTTAGTAACCATAAATGGTGTCGAACCATCATCTTGATCGGACAATAACTACATGTACCGTACGGTGGCTGATCTATTTAGTCAAATAACTTATGTAATTAAATTTCAGTGCTAGTAGTCATTATAACTACTTTCAATCAGAAGATATCATGCAATACAACTTACTCGATAGAAAAATAACATATATTATCCTTTCAACTAATAACAATAAAAATTGCCTACAGAAAAAAAAACACATATTGAATCAATAATCATAATTCGCATGAGTTCATCAGTCTTATGTATGAGCGCATTGTCTTAATCTTTTTCAAATTCAATGCTTATTTCAACACCGGACGCCTATTAATCAACTATTGATCGGATGATTTCATACTGTGCTGAATAAATCGACTATCTATTATCCATTTAAATTTATTCGTTATCGTTGCTGTCGTATTAATAGTAGACAACATAATTCAATTGTTTAGACTAGGCAACTTTTGTCTTCTAGCCTGTGAACTGATAGTTTATTATAATCTATAATAGCCAGTCAACTACATAAAATTATGATATGGCTACAGTAAGAAACTTCAAAGGAATAAATTATTGCTCATCTAAAAAAAGGTATTAAAATTCCGATAAAAGGAGTTAACTAGAAACATGAAAGTAGTAGCGGCGTAGTATAAGACGAGATGACAAGAAATAACAATAAAAGCCCTAATCATGCTTCCAGAATTATTTATTGTGAAATTAAACTGAATTAAACTGCTAACAATGAAGGCCTGTAGTCTTATGCGATTAAATTTATTTCTAGTGCTGAGATATTACTTTAATAATGAATGGAGAATGACGAAAAATCTACGCCAATCAATTAGTAGATATCTTTTTACGTCAATAAGATATTAAGAAGGTGCAACGTGAATAGTTCTTGAAATTTGTCGTAAAAAAATACATGAGTTCATCTGTAAATACAATTTACGCTAATAACGTAATTCTCCCAATTTAACATCTGTAATGACATCTTACATTAGTAATCAAATAAGAATGTAAAGTCAATAAAAGTTGACCATAGAACAATATTAAAATTTCTTTCATTCAATGATATATCTAAATTGGCAGTCCTTGCTCCTAATTAGCCGCACTTAAAAGGGTTAGTATTTAATAACACTTTCATAAATCAATTCCTTCGCATTTTTCAGAATGCATTCTTAAGAATCCTCTTACTACCGAGTTTACCTATTAGATGCAAATTCAAGTAACTCCATCTATAGATGTATATAATGTCCATTTATTACTTTATCATTATGATTAGACTTAGAATCTTATCATTTGATTTTAAATTTAGTAAAAAAAACTAATTTGAGTGTAGTTCGTAAATCAAGGCACTAATAAAATTCTAGAAAAATTTCATGCAGCATGAGATACATGATAAATATGATACCAATAGTCCAGGATATGATAACTGCAATATTAAAATATCTTCATTTTTCTTCTATTTTGTAATATTAACGTGTTTACCCATATTAGTAAAATTAGCAATCATCTGAAAAGATGCAGTTAGTCTGCTCGCAGTTAAATAAACAAACGTTGCTATAAATGATAATTTATTTAATTCTTGTTGACCAGTATCGCAAAAGAACTTCTCAATCTCAAAATATATGTTGTAGCACAAAATTATTTTTATAAACATACATTCAGAGAAATGACCGCAAATTCAATCCTTTAATGATCATTTCTATTAAGTACAGTAGTTTGAACAAAACATACTGAAATAACATTAATTTAATAAATAGATAGATATAAATTTGTACGTTAAGAATTATTGTATCCCGAAAAGCAAATAATGTCCTAGTTTAGACAATGATAATGACTATTAGAATTTTCTAATATTTACAAAATTTTGAACTATAATACATTATTGTGTAATGGATCAGACTGCCATGCTAAGAATTTTAATCTGCTAAAGTGTAATATATCTACCGATTTCCCATTTATACGCCATATCTGAATACATAAGCTATATACAGTTGTAAATGTAAGCTTCCATTGAATAAAAGAAATCAATTTGCAATCCATGCTTCAAGAAGCCATAGTTATTACTACCGAAGAGATATCGCATTCGATTAGGCGTTCCTAATACGAAATTTCATACCAAAAGGTACGGTACGTACTTTAATTCAGAATTGTATAATTTTTACAGGTTTTAAATAAATACTTATGCAATTCGTAATATTGCATACCTGTAGTTATAAGGAGGTTGCATTTCTACTTTAGATGATATGCACAAGCCTTTAAAATAATTATATACACGTACGCATGTAATAATTTCACTTTTCTTGCTTTTGATTCAATCTGAAGGTTAAATATTCGATTTACTGACATAAGCTATATACATATGCTGCACCATCGTTTTTAGGTACTTCTCTTCATAACCATAAGAATAGCATTATGCTAAGCTGCAAATAGACTGTTTGATCATACCGTATTTAGCCGATCATTTCTTTTGAACCTTTTTCATAGTATCACAGGTTGTACGTATTTAAACATATATCGCCTTTACCTAAGGTATATTATACATGAAAGAGAATAAGTAGATTGCTTTGATAAAGTTAGTTACTGAACTTCATTAACGATATTTCATTGATGTACTTTCGTGCCCAATTTTGAACCATTTTATTGATAACTGAAGAGATCAGTGAAAAGATTGTTCATTTCAATTTGAGTAATGACATAACTAATAATAATGGCTAACATTGCACTGCAGTGATTAAATTGTTCCATATGTCATATTCAAGACATATGAGATTTTAATCGCCTCTAGGGCATAAATGAGTATTTCCCGATTATCATTTATATAGCCGTTAGCTACATTACATTAGCCGTAGGGAAGGTAAAATCTCTACGAGACTATTTGATCTACACATAATTGGGAAGTGAAATAAATATATAATCGATCTTCATCGGTTTTACCTGTATTTATCATGGCGAAGGATTATAAATTTCAACTTAATTAAGATTACAATTATATCACAGGAATGCTAAAACGGAGGTTTGATATCAAGCATCGTTCCATAAACTCTCTCATTTTAACAGTATTCGTATTGCTCTCTCAGTAAGAAAAATGTAATAGTATAATATAAGGTAGCATGCTACATATATATACATTTAAAGATAGTTGCCACTGAATACTGACGGTACTGTTCTATGCTGCAGCATAATTGGCACTGGGCACAGTCAGTAGAAAGTTTCTTATAATAAATTTGTAAGTCGTTACTAAATATCATACAGTAAGTATGCTAACCTACGCCGTCCTGTAAAAATGCGGTAGTACGTCATTCGCTTGACGGCCTTTAGCCCTAGTGTTCATTTTCTGCGATCTGCTTTATGACTGAACCATAGTACAGTATATAGTCAGGACACTTGTGTACGGTAGATAGGCAGTAAATAGACTTACGTATCAATTTATATTTTTTTTATTTATTTATGTTGAGGAATGGCATATTTTTTACATTTTGCTAATTCATGATAAAGTCTACACTTGTCATAGCCAAAAATACGTAGCAAAATGTATACTGTACCATGTACATGACGAGGATTCAAGATTACGAATTATGCTATTACTCGAATTAACTTGGCAGCACCACTGTGACTACATTTATCATTGTCATTTTTGACCTTTGTAATCTTAGCCATGGACTACTAGCAATTAGTAATAACGCTCTGCTTGTGCCACATTACTTGGCATACCATTGACATTTTACTGAATACTCTAACAGACAGACCACTTCATATCAGTTTTATGCATTTATTAGTCCACAACTGAAAAGTACGCGTATTTATCTACGCTACTGTATGTCTACAAGCCTCTCCCAATTTTTGAACGACCCTGAAGCAACCACGCCCTGATCCAACCTACCTGTCAACTTTTGTCTTGGATTAAAACGTTTAATAAATTTATTCAATAAGAATCGATTGTGGTAAACGAACTTATGACATGGTTGGAGTTGAAATTAATGGATAAACTGGCGTCAATTTCAAATTTTCACTATAGTAACCGGTAACGGGTGTTGATAGGAGTTCAGACTCCTCCGTGAGTCCATGACCACATCACAGGTGGAGATGATGACGTCATTGTACCTTGGTGTGTGACTGTGTGCTGTCCGTACTGTACAGTATATAGTACAGTAGGTTGTACTGTACTGTACTACACAGTACTGTACTGTACAGTACTGTACTGTACATTGCGCAGTGCAGCATGGAGTACAGTACTGTACTGTACTGTACGTACTGTACTGCAGACTGATTTTTGTCCGGGATTCCAGGATGTACTGTACTGTACTGTTACTCTGTGTTTATTATTTTGTTTTCAGAATCTTGTTCATAAATTTAACAGACTATATTAAGGAATACTAATATTAAGTACTGTATTATTCTGTATGTACCCGTAGGTAATAGTTTGGTAAATGTTGATGTCTTGCTTCTGTACTGTAAATCGACTGATACCAAATTTGTCTACTAATTTGGTCTTAGAATTGTGTTTTCATACTGTTCACTGTTCAGTATATTTTCAATCGTCGGGAATTCTATTTGAGCCATCTATTGTACTGTACTCAGTGTACTGTACTGTACAGTGTACAGTGCAGTCCACTACAGTACTGTACTGTACAAATTACAGGTTCTAGTACTGTAGTTGTTGTTTACTTCAACCAAAACTTCAACTATGAATCATCATACTGAACATTAGTGTAATTAAAAGAAAGGAAAGAAAACATGATAAAATCGAATCGAATTGACTACTACAGGCTGTCAACAGCACACTGTTTCACGTAACGTATAACCGCCTCTTGTTACAGTTTTGACATAGACACTATTAGACATTTAGACAGCACTTGACGCGCACAGTCCAGTAGACGGCATCATTGTCAAGTTAGCGCAAGCCCGGCTGAGACAATTTGCCTTTCAGAAACGAGCAAGTCTTCCGTCAACCTTGACTACCTGATCAGTGAATCTGACGTTGAATAAATACAAGCCAAACTGTGAATAGTGCCTTCTGGTAAGCATAATATGTACATCTTCTTATTGAAAAAGTTTCAAAAATCAATTCATCGATACAGGACGATAGACTTTCGATCCGGGAGTGACGATACGAATGGACAAATATCATCGACTAAACTTGAATCCGCCTGTTTTAGATAGATAATTGATTGATTTAGTGTGAGTTTCCTGATGTACAGTATACTGAACAAATATTCCCTTTGGATCATATCTTAAGATAGATCAACTTCTAGTATGATTCTAACACCGATTCAAAATTTTCAAATATTGCACTATATTTTGTTGACCATCAACTGCATTACACAGTCAGTACTATATTTTTTCAAGAGGATATGCAGTACATTGTTGCACATTGGCATGACCGTTTTACTTTAGTTGACAGATACTCAGAGAAAGATATTATTTTACTGTACAGTACAGTAAACGGATATTTTCAATACTATATAATGATTGGTAATTTACAGGGGAAAAATAGTAACATTCACGATTTTTTTTCGAAATAAAGAGGTGTTATTGGCGCTACTATTGTTGCACAGTTCATATCGGTAGCATGATAATTTCAAGTTTCGTCAAATGTGACCAAATTATTAATATGCGACCATGACATTTCCGCCCTTAGCTCATCAATTAGATAGCTATCGTGTAGGACTGGTTGTTATTGAACAATTTAATTCTTAAGTGAACGCAGTTACGGAAATATTTATTTTGTATTGTGCTAATACAGCATTATACTGTACTGAATATTGTACGTGTGCAAGAGTAGATGATTTATAAAACGCTGTACTGGAAATGGATGAAAGGCACGATTTTTGATGGCATACAACTACGCGTCTGTCATTACTGTACGTACAGTTTTCATATTGTTTATGTTAGACTCGATCTAATTTTACGTTACTGTACTGTACTTGCTGCAACAAACTAGACAAGAGTGTTAACTTGCCAGGTGAAACTTTAACGTTCGAGGCTAAAACACACCGCAGTAACGCCTTCGACTAGGGATCACGTAAGCCCTTCCTAAATTAATTACACTACTTCAATGTGTCAATGCCGAGATAGCGGATGATTATAATCTCTCAAGATAATCCATATAAATCATAACATTACTGTCTCTTGGATACTTATTTCGTAGAAACCGAGATGTGTCGCAGAGATTGAATGATTTCTAGCGTATTAATTCCTTTAAATGCTGATTTTGTGTTCTCATTGTAATTTTCTTCCTATCAAACTGATTTACGAAACTTCACGTATTGCCGAAGCAAGACAGATGAATAAACGATCGAAAGCAAAATTTACATGCTGGCTAAACGTAGTGCAATAAGGATTTGTTAACATTTCGTATTTTCGAATAACTGTCATGTTTCCGTACGTTATTCAATTACGTAATGCTAGCATAATTTACGTTGCTTAAATAAGAGGCTTTCGACGGATACTCTTAACTGATATTCTGTGTGGCAATACTATGCTCGAATAAGTAGTTTCGGTCTATGGTGCATTCATTTCTAGGCTGTAGGATGCGTATTACGATCTTATTACTCTGGGTCAACCACATTGGACATGTTGGCAATTTAAATTGAAAAAAAATCACTCAGAAATAAGACCTGAATTGTTGCGCCGTAGACTTTTGACTGATAAGAATCTTCAGCTAGTTCAGCCTACATTCATTATTGCCTACAGTAGAAACAGATTACATACTTGTGAAACTGAATGCTTAGACACTGAATACGCTTATGTTAAAAGTTACTAAGCTTCTCTAGCATAATTTGACGGAAACATACTGTAGATTGATTCTTTGTTGTTTCTTTTTTTTGGTAGAAAATTTAAACGATAGTGCTGCTCTGTAATGGCTGTCTATCTAAGCCAATGGCTTAATAAAGCGATCGTTCTCTCCCTTTTGCTGTTATTTTACGCTGTGTTCTGCTTCGCTTTGGTAAGAAAGAATTTAAATGGCAATATTGACGTGTATGACACACTAAATTACGACACAACTCGTCTTCGAAAATCCAATCGCATCAAGAGATCGGTCGGCGACAGTCCTGTAAGCCTGAACTTTCGGGCTTTTGATCGTCACTTTAAACTTCGCTTAGAACCTGACAATGGACTATTTACGAACGATTTTATTGTTGAATCATCCGGAAAACCGTATATGTTCGACCGAAGTATCGTAATGAAAGGCAAACTAGCTGATGAGTCAGATTCTGAAGTTTACGGTACAATAGTGGATGATAAGTTTCATGGAAAAATTATTTCCAACGGAGATGAATACTACGTAGAATCTAGTAAACCTTATTTCTCATCACCAGAGAAATTTCACTCTGTTATTTATCGAAAGTCTGATATAAGATTTAAACGATCACATCCTATCAGCGGGTGTGGAATTGACCAAGAAGTAGCAAAGAAAATAGAAGAAGTCAGGCAAATGAAACGTCCGTTAAATGCGCGTAAAAATTCCGAAGAAAATATACAACGTGGTTCCCGCGAATTGCCGACTCAAAACACCTGCCAGTTGTTAGTGCAAGCTGATCATACGTTTACTAAGTATTACGATAATAATATTGAAACAGCGACTGGAGTTCTAAGTAATCTGGTTCAAAGTGCTACAAGAATGTATGCATCAACTGATTTTGATGGTGATGGCCTCGCAGATAATATTGGCTTTATTATCAAAAGAATAAAGATCAATACTACAGCAGATGCTTCTCAACCTAACAATCCTTTCGCTCCAGCTAACATTGGCGTATCCAAGTATCTAGATATAGCCTCACAAGCTAATCACAACGATTTTTGTCTGGCTGTGACTTTTGCTAATCGCGACTTCGAAAATGGAGTATTAGGGCTGGCTTGGGTAGCTGGCGCTGGTGGTGCTGGTGGTATTTGCGATCGATTTCAACCCTATAAAGGACAATCAATGAGTTTGAATTCAGCCATAGTTACTATTCTGAACTATGGATCTCACGTAAGCACAGCAGTGACAGAGGTTACTCTAGCACATGAGCTTGGTCATAATTTCGGATCTCAACATGACCCAACAACTAATCCAACTTGTGCTCCTGGTGGTTCTGTAGGTAACTTTATTATGTATCCAAAAGCAACGGCCGGTAATAAGGTTAATAACAAGAAATTTTCTAGCTGCAGCAAAAACTACATTAAGCCTATATTAAATAGTAGAGCTACGAACTCTGGCGGTTGTTTCCGCTCAAGAGAAGCAGCAATTTGTGGTAATGGGGTAGTTGAGGCAGGTGAAGCCTGTGACTGTGGCTATCGGCAGCGATGCAAAGATAGTTGTTGCAACGCGCCATATGAAAACTCTGCACTTACTCCGCCGGGATATAAGCCTTGTCAATTAGTCACTGGAAAAACATGTAGCCCATCTGCGGGACCGTGCTGCAATCCGGTAACCTGTAATTACCAACCGGCTGCTGGCAATGTTAGTTGCGCGAAGGCTGGAGAATGCAGCTTGGAAGCTTTCTGTGATGGAACTAATTATACTTGTCCAACCGCTGAGCCAAAGCCAGATATTCAGACTACATGCGCTAATGGTGTTAAGGTATGTAAGGAAGGGCAATGCGAAGGATCTATATGCGAAAAGTTCGGACAAGTTTCATGTACTTGCACAGTTACAACAGATTTGTGTAGCATTTGTTGCATGAATAAGACTAGCAAATGCGCTGTTGCCAGCTGGATTTCTGGAGTTAAGAATTTATCCCCGGGTACTCCATGTAATGCCTTCACTGGATATTGCGATGTATTCGGTAAATGTAGACAGGTTAACGAGGATGGTCCACTAAATAGACTTACGAATATTCTATTTTCTGCCGAAACTATCCAGAATTTGTTGGATTGGATAAAAAAGTATCCTTGGGCTGTAGCGTTAATTTGTCTTGGTGTTATTATGTTTATGGCGTTATTTATTAAAGCTTGTAGTGTACATACACCCAGTAGTAATCCAACCATGGTTAGGCACCGTCAGTTAACACTTCGTCGAAGTCGACGCTATCGCGATGACCAAGATCCGCAATTACAAAGACGTCTTCCGCCGTCTGGCCCTGGAGATGCTAGATACTTTAAGCAAGATCCTAGAGCTCCACAATCTAGTGATCATCAAGGTGCCAGCCATCACGGTAAGCACGGATATCAGGCGAAGGCTCAGTATCGCGATCGTACAGAATTACAGCATATAACAGCTATAAAACCTAAAGCATAAGGTTTCTGGATGGGGCGCACAATGCAAGTTTAGCTTTAACGCAACATTTATTTGCCACCTACAAAAAGAATGTCGGCCGTAGCGGTAAATTTATACGTAGCAAAATTGCATTCTATCTTTGGCAGGACAAAGTAAATTACGCTTGCCATCAACTGTTACTTTTATGCTTAAAATATAAATTTTATTAAAGCTTGTAATGGGAAATTACCACTATTAAAAATCTCAATACAAGTTTAGTATTTGTACAGTTTGTACCAACTATGCGTACAGTAATTGACAATTAACCAACAAAAATCAGTTTAATATTGGCTAGGTAAAGGGATCAACAAGATTTTATAATATTCAGCCTTTAAATAGTAGATTTATAGCTCGGATGATGAGTTAAGATCGTTTGATATGCAGTTGCGTACTGTCGAATTTACAATTGTCCCATTTGTACTGTACAAGTGTACATCTGTACCGTATTCAAGAAATCAACTGGCTTTTGAAGTTGTTTATAGCAATAAAAGAATTGTATATATATATACAATAGTTAATCGTTCATGATAGTTCGGTATAGTACAGTACAGTTATGCATTATTGAGCCATCTGCATGCGAGCATTTAGGGTTGTTCACGCAGTTCAGTACTATACAGTTTGGTAATGTAGCATTACGGCATATCAGCATTGATAAATTCAATACTAAGGCAAATGTTGAACCAATCCCAAATTTCGTTTTGTTCATTAAATTATTATAATTGTAACGATTACAGGGTGTCGAAATTTTAAGGTAGTAGCATTTTATTTTATTTAATTTATACTATCAGCTTGTAGGGAAAATACGTTATAATCATTGAATATTCAATTATGTATCGTAATAAGTGCGTTTCAGGATATTTTTGGATTTAGCCTTCAATAGATAGTGTACGTATACCATCTATTTTCTTTCATATGGTACTTATACAATTTTGTTTTCAAGTCTCAGGCTGAAAGTGGATGCTCAAAGTCGGAGCGCATGTGTAGATTGAAATTGTGAAAATCAGTTTCATTACTTTGTATGAATTTAGCTTTATATTTGTATCACTTCTTAAACAACTACACCTGCAAGCCTTTGAAGTGCAATAAAAATTACAAATATTGACAAGATAGACTGATTCGTTCCCCAGGAATAAATCCCTTGATGATATTTTTACAGTTAGTGTAGTCGGTGTATTACAGTACTGCAAGATGCATAGTCACACAGTGACCATGGTAAGAATATTCGATTTGGTGACATTCACTAATGTTTGTGAAATTGTGAGCATGTAAGTAAGCTTCCAAGCTGTAACTGCAATCGCCTGTCGACAACACTTTTAGAATCAATATGCCTAAAAATTTCCTATAACCAATTACTAGTTTAGAGTCGACAGTGATATATATATATAAAGTAAAAAGGACCAGTACAGTACGTGAAGTATGACAGGCGAGGAATCGACGAGCTGATCATAATAACGAAACATAGATTTCCATGATTAATTATGGACTGTGGTCATAGTACTGCATAGCTGAAACCATGATTTAACACAGTAGCAAATAGAAATAGCCATGGACTACTAAAAGAAGACATGGACCTAAACGTCTCGTAACCTAAGCGCATAGGGCCTATGATAAATGAGGGTTTGCTGATACCGCACATTGTCTAGTGTATCGTGTGCGAGTACAGGCACAGTAATATACAGTACAGTATTGTAGTGTAGGCATCGCGGCTATAGCCTCTGTTGGATGCAGAATGGTTCTGCCTTATTAATGTACAGTACTTTACTAATACATAAATTGGGATAAATATGAAAAGAATATTGAGTAGTCTGAGTAGTAGTAAAGTACTGTAAACGTACAGTGAGTTACTCTACCACTAAATACACAGTACAGTAGCAGATCTTTCAATCACCTCCATAGGACTGCTGCACATCCCTTCTTATCCTGCTAACTCATTTGTATTTAGAAGTCCATGACTGAACTATTGCAAGTGTCCAGTTCACACGAGAACAATAATAACACCAATCCAAGTAAAGCGTCCGAACGCTACCCATTTCCCTTGCAGCACTAAAAAATACATTCATTTCATTTCATTTTCTTATATTTTATTCAATGGTAAAATCTTCCGAAAAACGAAAATAAAAATGCTAAAAATTCAATAATTTTGGCAGAAGACCTAGACCAGGACAGGACTAATCACTCTTTGGACGGACAGACATTTTAGGCCTCATGGCCTTAAAATAGAGTGCTAAACACTGCATTATGACAATACTTTAGTATGTGCAGTAAAGGGTCGATTTAAAATTGGCTGATATTTTCTAAATTAAGTCATATTGCATTGAATCTTACTATCTGTTACAAATTTCTGCTTGGAAAAACTTTCATAAGATCGTAGACGCTATTTAAATTAGTACTAGTGATTTAGAAAACAGCCGTGGAAAATCTATACTAATAACGTAAGAAGTCATTTTTCGATATTGACAGGCTCATACAGTAAGGAAAGTCCGCCTGTCTGAGGCGGTGATCAGTCCGGGTCTTCTTCTAGTAATGCCTACCCATACACACTTATTGGACAGTTGTGCAGGACACGAGCGAGACTCGTACTCTTTGGTGCCTGGCACGGTATACTAGTCACTGTGAAATAGCTCTCGGTACAATACAGATACTGTACTTGTACAGTGTACACTTGTACAGTATATTGTACAAGACAGCTATGCACATTGTCAAGAAATGATTGCGACTGCTGATTGTCGAAGGTAGACCACCACCATGAACCAACCACCACCATAGCAAGTTAAATCAGGGACTTCTCCATGGAAAATCCATTTATAAAAATGGATTTTTTATGGAGAAGTCCATGGTTCAACGGTCTTGTTTCATTCAAACGTCGTGTAAAGAGTGTGTACTATATATACAGTGTACACAGTACCTATTCGATATAGCGAAATGACCATCCAAAATTTGGATAGTACTTGCTAGTTGCTATATTCAAAATGATCAATTATGATGAAAAGGTTGACCGTCCGTCCCTCCATGGTTTCTCTTTTAGTTGTCCTGATACGGTACGGTACGGTACGGTACAACCTAGACTGTACTTCCGTCGGTGCTGGTGAAGTCCAAATTTCCGGTCAAATGAGTACAAACTGATAGCCCAGCGTTAGCTAAATTGACTTTAACATACCTTGCGTTGCAAATCAAGCTTTCTCATCAAATCCGCTCGGCCGGTTATCAAATTCAAGGAAATCTGTGCAACACTTGGCTGTATTATCTTGCAATATAGAAAGCATCATAGTCATTACTAATCCCTAGCGTTAAATAGCTATCTTGTGTAATAAGTGATCCACATATACAGTACTTATGATCCAGTAATAGTTGATTTATCAAGTACTTTCGATAAGACTTTCGCCCTCCTTTTCAATTGTGTACAGTATTACTATTGCTTCGTGTAAACTTTAAAACTACGTTGGTCAACGATGATTTGCATATTTGCATAAAATGAGAAAGATGATACGCCACTTTGTTGTTATTCTAGCAGTTCTACTTGCCAATCTAACTGGCAAATATTGTAACAAGTTTAGTATTACGAATGATGCATTGGATAGAAATTCACAACATCAACGATGCCAAAATCATGGTAATCAAGTTTTACTGTGTGATACCTTGGATGCTGCATTACGGAAGAAGAATGAATGGACTGGGTTTAATCAAATGTAAGTGATGTTCACTCTTCTCTCTTCAGTAGTCTTCCTGCTTATGTTTGAATTTCATTATATAGTTCTATTTCGTCTATTGATAACTTTTACGCGCTAGCTATACTGTCTTATCAGCGATAACGGCACATTTCCTTTCTTCAACCGTACTATATCTTAATACTGTACACGTAATATCATCATAACAATGAACAAATCATGTTTTTAAACAAGTGAAACTAAGACTGCTACAACTTTACAGCTAATTCAATCATTTGATGACTTTTTGGCATCATCAATCTTGTTTTCTGATTTAATTCCAATCAGTTAATGTGTACAGTATGTGAAAATGGACAACAAATCATGAATGATAGTACAATAACATCGACTTTATGTACAGTATACCGGAATAGTTGACATGAACTGTGTTATTAGATTGTCATCGAGTAAAAATGTCTTGCTCTTACAAGCGTAACGCGTTATTTATTCTTTCAAAATCTTATCAAGGCAGCATCTTACATCTAGTAAAATGCGTTCATGATGTCAAATCTGCTTTTATCCTAGATAGTCAAATAAGTACCCTTCAATTTCCACAGGTGTATTACTCTACTAGATCTTAGATCTTGTACAGGTTATTACAGTATGTATCTGCCATTCTTTCTGCCGGTTGGCACTTACGACTTGGTGCTAAGTTATCTGTAGCAGTTTATTAATGTATAGTCCACATAGAAGTAATTGGTTATGAGCTGGCTATCCTGAAACTCCTGTCATAGTGCAAGCATTGTAATGCAATTTTGCAGAATATAACGTGCTTTGGTGTATCCTGCACTCGAATGATTTTATTTCTTTGCAAACGCGGTTACTGCGAAAGCCATCAAGAAGAATTGCGCTTCTTCATGCAGTACTATACTCGGTACAGTATACCGGTATTAGTGCCAGTAAAACATACCTGATTGAAATATTGTCGAGTTTTAAATTGTTCTCCAATATCACATGAAAGACTGCTCGAATTCGATGTATTCAAATCGCCTTCCGTTTCATTCATTTACTTTTTGTTTTACTGCTGACTACACAAAAACGAAAAACCTCTTTTAACCTTCCACTTGATTTTCGCACTCTTAGATCTCTATATCACACGTTGCTACCACTATTTTGATCAGGTTCTCGGTTTGTTTATGCAATATTATTATTAATGATCCTATATACTAGCGTACAATTTTCCTCACAACGATGTCTGCGTGAACAAAAATCTCAATGAGTAACGGTTTTGATATGTTTTAAGAAAAATGATTGCCTTCAGTATCTATAGCTTACAGATAAAGTAAAAGGTTTTCATGGTGCTAATTTAACATTATTACCGATTATTCTATAATTTCCAGTAGGCCATTCTATCTCATTTGTAGTCGCTAGTTTGTTTGTTAATAATAATCTTAGTTTAGAATGATTGAGCATGGTCTAAAATACTCAGGTTTTAGAATAGTCCTTGGTGAAATAAAATGTACAATAAAGTAGAGTCCGATGAAATGAAACTAGAAATTAATGCATTTCACAAACTGGCTCTAGTCTCATTTTCCTTTTCCGTATACTTGAAAAGGTTGGCTCAGTGACACTATTTGTTATCAAAAGTTAGCAACGTAAAATTACTTACAAAATACTATACAAAGACTCAAACAACAATAACATAAGATTATTAGATATACCCATTTCTTTTCATAATTACTAGCATTATAAGCACATTATGTAAATGCTGTCATCATCGTAAACAAATCTTAAATTCAAATTCTTTATTATGGTTGCTTATTGACAGTAACATACTTGTCTGATCCCTAACGTAATACCATGATAAAGGTAACTTGAATTGAAGACGAGCTTTCGCTGAGCAATGAAAAAAAGTCATTACTTAATGCATGTCATGCATACCGAACACATCAAAATTTTCAAGACAGATATTTCAATTTACTATTAATGTATACCATAAATCACATGATGCTATCAGTAGTTTGGATTTATATTCAGATAACTCCGAGATTCAAATTCAGTGATTTGCTAAGCTGATAGTTATCGTAATATTTATCTTTTAATGTTTTAAATATTCTTGGCTAAGAATAAATCATTTCTAACTGACATAGAATATTAAAAGATACCACGTTGGATTGCCACGATTGCAAATTACAACGGATAGTCGAGTGGAAAAATCAGCCGTCTCACTCATTAATTGGAAGATGTAGATTATCGGAAAATCAACTATTAAACTTGCAGTTATTGAGAAAGTCTGATCTGCGTTGTAGAAAGATTGATTCAGGTTGGCAAGCAATATGACATGATTAATAATTTCTTTCACACAATATCTCCCATGTAAAATTGACGTTACTTGTTTATTGCATTAGGATAGTAAAACAAATTAGATTTTACAGTGCATCGTTTGGCTCTTTCAGCTTTTGATGATTTTGTACAAATATAAATTACTTTGAAAGAAGATTTCGGTTATAACATTTCGTTGTAGCTTTCAGCTTCCTTCCTATAAAAATTATTAATATTTTATTCTAATGTCTCGTTCTACTAATAGAAGATTACCTGAGATTGCATCGATCCAAAAGAGCAGGTTTGGCTTTAATATGCATATCATGTACAATTGAAATTGATTAATATATTGTGCCAGTAAAAGATACGATCGCACATGCTTGCGACACAATGGAAAGAAAACCTTGAACTGCAGTAATTGTCTTGTCTTCCACATAAATAATTAGCTGGTATGCGGTTTTAGTGACAGTAGATATAAAGTGTTATGCCTATTTCTGATAGCCTATGTAATGCTATATTGATAGCTACTCAAATTTAAACATCTAACCTAATTACTCTTCGTACAGTAAACATCTTCTTTTTCTGGAAATAGAAACCGCGTGATAGCCACATTCGATATACGAGTGTATTCTTAACTATGAACTCTATTAAGTTATTCTTAATCATTTATTACTATTTAGGTACCATCGCTGCTGCTTGCGATTTCCGCTCAAATTTTTGTAAATTCAGTCAAGAAAAGAGTAGCGACGATCTTGACTGGGCTAGGGTATCTGGGACAAAACACGATGGAACTACAGGTCCTATATTTTATTATAATTCTATGTCGCAACTTAAAAATAATTTTATACTGTAGTAATCTTTTAATATCTTGCATCGTATTTATTTTTATTCTAATTTCTATTTAGGCCATTACGCTTACCTTGCTAGTTCTCAATCTCTTAGCAATCATTTCGCTCAACTGCTTTCTCCTGTCGTAGAATTGCCGAATAATGTCCAAGAATTTCGAGTTAGTTTTTAGGCTAATCTCTCATATTTTACACACTTTCTCAAATTCTCAACTGTAGAATTGCTAGCTTAATAAAATTTATATTAAAATTTTAGAATTATCACTCATGCTGAACTAAGAATTTAGTGATACAGCTTTGGATGCTTCAGTAACATATTAGAAATCGTTTAAATGGATTTAATTTATTATTATATAAATTATGAGGCTTTGTCGAAAGTATAACGATCCAACTACATTAGATAGCATTATATCTTTAAAATACGATAATGCTAATCTTAAAATTTATACGGCTTTCGAATCTTATAAAAGCAATTTCTTTACGTATTACGCTATACACGTATGTGGTAGAGTCACTACTGTTATGTTTTCACCATCATATATTTTAATGATCACATGATAAACGTACGCGTATACGTATGTGTCAGTTCATTATCGATTTCTTTGTAGAGTAGATTATTTGGAACCTCTAACATGATTCGTGTCATCTTTTTTATGGAATTTATTCAGGTTTTAATGTATTTTAAGCTTTACGGAAGTGGCGTTGATGAATTAGCTATATTCTCAGGCCTGTACACTAATCAATATAAAGATGTTTGGTTAACAACTACGAAATCAAGTGCAAGTAGTTGGCGTAAAGCTGATTTCCATTTTACGCCGCGACAACGCAGAACTCGAGTATGATTTTTATTACTAAATTTTGTAGGAGCCCTAAGTGTATTAAGCATAAATACTTAAAGCAAGTTAAGCTAACTTATGCATTAGTCAATAAATGTAGAAACTCTCATGCTCACTAGTGATAATTGTTTTGGTCAATAGATTATTCTTGATGGTGTTTTGGGAAGAGGACATGGTGGGCAAATTGAAGTTGACTATATCTTAATTGCGCCGTACGGTAAGTTCGGAAATTTATCGAATTTTGAAACCTCAAATTCCTTTAACGAAAATTTTTTATTATCATAATAGAAGTAAATTGTTATACTGGTAATGGAGTTTACTATAGAGGTAGCATTACGAAAACGATTAGCGGCTACAATTGTCAGCAATGGAAGTCGAATTCCCCACATAATCATAGCTATTCACCTTCAAAATATCCAGATGATGACTTATCGTATAATTACTGTCGAAATCCTGGTGGAAAAAGCTCTAGGCCGTGGTGTTATACAACTAATTCACAGAAAGTATCGGAGTATTGCAATATTCCTTCTTGCTATGGAGGATCTACAACGAGTATGTACACATACAAATGCTGCTGATTGCCAGCAATTTATAACGTTTTCTTAGGAATGAAGTTCTTAATTATTATAAAATTATATTGAATTTGTAAAAATGCTGTGCCATGAAATTGGTATAATCGGCTGGGTCTACTAATATAAATAGGGCAATGTAGTCATTATTTTAATTTGTAAGCCTTCCTATATATTGGCCACTACAATTAATTATTGGTTAATGTGCTAGGATTTTATGTACTGCACATCCTTTAGAATGATCGGTAGTATCTACATTCTTTACTGTAGAATTTTTGAAGCTGTTCTAGTTAGGTATTCCTAAGTTCCTGGATTATTTAAATGAAAGAACTAAAAAACAAACAATCCTACATCATCTACTAGAGCTAAAGCACACTTATTTTAAATATTTGGCCCCAATTAAATAGAAAGTCTTATGTTTATCTTAAAATAAATGTTTGCTAAATAATGTTATCGTTTAAAGTTTTATTTCTTTAAATGCATTTTAATCGTTTTAATTATGTTTTCCTTTAGCTTCCTATCCTTTACGTACTACTACGAAATCTCTAGGAACTCAAATGCAAATAACAGAGTCGGTTCAGTTATCCAATTACTTGTCCGGTGTCGTAGAAATTAAAGCACATGGAGTTTGGGGTTATATGTGTGCGGAAAATCTTAGTAATAATACAGCAAACGTTCTTTGTCGCCAAATGGGATATTATGTATCATCTCGTCACTATCCTGGTAAAGCGTATAGAGCATAGGCTTTCTAATTTTTTTTATTTTTTATCTCAATTGAGATTATTACTTTATAAATAATCTAGGTTCTCCACTCAATCCTCAAAGTAGCTATCAAGTAGCGTCATACAACTGCACTGGTTTAGAATCATCAATAGAACATTGCCCAAGCTTGCGTAATACTAATGGTAGCTACATTTGTAATAACCCGCAATCTGTGGCTGTTGTTGCATGTGAACAATCAAGTGGGAATACCACTTCTTGCAAATTTGATAAGGGCTTTTGCGGCTGGTCTCAGCCGCAAAGAAATCTGAGGATGGATTGGACTTGGCAAAGCAACTATATTTTTCCTGGTACAAACTTTAAAAAAAGTGGTATGTTAAGATTTCTTTCATCGATTTTGGTGTGTTAATTCTCTTTGAAATTTACCTGCAATTTTTATCCTACAAATTACATTAAAAGTCATTGCGTTTGATTTATAGACCCAAGTATAGTTGTATCGACAAGGAATGGCTTTTACCTTGACAAAGCTATCCTTCGTAGCCCTCAACAAAGTTTCCAAAGTTCGATCGTTACGGTAACTAATATTGACTATTGGGTAGTACTATTAGCAGCATAAATATTATTACGGAAATACGTGCAATAATGAAAACTGTAGTAACGTGGTTAAAGAACTATGATATTTGGAAGTAATTAGAGTCCTTCAAGAATTATAAGTAGCTTATGTATAACTGTTGAATATATATTTGAGTAAGTAATTTAGTTTCTCCCATGATTTCGTAGATAAGATTTAAATATTACCTATCAAGTAGCGGAAGTGTTCTTACCCTCAAGGTTGATGAAAACAACAAAATAATTAAGAAAATGAGTCATGATACCAACGGTGCATGGATTTCCGTATATACGGAAGTACTGCCCTCAGTAAAAACATTTACGGTATGATAAATCACAAAATGTTTAATTTATCTTAAATTTTAAAGCGAAGTATTCATACAAAATTAATTACTTTAGTAATTTTGGCTAATTTTCTATGCATAATGCAACAATATTCACAATTTAGATTAGCTTCGTTGTTATGAAAACGTCTTCTGAAAGTGTGATCGTAGGATTAGATGACATTTCTATTGTTGGTATTACACCAGGTGAGGAAAAGTAAAATTCATTTAGACACAGTGTAGGTCTTAGTACAGAAAAAATGATCAAATTTAAAACTGTGATGTAATCATATATTCGTCTTTTGAAAAGAGCCCTTTGTACGTAAGTGTATACGTGCAACTGTTGCAACTGCTTTGATACTAGGTTGCATCCTGTTGATGATCTGTCAAATTTGTAAGAAGAAACCGTTACGAACAATAGCAGGTAACGGCTGAATCAAATAGAATCTTCTTTGTGAGTTATGCCACCATTTCTAAGTTGGCACTATTTCTATGATAATTACAGACGAGAACCCGCCTACCTACGATCAGATTGTACCACCTGAAGACGAAAGTCCCACTGAACATGATATCATTCCCGACGAATTGACTACAAATAGAATCAATGATAATATGGAACGAGAACAAGTTCGTTCATGTCCCAGAAATGGAACAGCAGATAGGTCTATAATATCTCCTAATACTGTAAGATCTAGGGAAAGTTTGACCGCGGAAGTTTGAAATTAAAGTGTTTTCGAACGTCAATTACATCCAATCATAATGGAAGAGACATTTTAGAAACCAACTACTGCTAAAATTTTCAGATCAAACATTAAAGTATTACTTGCAGCTTAATCACCGCTTGTAACTTTCTTCTGGTCTTCTAAAATTGTCGATAATATCCTAAATAATTTAAGATTTCACGATACTTAATTTGTTTACGTCAACTTAATAATTCATTTATCCTTTGAATGTATTTCTAAAGATTAACAATGCCTAATAAGCAATACTTTTAAAATATATAATATGATATACGTATCTTGCGTTTATATCTTTGCGTTTCTAATATCGCAATATTGGGGGTTTAGGGATATGAATTTTTGTGTTATGAACATTAGTTAAATAGTAAAATGACGCCTCTGATAAAAAATCTAGCTGGTATTATAGCATACGTATTCATTTTGATAGTTCCTTTAGCGAAGCAGTCTGACATCCAGCGATCGACAATAATAAAATTAATATGCTGTTGATTAATATGTTATGGCTTTACGCTTATATTTATTCATTCATTAATACCTCCAGCGCATTACTTCAAGCTTAGGCGACAAGTTTGTTGTTATTGAGACGTTTCGTTTTTTTGAGCTTGTCTGACTTTAAAAACTAATTCATTTATCTATTGTGTGACAACACTTTATTGTTTACTGATATCTTTAAGGTATGAACGGCCGCTGTTTTCTTATTTTGCATTGCAGACATTATAAATGTCGAGATATCATTCCGTTATGATATGTAGGCAGATACTAAGGGTTGGCTATATCATGCATCTGTAATAAGGATTTTTGTAAATATTAAAATCTATAATTAATATATAATTTATAGATATAATTGCAGCTCACTTTTTCACGGTTCAGTATAGAATATATCTAAAAGTATCGTTTTCTTGCTATTTTACAATTGTTTAAGTTGATCCTTGTAGTATTTTAAATGTTCGGAATTAAGTTTAATGTAACGAATGTTTCTATTGAAGTTACATCCTAGATATCATAACATATTGACAATAAATAATTAAATTACTTTCTTTAGTGCCGGATAACTCCAAACTTTTATAACCGAAATATAATACGTTTAGCATTTAAGTACTGTAATTAGCTTTTATAGAGTTATTTTAGTTCCAATTTTGCCTATTAAATTTTTAAATTATAGAAATGCCTGACATAATTCTGAATTGAAAAGTTAAATATCATAAAATTTCACAAACTCTAGTACGTAATAAATAAGAAAATGTATCATACTTCAACAATAGTAATCGATTATTCTATAGGTGACATACACCGATGCAATGCTTTTGCTAGCCAGAAATTTAATTTATATTTCGATAAGAAATTCAAGCAGGATAGATTTATAGTTACCTGTCTTGAACACATTATGAATAATTATGTTAGCTAATAGCCCTCAAAACTTATGTCAATAGTGATGCATTCCATATTTGATTATAAGGATAGCTTTATTTGTTTGTGTTAACAGCTATATTTGATATAGTTAGGTTACTAAGAGTAGATGTTATCGTGAAGCTAATATTAGATGATTGATAACTACTATATTAGAAATTCTTGATGACTGATATTAGCCGGCTGACTAATTATAATACCAGATTCATGTGACTAGAAACATAGTAATTGTGAAGATATCCAACACCGAAAGGTGATGGACATTAATAGAAGAGTAGTGATGTCTTAAGCAGAATCATTCAGATTGTAGAAGATAATGATGTTCTACTTGAGAAAAAATGTTCTGTTTGATGACTCAGGTCTGATTGTAGATTAGTTAAGTTGTCGTAAATGGATTTAGCGAAAAGCATTTCAGAACTGCAGAGATGAGCTCAAAGAGACAAAAGAGATTTCACTTCGCTTTGAGCTCAGAATACTTTAGATTATAGACTAGATTCTTGTAGTGATTAATTATAGCTCTACTATTACTAAAACCTTGTAATAGAAGCGGTTTAGAAAATATCATTTGACTAAAACATTTATTGTATGACACTTTTATTACAATGCGGCTTAAAAATTCAGGTCATACTTTACATACAGTAGCTCATAAATCAGTAAACGTACGGCAATAACTAAATATATTACAGAATATAGTCTAAATTGAGCTGAATCCTTTATGAAATACCTCATCGTTAGCTTCAAAATTTCAATGTTATTTAATTAAAAGCTCAGACCATGCTTTATTTTACTTCCAGATTTTTAAGTTATAATTCTAGTGAAAACGCAATAGAAACCAGAATATCACAAAATATTTTCAGAGCTATCTTAAAATATTTGCAAATAGGCATAAAATTGCCAATAGATTGCAGAATACCGGTGCATTAAATATATTACATTCATATAATGAAAGAACTTATGAAAGCTATCTTCGATTTCTTGAAAAATGTGGCGCCAGTCAAGGATCATACATGCTAAAGAATGATTACATTATAGCTTAACTATCTTGTAGATCATAGAAAGCATTTCTAAAAACCGCAGATTGTCAGATACAAATAATTATATTAGACTAGACTTGTTAGTATTTTTAAAGAGATTTAAGTTATGCCTTGAGTATTTTATGGATCTGTCACGTTCTGTGATAGTTACATAATTAGTATGTTACCTTCTTTCTATATATGGTTAAATATCACGATGTTGTCACGTCATGCGTATATAGATGTAGTTATGGTACTATATTAAGGTTATATATATATGTATTCTCATGTTGCCATACTCGGTATGATATTCTATTTGTAATGTCTAAACTAGGGAAACCTTTCTGTTAGTAATGATCTTGTGATCTACGCCAGTAGATCAAAGGTCACAATAAAGAAAGTATATAAACTCATAATTTTAACAGTAAAGTTAGTTCTTCAACTTAATTACTGGGTCTCCTTGCTGAGTGCAGATCTAGTACTTATTACAAAATTTGGAAGTTGTAACAGGATCATAAAATATCATTTGGCGTATAGCATTATAGAATATCTACTAGAGCTGTCTTAAATCTTAGAAGACGATTATGCTAGTCAAGAACCAGCAACATTGTTAAAAGAACTACCGAGCAGTTCATATCTCGTGTGGTCTCCGTGTCCGCAATAATAGTTGCAATACCTCTAACAGCGGGTTTACTTCTTCATAGACCATCAAGAACTCTCTACATGTAGCCCTACTAGCCTATAACCGTTATTGCTGCTAATGATTCACAACACACTTTCTATGGGTTAGATATTCATAATTTAATGGTTGTATTTTTACAGTATAAGACTATGTCAGTCAAGAATTAGTAATATTATTAAATAGCATATTTGGCGAATTTGTATAATTCAGTGAGGGTAGAATATTTGCCACAGAAATTTAACTACTTAACAATAAAGACAAGGCTGCAGACCTGCAAACTGAAGTTTATAATACATTAATTGAGATTATTTATAAATTATTATATTTTAGATGTTTCGCCAGAAGTATTGAAGTTGCGATTATGCAGATTTTTAATTGGTGAAGCTATTGCAGAAATTCGTTTACAAGATGCGCCTCCATTCCCTTTACGAATAGGTCTAGGCAAATCTAATGTTAATCGTCTTTGATAGCTTTTTTTCTTTATCACATGGGTCAGTGCTGCCAAAAGTAATACCATAATCACAACAGCGGTGCAAAAAATTGGTATAGCATAATTTACAGTCTTACGATTTTGGTTCAGAAGAGTGCGATTACGATCTGTTGCAGTGTCAGAAGATAGAAATATGATTAACATGCTGCTATGAATGAGCAGTACAGCAAATAATCGGTCACATTTAGGTATAAGTTACTCACAAATATCGCATCCAACTATTTCAATTCTGCTTAAACCTATGAATCCAGATAATTCCGGACCTTTGGCTACTTGTATTGATACCTACATGATCGAATTTATTAATTCAAGTCATTTATATTGCCTAACTTCAGTCCAAAAATAGATATGCTGTACAAGTTATAGTAATCTAGTAAAACAGAAACTTACATAAAATTTTTGGAATCGAGGCGTAAACATAATGGAGCTATAAAGCCAACGCTTCGTAGTCCTAGGATAAGAATACCATAGTGTATCGTGCTGATTTTCGACTGGGTAATAGACTTTAGTAGATAATAATGTCAGTGCAGGCTTAGCTGGTCTGACATCCATATAATACGATATTAATATCTAGATGAAAGATAAAAGGTTATAGTACAAGACATATTTAAGTGCATAACAATGCGCCCTTGAAAGTAGCTTTACTAATTTATATAAGCCTTGATCAATAATTTTAGTCCTCTTTGCATACCGTTGCTTTAGTCGATTGATACTTTGCAAGGAGAGGGCTCTGTAAAACTGCCTTATCACCTATATAACCATGATCTAATTGGACAAATACGTAAGGACCTATTCAAGTAAAGTTGCCCTTTTTTAGCTCTTGAGAAAGTAAATCGAAACTTAATTTCAATATTTACAGGTACACTGGTCATTTATTCCACCGTATAAAATAAAAGGAATGAATTTTTACTATTAATAAATATCCAAATATAAATATATACCCGATTTTAGATCATCCATGGTTTGAAATTTTCTCCATTTATTTTTCCAAATCCAGTTCATGGAATGGTGTTGTTGTACTTGATTCCAGTCGCATAAACCATTTAAGAAATCACAATATAAAGGATTTCCTAATATATCATGGTATTTAAAAAACATATGTTTATCTTCACTAGAATAAAGCACAGTTATCTAAAACACAGCCCTTTTTAAACTCTACTCATAATTGAAATCCAGAATATCAGTTTCATGCTTTACTTAATATTTAATTTAGACTAGGTACGGACATATACTCTTATGTCCTTGATAACAACCATACCTGCCGATTTTTGACACGTAACCATTGCTACAGAGGGATTGTTGGGATGATAGCAGTTATTTGCAAGATTATGATTTTGAGCAAGATCGGATCGACAATTCATAATGGAATCTTCACTGCCGATACAGTTTAGCTTGTAATAAAGTATCGCCCTTGAAATTACTTTATCAATTTTGGCTAGAAAAATTAAAATTCGAAGAAAGAAATCTGAAACAAGTTTCAATCTTCACTATATATTCTACAGATTATAGCAAGCAGAATTTAAAGCTTATTATTATCAATACATTGGCAAATAAATTTTCATCGGTTTTATTATAATCAAATTCAATAGATACTGGTACATGAATTTAATTATATAAATTCAACTACATAAAGCTTCTTATAGGGTTAGTTACGGAATTAATGGCTATTAAAACTGAAGATGACTAATTGAACATTTAATTTTATAGGTTGTGTAATGAGTATTCTCATCCACCAGTGAATTAGTAAGAAATTTAAATTAAATTATTACTTGTAAATTTCTGACCTTCTATAGATTTAGCTCCGACAAAACCTAATTCCCTACAAAAGACATCGGCGTCATTTTCTGTCCAACCAAGCGGACAAACAGAATGCCATCTTCCTTGATATAAAAACTGAGGCTGACCACTAACGGCTGACTTACCACCAGTAATTCGGATGCTCTGGTACATTGGAACTAATATAAAATATGGAGAAGATTTCCTCTTCTATCAGTGAGCTATATATTTTTGTATACTCACAATGGTCATTCTAAAAACTAATTTAAAAATTACAGTAATTTCTATTATCTAAAAATTAAATATTTCACATCTGGTATTATATTAACATAAGAGTAATTTACAGACTTGCAAACTCACACAATTTGTTACAGTCATAATAAAGATTATCTATGATTCTAATGATAGTTATTAAATATAAAAGATTAATTTCTAACTACGAAAATTTCATAATATTTTGATGAAACAGAGTAAAAATTTTAGATGTCATCGAACCTGGTGCTAGTGACCCTCGATTCTCGTTATATCCACAACAAATGCCGACACTGTTTTGCTGGCTACAGGACGATTGTAGCTTGCTATACTGGCATTGCAATAAATCGGTTTCATTACCAGAACATTGTAGATCTCGAGGCCATATCGGTTCTTTGCTCTGTCCAAATGCCGATCCATCTTGAAAAGAATTAAAAAGTCACAGCAATTTAATTAAATGGCTCCAATTGTAATTATTTGATATTAAACGGGAAGTTATCAATTTAGCTTTAATAATGTAAGTAGATGAGATTCAAACGCAATATCGAAATACGCGCACCATAAACAAAGGCCCTCCCTCGAAAATTTAGCTGTCGACAAGCAACATCAGCATTTCGAATACTCCAACGTTTACTAGCTGCCTCACCCGGATTGCAAACGGTCGCCCACTTGTTATTATACATAACTTCAAGTCTTCCACAGCTTATGCCACCATTCATAAGGCGTAATTTACTCGTATCTACAACGAACGGTTGCACTTTTAAATTAAATAGAATACTAATCCCAGCATTCTTGATAATTCATAATAATGCTATATTACAATTATAGGTACAAGATAGAAAACCCTTTACAGCGTAAAATACTTGTATGTACAGTGTATAACTGAATTCTCAAGAACGACTACATGTTAATTCTAGAGCTTTTGCAATTTATATAATAACTAAAGCGCATTAAGTTTTGACGTAGCTCAACTCTAATAGCATTATTTTTGTATTCCTTCAGTTGTAGATACAAATATAAAGCCTTCAGTATCGTTTGCCGTTATGAACGCAAGAAGCATAAATATAGACTCATTACTATTAAATGTAATATTAATAATATAACTTTGATTTCATGCTTACTCCCACTTTTCGCTATCCGAATTCGATATGAATTTCGTTTTCCTAACAAAACGAAGCAACAAATATCATCAAGCAAAATTATTTTCCAAGCGCTAAGTAACTCAAAATGCGATAGAAGAAGTAATCTAATTATGTAACATCTTTATTTGCTTAGATCATATTTTAATATAATCTTACTTAATTTTGAACATTTTGTACGATGGGAATTTAAAAATTCCTGCAAATGCAGTTCCTTTGATGTTGACATCAGTCTGCAGCTACCTTGCAGCGATATCCCATAGAAGTTTAATTTTGCAAGTCTGCTATAGACTTCACAATTGCACTCCCTTACATCTGGAATATGTCTATTCAGTAAGAGATAGTTATATTAGTATTTTTATATCATATTATGTCTCATAATAGCCTATATGGCGGTAAAAAGTATATTTTACATTTCAGTCACAATTTGTTATCAAATTTGATAAAAATGTTTCTACTTTAATTTCAATTTTAATTACTCAATAATATAATCGATTTGATATGCTATCTCTACAAACATTAAAAATACGTATACTTTTATCCTTAATCAAGATTGAATATCGTCCAGAAATAGTTTTGAGCATCGATTTCTATATTATCTAACATTAATTTGGCTACGAAATGTGAATAAAATATCATATAGCATAATAAAACTAAAGTGCGTTACATTGTAGTTATAGTAATGCCGATTAAACGACAATCTTATTTAGAATTTCTAACGCAATTACGAAGTCACTCTACTAATACTATGATGTGGGCCTTGCAAGTACAAGACGCCAAGCTACGTATGATTGTCATGCCTCATTTCGGGCCAATCATACGTCATCTACTCAGACGTGCCGGTACCATCTATCAAGGCGCCATGCAGTCCCACTTATTCGTTAACCGCACGACTAGCATCCTTAGTATTATCCACGAATAATCCGCTAGGCCTATTACACCTGATAGACAGCCACTAACACCGCTAATCTAATATCTTATTAACTCGGGCCTCAGCGTAGTCTAGCTTTCCTACAATACTCTAGACATTGTTACTATCCTCGTATGTTAGACTCATTTGAGTTACCTCGTTTTTAAATAACGCTAATTTTCGGCAAGATACTTGCCGAATTTAAGAAATCTTTACGGATATAGAAACTGTACGTGATAAGCTATATTTATGGTACTATTCTATAAGTAAAATTAAAATATAGATAGAAATATTTTAGAATTGAACTTAACGACATTAATCAATCTAATATTTAATCCGCTAGTATTTTAATAAGATGTTTTATTTTCCATGAATGTCTAATGATGGTAATTTTCTTGCATGTAAGGTACCCCAGCAATATAATCCAAATCATGGGCTACTAAAATCCCAGGATAATAAGCCCAAGCTGCAAAATTAGTAATTTCTTGTCATAAAACCATTTATTTATCAAGTAATGTCAAATTTCTTTAATTGCTATATTCTTCAAATCTATAAATCTTGAATCTTGCATGTTGCAGTAACAAATTTACATTATGAATAACTTAATCGTTATGATATCTACTGGCGGTTATCTGAAAATGATCACTAGCAAATACCTTTATTTTAGCATAAATAATATAAAATATAAAATAAAGTATAAATAAAGCATAAATGCACCATTTCCACATCATTATTCAAAAAATTAATGTGAAGTTCCTTCATTGCTAATTATTTCACTATATTTTATCAAATGCGAGAGGATTGGAGCTAAGCTCACTTTCCAGTTTATTATAGAACCGGTTTGAATGAAACCTACAGAAGCTAACTGAAACATTTATTGCTTGTCATTAATTCGGTAAATGGTTCATGAGCATTGCCAGAAATTATCAACGTAACTTACATGCTCTTAAATATTCCTATGTGGTGGTGAAATCCTGGGTGTAGTGATAAATATGAGCATTTTATCCGTAGCAATCCAGATTGGCATTGGCACCCAGTAGGACAAGACAGTACTTGAATTTTACCATGCTGAAATGAATTTTTAGCTGATGATATATCGATAGCGTTTATTGTCCAGAGAAAAGTTAGCATAAAGCCAATCCAGCAGATATTTCGATTAATCATCGCAACATTTAATAAAAACCATTTAAAATATATTAATTTATTATTCGTAGTGATTGGAAGGCGTGCAGTTCAGATATCACTAATGAATTATGATAAAGCTTAGTTATTTCGTAGATATTTTATTGAATGTTCAATCGATATTTGTGTTTTTGTTAATCTATCTACCAAGTAATAGCCTTTATGGTGGTTATTAGGAATCGTTATAACTATTTAGCAATGTTTATTTTCCGTTTGACAATTAAAATTATCAATATTATGAATACGCAACATCAAGTTCTTAATTGGTGAAATATCGACATAACTATCACTAGTTAAAGTGTTTTCCTTCCATTTCATACATTTCTATATTTGAACAAGACCCATATTTATTTATTTATAGGGCCACAGGAACCATATTTTAGCTCAATAATACACTTGGGTCGAGAGTAGAATAGATAGTACGCAGATAAGCATATCAATTTACTTTCTTTAAATACTAAATAGTAAATGTCGTAATATTAGCAGAATAAGCCAACATGTATTCTAAATCGATAAAACAACTGATTAGAGGGCCAAATCTTAAGTTAAAATACTACCATAAATCTATGATTAACGTAGAATATGTAATTATCTTATATTATATTCTTCTTAGTTTGACATTCCAAATGCCTCAGCAAATGCCATTGGAACATACTATTGCAGAATAAAATTATTAATAGCGAATTTATCTGTCGATGCAATTTATTAAAATTCATAGGCTAGCATATGGGCTTATCCTGCTTAAATCTTCGATTGAGGCAATAATGATTCACAAATAGGCTGCATACCTAATATTGGCTTAATCCTACGTACCGCCCATATTTAGTATGGTAGCTTTCCATCTCTTCCGTATCCTCATTTCCTACTGATATGTGGCAGTACTACGATTACTTCTAGCTGTGATAGCAAACTGTTGCAGTTTCCATACTATACTTTTCAATCTTGACTGGCTTAACAATTTTGTATACTTAATGCCGTATCTGAAATAAATATAAACTGATTGAATACGCTTACAAATAATTTTACTAAGCATAATATTTTGATATCAGTTTCTGAATATTTTGTCCGATACATTGCTAGATTATATACTTGAAGTAAATAATATTTCATGTCCGCTAATGAAAATATTTTTAATACTGGATTTGCAATATAATGCAGCATGAATTTAGATTACTCACGTAAAATATCGTTATAGCCTACATAGCTTAATCAATCCTTAGGATTGCTACTTAAATTAGAAATCGTTATCACCACAATTCAATTTTAACTTAAATGATTTGGGAGAACAATCTATGGTGGCAGATGACTCTATTTATAACCTACCCCTCAATTACTAATTTAGATCCGATGCCTAGAAATTATATGTTTACACTATTCTCAGTATACTCTCTCGGGTTCGGTTTGTTAATCATTGTTCACCTTATGTCACTAAATTTGATGATATATTCAGTAAGTACAAGCTGGTAGCATATTAGACATGTTGAGTTTTAGATAATAACGCAAAAATTAAAATATGAATTGAAATTTAACGCCTAAGTTATCTTATGGCAAATATCAAGATTCCTTCAATATTAACGGAACCTATCTCAACTTAAATCTTCCATATCTCAAAAATTTGACACAATGCTGAATTTAAAATGTCATTTATTAAGAAATTGTTTATAATATCGATAAGAAAGAAATCAATATTGTGTTAGAACTAAGGGTGCGTCATTGAAATGTATGTATTTTTGTAGGTATATACGTATAAGTTACAATATGTTACTATTAACAGATGCCATTATTGAACTCGTAAAACATCTTAAATTCGTATACAATACATGTCCAAGACATCTGGGTACAGAGGCGGAAGTAGATGGATAGATTTATAAACAGGAGACCAAGAAACATTTAATATTGCCTTGAGTAATCAATTTCTGTGTCTGTATGTCATTAGTAGTATACATTTCTCACATATTTACTAAATTTTGGAATATCTGCTTACTACAGCATAATTCAAGCATATTTTACTTTGTTTCCAATAATAGATTAGAGAGTAAAAGGTCATAACGATAACAAGACTTTCTAGTTTAACCATCGATTTGACGCAATACTAGTACAGGAATTATCACGAAGATAGAAAATAAGTGCAGTAAACTTTCTAATGGGTTAATTTAAATATTACTAATTTTCTTTTAGATAATATAATAGCAGATAAAGGTCTGCTAGTATCATTTCTATTACATAGAATAGCTAGGCGTTACGCACCAAAGATATTGCAAGATCCAGCAAACGATAAATTCTATTTTTATATGACAGATTGTAGATGGTAACCATGTCGTAACTTAATATTCTATTTTTTACATCTGTATTTCTGACGTAAGCATAAATAAATGGGCTTGCTCATTTTGTTCTATTCCAATGCATTTTAAGAATCGTAGCAAATCACTCGTTCAAATTAAATTAAATAAAATTGTGATAAACGTCAACTCATATTAGGTAAAATAATTTTTCAGACTCTACTTTTGCAATGAAAGCCTCTAGGTATCTAAAGCGATTAATACTATAGATTTCTACCCTTCATTTCACGACTTGAGAACAATTTAAGCCTTTTACAAAATATTTTAATAATGTGAACTTGATTACCTTGTTAACCTATGCATTTATTTCAACTTTAACCAAATATCCTTTCAACTTATACCATTCGCTATACGGTAACGAATCAATGCCCTATGGCTATTTTATAGAGATTTTGTGGCTGTTTGGCGATCGTTAAGTCTAGTTTTAATTGGAATTTTTTAGCTCCATCTCACTATTTCTAATGTTAAATACAATAGCTTGTAGTGTCGATATCTTCTATTGGTGAAGAAATAAGAAAATATTTTTATATTGCCGGTGTTGTGTATCTACTTGAGCCAATACAATCAACCGTATGTAAGATTCAGGTTTCTCCAGATTAGTCACTGACGCAAAGAACTGAGAATACGCAAAGCTCTATAAATTATAATTATTACCACTAATTCATTTATTGATTGAAAATATAGCGGCTTTTATACGTGCGCCGTCTGCACTTACAGTGTAAATATTGCATATTGTAATATCCACACTAACATGCAGAAGTGTAAATTGTAATTAAACATCGTAATTAATTCCATACTTATACAACGTAAGTTTTTTAGCATAGAACAGATTGTAGAATGTAGAAGCTATCGTATTCATCGTAGCCATAACCAAATAAGATTAGTAACAATTTACTGTAAGAAGAAAGCATTGTATATTCGTAACATACTAAATTTAGCAAGTATGGTATTAACATATCACAACCATATCATGAACATGGTAGACGAATAGCCTAAATGGCTTAAATGTACGTGTTAAGTTATTATTATGCTATCAAGATGTAACACACTGTAATATATCGCAGCAGGGACTAAGCAGTAACCAGTAATCTTCTAGACAAATATTGTTCACTTCTTAATCTATAAAGAGATATTTCAGATAATTACCACAATTATTCCTTTAGTTTATTTATTTAAATTTTTATTACCTTTCGTGATGAACTTGCTTGTCTATTTGGTTCGTGCAACTACGCATGCAATTTTACAAATAAAAAAATGTTGGCAAAGCAGTTTTTATTCTTATGTCATCTACTGATTGTAAAGCAGATCACGTTACCTTTATGATGATGAAAATTGTTACTTTAAATCAGTTTCTACTGTGAAGCATGTCTTTTTTCAATCAACAATAGTTAATTACTGCTAATGCTTAAAATATAATTATAGGCGTTGCTTTTGAATGACCTCAATGAAATTCAGTTTGCTACTCTTTTCACATAATTTAGGGTTGCTAATTATTTTATTCCGTTTTCAACGATCATCATCAGCTTGTAGTGAGCATTACAAACTGTTTACGTCTTTCAATTTAATTACTGTACAATATACATTCAATAATATCCATTAAATAATAACACGTAATCATATGCTCATTTTCCAATTGTTATGATAAAAGTGTCCGCGTCAGCATAAAAAAAAATATTGATAGGACAGCATTTTTAACAGAAAAGTTTTGAGATTGCGCAATTATAAATACCCGCTGAGACCGTTGTAGGATAGCAGAAAGCTGAACTCAAGTAGAAATATCATCCCTCGATATTTTCGATACGACAGTTTCAAGCAATTTTTCGAACTAGTGTAAACTGCAAGGCTTAATCAACTTTGGAGGATAAGTTATCATGAATGAAAAAGAACATATTGATCGATTATTTGACGAGCGAGGTAAAAATGATAAAAATTCTACTACCTTAGCTAACACTCTAGACAAAGATATCCAAACTGTTTTTAACAGTCCCGAGAAATTCGCTCTAGAATTACTACAAAACGCTGATGATGCTGCTATCGATAATCAACCTATACATGTTACATTCCAAATCAATCAACGATACTTAGCCTTTTCTCATACCGGTAGACATTTCGATTATCAAGATGTCGAAGCTATTTGTGATAACGCACAACAACAGTTTACACGGAAGAAAACCGATTTAAGCAAGACTGGCTTTAAAGGAATCGGATTTAAGTCTGTATTTGTAATATCGCATCGTGTCTATATTATATCTAGAAATTATTGTTTCCGATTTGATCGCGATTATGCAAAATGGCGTAATAACGATAGCGATAGATTTAGACGTTATCCTTGGCAAATTACGCCTATTTGGACACAGCAAAATCAATTACCGAAAGTATTTGAACTGAATAAGTCACATGTTACTTTCCTATTTCAACTAGTCGACGAAACTCGATCTGTGAATAATGTTGAAAAGGTATATAACGCACTTAAAATACTGATGCAAACACCTAATACTATCTTGTTCTTACGTAACATACAAGAAATTACAATTCGTCAACATAATCGTATCGATTCTATTCAATTAAGAAAGTTATTCGATACGTCTAATCAATACGAATTATATGTAAACGATACATTGAAGAGTAAATGGTTAATTCGATCCGACGAACAACAAATTCCTAACGAAATCCATCAAAAGTTACAGCGACTACCCGATCAAGAATGTCCGACTAAACTTAAACAAGCAACATCAGTTAATCTCAAATTTGCATTCCTATTCGGCGAAGAAGGAACGTTAAAAGCCCATCATAAAGCAGTACTATTTTGCTATCTACCTACACAAATGTACTCCGGTTTACCGTTTCTAGTCAATGGCGACTTCTTACTTAGTGCAGATCGAACACAATTATTAACTAATATATGGAATGAATATATGTTTCGATGCATAGCTAAGTTTCATATCGCTTTATTACATGAATTTGCTCTAAATGAATATTATTGTGATCACGTTTTATTACTTTTAACACGCCGATTAAAAGGGACTATATCGCAACAATTTACCGACGTATACAGTAGTACTATCGATATTGAACTAGCAAAAATCGCCTTCATACCTTCTCATATTAATCAGTGGCAATTACTGAAATGGGGCGAAGCTATTTCGGACGATTTAGGATTCTTTGAGGCATTTCCAAGTATTGATTTAACGAAACGTAAAATGATTACAAGCAGCACTGTGCAAAATCAAAGTAAATTACCTACCAGTAACCATTTTACTTTCATTACACTAGCAGAAAATATAGAAAAGTATGCCCAAACCACATTGCAGATATCACGCTATCAAAAGTTTCTGAAATTTGTAATTGACGCCTACTTATCACACCGTTACTTATATTCCGATGATGGCATACAAGCATTGAAAAATAAATCTTATCTACTGACGGATAACAATAAATTAGTCGATAGTTCTATCATCTATCTACCAGCAAGTAACAAAGTAATAGAATACCCGTCATTTTTAAACTTCAATCTTGTTCATCCTACAATACTAGAAATACCTAATGCATTGACATGGTTAAAAAAAATAGGCATTGATAAAGTATCGGATGAAAGCATACTTGAAACAATTAGAAAGTGGCTGAGATCTCAACAAATTCAACTTCTTCGTAATCCCAAACTATCAGTAGAAATTGTTCGATTATTGTGCCATCTTACAATCGTGAATGAATGGAAATGGTACTATTTGTACGAATTACCATTGCTAACTAAATCAGGTACTCTCAAAGCAGCTAAAGATTGTTATTTACCATCCGATCTTGACCCGCGTTTCGATCTTGAAAAGATTATTCAAAAAGATGTGGGATTTGTCGACTATAAATCCTACTTAGATGCATCTATTCATACAAGCAAACTCAAATCCACGTTGCTGTTGTTGCACGTTAAAGAAGAAATTAAATTCATCTGTGGAAAATTCACTCAACTCGATGAATACTGCACAAGAAACGATATTTACCAATTTCAAGAATATCGAAATTATCTTACAGAGCAAAAACTTGTTCAATTTCATAAATTCTATCATTATCATATAGCCTACTTACCCTATATGGCTTGTTTAGAGATTAAAAATTACGCAAAATTCTTTTTTCAACAGTTAGTTCAACATCAAGAAGAAATCATTGAAGGAATAAAACATTTTAAAATTTATAGTAAATCCAATAAAAATAGCTATGAATACTCAGCAATACATTACCTGCAATTTGTGCTCAATAAGGCTGCATGCGTTCGAGCTACTAATGGAAACTTGTATCCTATGAAAGATCTATATAACCCGTCACTTGTTAAGCATTTGGATCAAGAATTAAAACATTACCTACCACAGATGCAAACTAATTATGGCGATATAACTATCAATCTATCTGAAGAATTGATGAAATGGCTAGGAGCGCGTAGCAAACTAACCGCACAAGATGCCATCAAACTGTTAAAAGATATCGCAGCTGGATCACCGCAAAAACTCTTTGATCAGTTCCAAAGCTTTTATAAAATGATGATTATGTCAGCTTGGAATGATAGTCAGTGCGAAGAATTAAGGCAGTCAAATACTAAAATTTTAGCTTCGGATGGATCCTTACAATCTATTGATGCATTATATTTTATTCCTGACAAACAATTATGCAGCGTAAGACATCCAAATCTACTAAAATCTTTCCCCGCTCTAACAAAAGAAGATATGCTCATAATTTGCCGTTACTTTGGCGTTAAAGAATTAAAGGCAAATGATTACGAAATAGTTTATGATAAATCTGAAGATAATTCAATCATAAAGACTGAGATTAAGAATTTACTAAAAATGGTTGCTATAACTGAAATAAATCCTAGTCATCGTGGACGGTGTCAGTTGCTTCGAGAGTGGCTTAAAAAGATAAATAAGCTAGATATATTAGCAGTTGAAAGTTTAGCTCTGTTAGTTAAATCTAATTCAAAAATCAGTTTCAAAGTAGAAGCGATACTTTCTAGAAATAAACTGGCACTTTCCAGTAATCAACTTTTTTACGAAAATCATCTTGATGACAACAATAACTTACATGACATCGCACAAGCCATTGCAGCATATTTAGAACTATCGGAAGCTAATCATTATGTTTTGAATACTTTAGTGATTACTAATTCCAATAAAAGTCGCATTAGATGGTTAACAAACCAAAATTACAATATCGCTGCCTTGGACATGATGGATGAGAATTGTTTACTAGGTGATGATACTGAAAATCAAGCCGATACAATTCTTAGCGAAAAAGCGACCCAAAATCTTTCATCTACACCATCTAATCTACACTCAGTATTGACATCAGCATCGTTAGACGATGAAATTACCGATGTCAAGTCCGAAAGTAAAAGGCTTAAAAAAGTTAAAAAATCTACGACAATTCAGAGTGAGGCTAGTAAAAGGAACAGCTCCAAATCGTCAAGCTCATCTGAAGACGAAAAGTGTTTAGAATATTGTCAACCCGCTGATGCGATCAAAGCTACTTTCTACGCGATAGAATACACGCAAGATGAAAACTTTCCATCATTATTTGCAAATTCCAGTGATAAAGAACAGTGTATTCAAGCTATCAATTTAACAAATTTCTCTGAGACAAGTAAATCTGCTTGGTCATCTAATCGTCCTACTGTAAATTTTTTTGAAGCATCTCGATTAGAAAACACTGCCTACGAAAATGAAATTAAAAAAAACAAAATTAAAAGTAATAATAATTATAATCGATGGACTGGTCGATGGGGAGAAGAGTTTGCGTATAAGTATTTTCAAGATTACTACCGAAAGAAATTTCGTTCTCTAGAAAAAACTAACAATAGAGAAGCAATAGTTATGAAAGGAGTTGATCATCGAGGTAAAGATCTATCAGTTAAAATAATCTGGTTTAATAAAGACCAAGAAAGCAATTTTCCTGCTGATATTAACATCATTAAAAATGATCGTTCAAAGTATATTGAGGTTAAAACTACTTATAAGAAAAAAAATCTTTTTTGTAAAATTAGTCAAAAGGAATGGCTAAGTATGCATCAGTATGGCAAAAATTACCGATTATTTTGCATCTATAACGCAGGTAAAGAGGGAGATGTCCTGATTAAACAAATTAAAGATCCCATATCTAAAGTAATGGAAGGATCTATAATTCCAAAGGAAATTTACTTTAATTTATAGTTTACTGGAAATCGTTTGTAATCGTAAAGGAAAATTAATATTATTGGCAATCTCTGGAATCGAATAATATAATAAATTGTAATTGAGGCAAAAATACGCGAGTTCGTAATATCATAGTGATCATTTAATATTTAATCAATTTACATTAGCCGCAAGTATTATACTTCTTAAAGTATCGGTAATAAATTTGATTGTCATTGAATTACAATCCAGACATTAAATCATCATTCCAGCTATACTTAATTAATTGTTAAAGCAACTCTATTTCAGTCATTGCACTAGCTCCTTCCATATGCAAATTCGCTATAGTTATGATGTATCTGATATCTATCTACTATTTAATTTGATAGTAGTAGAATAGTTACTAAATCATTAACATATCTAAAAGAATAGAAGATTTTACGATTAAGCTTAGCATTCAGTATATATTTTTAAGCTAGTGACTTCTTTTGCATTCAACTTGCCTTCTTATTATACATTTTTTATTTTTGAACTTTGCACAATTTTCTTTATGCTTCATTTCATATCATATTAAAGACTGAAATTGCCAGCTTATTATTATATTACAGAGCTAAACGATATCTCTCAATTTGTGCGCTATTTGATTAAAATAAAATTATGATATGAATTGAATGGACTTCCTTTTTAGAACCTCCAGGACTTCAGTTTCCTTTCGAAACTTACTACTATACAAAACCAGTTCTGACACAATTCTAACGTACATTACAGCATAATACTATATAATGCCTTAATATTGCATGCAGCTAGAAGTTTTAGGCCTGGTTAATTCTATTTCTTTTGATATTATGATAGGGACAATATAAAGTGAGAGTGAAATTTCTATATGATATAATTTCGACGATTATAATTATACATCTAATTATATAGTACATTAATTCTCAAAGTATCTGGTTAATGTTTTAAGCTGCAACTCATTTGAAAATCTTAACAGCTTACCGTATCAAGTATGATGGAGATATACTTCGCCTGATTGTAATAGGCTATAACACCGACTTTAGTTCCTGGTCAGTATACACAGCAGTTTGCCAAATTCTATAATTACATATACGCATTTCGATGAAATCCTAGAATCAAAGTAACAGTAGAAAGATCACCAGTCATGGAAAGGTGAGAATAAAAGATGGACAGAATCAGCTAATAATGAACTTAATGGTAGACTACTGAACATTACATGCCATGGCAGCTATGCCTAACTAATTGCAACAATAGATTATATTAATCTTTAGCCTATTATTTAAAAGGTTAAAGAATTACCTTAGCACTATTTTATAGTCTTATCAAATTATTTATGTCTCATTTTGGCGAAGCAGATTGTCAGGAGAATAAATGACCGTACATCATAAAAAGAATATAAACAACATTCCAAATATTAGCTACTTGGATCGGCTATGACTTTCATTACAGTGTGTCATGTGACGATTTTAATATTAGGATTTAATTATTCAGATGTAATCCTTGTTCATAAATAAAAAAGTTTCTTCAACACTGCAATACACTAAACAAAATAATGTATAATTTAGTTTTAGTGGCGTCAGTAATTTTCTATTGTTACCGTGTGCCAACATCAGCAGGTTTCATTAGAGATCCAAGTTTCATCTAATTTTTTTTAATTTACTTGGACAAGGAGCATAATTTAGTAGCGGAAGATAGCAAAGCCCTAGACGCTAGTAGGAACGACACCCTACGGAACTCTAACCATTTCGATCTATTTGCTACAACAATCTACATTACCGCAATATATAACCGAGATTAAATTGAGGAATACAAATTATGGATAAAAAAGAACACATCGAAAGATTATTTGACGAGCGAGGTAAAAATGATAAAAATTCTACTACCTTAGCTAACACTCTAGACAAAGATATCCAAACTGTTTTTAACAGTCCCGAGAAATTCGCTCTAGAATTACTACAAAACGCTGATGATGCTGCTATCGATAATCAACCTATACATGTTACATTCCAAATCAATCAACGATACTTAGCCTTTTCTCATACCGGTAGACATTTCGATTATCAAGATGTCGAAGCTATTTGTGATAACGCACAACAACAGTTTACACGGAAGAAAACCGATTTAAGCAAGACTGGCTTTAAAGGAATCGGATTTAAGTCTGTATTTGTAATATCGTATCGTGTCTATATTATATCTAGAAATTATTGTTTCCGATTTGATCGCGATTATGCAAAATGGCGTAATAACGATAGCGATAGATTTAGACGTTATCCTTGGCAAATTACGCCTATTTGGACACAGCAAAATCAATTACCGAAAGTATTTGAACTGAATAAGTCACATGTTACTTTCCTATTTCAACTAGTCGACGAAACTCGATCTGTGAATAATGTTGAAAAGGTATATAACGCACTTAAAATACTGATGCAAACACCTAATACTATCTTGTTCTTACGTAACATACAAGAAATTACAATTCGTCAACATAATCGTATCGATTCTATTCAATTAAGAAAGTTATTCGATACGTCTAATCAATACGAATTATATGTAAACGATACATTGAAGAGTAAATGGTTAATTCGATCCGACGAACAACAAATTCCTAACGAAATCCATCAAAAGTTACAGCGACTACCCGATCAAGAATGTCCGACTAAACTTAAACAAGCAACATCAGTTAATCTCAAATTTGCATTCCTATTCGGCGAAGAAGGAACGTTAAAAGCCCATCATAAAGCAGTACTATTTTGCTATCTACCTACACAAATGTACTCCGGTTTACCGTTTCTAGTCAATGGCGACTTCTTACTTAGTGCAGATCGAACACAATTATTAACTAATATATGGAATGAATATATGTTTCGATGCATAGCTAAGTTTCATATCGCTTTATTACATGAATTTGCTCTAAATGAATATTATTGTGATCACGTTTTATTACTTTTAACACGCCGATTAAAAGGGACTATATCGCAACAATTTACCGACGTATACAGTAGTACTATCGATATTGAACTAGCAAAAATCGCCTTCATACCTTCTCATATTAATCAGTGGCAATTACTGAAATGGGGCGAAGCTATTTCGGACGATTTAGGATTCTTTGAGGCATTTCCAAGTATTGATTTAACGAAACGTAAATTGATTGCAAGCTACAGATTAGAAAATCAGAGTAAATTACTTAGCCACTTTACTTTACTTAAACTAACAGAAAATTTAGAACAATATAGCGAAATCTGTATAGAGAAATCATGCTATGGAAAACTTATAGAATTTCTGATAAATACCTGTTCATCATTCGGATATACAGATAGAGAATTACGAACACACATGCAAAAAATATCGTTTCTATTGACGGATCAAAATAAATTATCTAACAGTTCTGCTGTCTATCTACCAGTCAGTAGGAAATTGAAAGAATACCCATCAATTTTAGGAATTGACTTTATACATCCTGCCATGCTTGAGATTCCCGATTCAGTCAAATAGTTGAAAAGTATAGGTGTCAGCCACATAACGGACGCAAAAATAATTGAAATCCTTGAAAATTTTTTGAAAGGTATCAAAGTTAAGCAACATTCTCCATCTTATCTCGACGTATCTATTAAAATTGTTCAATTATTATGTTGCCTCAAAATGGAGTTTGAACTGAAATATTCCAATTTAAATAAATTGCCATTACTAACTAAATCTGGTAACATCAGAGCAGCAAAAGACTGTTATTTGCCATCAGAACTTAAACCACGCTTGGATCTTGAAAAAATTGTAACTGAAGACATAGGATTTATAGATTACAAATCTTACCGCCATACATCAATAACTGCAGAAAAAGTCAAATCGATACTACTGCAGTTGCAAGTTAAAGAGGAAATTCATTTTTTTTGTGGAGAATTCAATCAAAATTCTGATAGTAGTGATATTGATAAATTTGAAGAATATAGTCATTACATTACGAATGTCAATATGATCCAATTAAATAAGTCCTATCATTATCATATAGCCTACTTACCCTATATGAGTTGCTTAAAGGTAAAAAATTATGCAAAATTCTTTTTCCAACAGTTAGCTCAAAATCAAGATGCGGTCATCGAAGGAATGAAAGTATTTAAAATTTATAGTAAATCTAACAAAAATAGCTATTCTTATTCTGCTATGCCATATCTAAAATTCATGCTTAACAAGACTCCTTGCATCCTAGCTACTGATGGAAAATTCTATTCGATGGGTGATTAATATACATCATCGTTAGCTGAGCACATAGAGAAAGAACTGCAATACTGTTTGCCACGGATGCAAACTAAATTTGGTAGTATAACTATCAATCTAGCCGAGGATCTAATGAAGTTATTAGGGGCTCGCAACCAGCTAACCGTGCAAATTGTCATCAAACTCATAAATGCCATTAATTCAAGATCACCACAAAAATATCATGATCAATTTCAAAGCCTTTATAAACAAGTGATAGCATCACCTTGGGATGATATTTATTACGAAAAATTAAAGCAATCAAATAGCAAAATATTAGCTTCGGATGGATCTTTACAATATACCAGTTCGTTATATTTTATTCCTGACAAAGAGTTATGCGGTGTGAGGCATCGAAATCTTTTAAAGTCATTTTCAAATCTAACAGTACAAGATGTGTTAATGATTTGCCGCTATTTTGGCGTTCAAATATTAACGGCGAATGACTATAAAATAATCTATGATCATCCTAAAGATAATTCAAAAATGAAAACATTAATTACAAATTTGTTAAAAATGGTTGTTATAACAGAAGCGAAATCTACAAGTTACCGAAATCGATTATACAAGAAATGGCACGCAAAACTGAATAAACTCGATATTTTAGCAGTTAAAAGACTTGCACTTGAGGTTAAAGCCAATTCAAAAATTACTTTCAAAATCGAAGTTATACTTACTGGTACTAAACTTCTACATGATAATGATTCTGATGAAACTAGCAATTTAGATGATATTGTAAAAAGTATTGCAACATATTTAGAATTATCTGAAGATAATTTAAGGTATCTAGAAATATTATCATTAATCAATACCGAAAAAGATCGTCTCAGATGGCTAGAGAAAAAGAATTATAACGTTAATGCCTTACTCATGATAGATGAGAACTGCATACCAGATGGCGATATACAAAGCCATTCTGATGGCGGAGATACTACGGAAAATGTTACACATTTGAACTACAGCACAAAACCAAAATATATTCTCGAATCCTTAGATGAAGACGATAACATCGGCACAGAATCAGAGAGTAAAAGGCTTCGAACAAGTATATGGACACATAAAATTTATGAGCAACATAGTAAAAGTGAATTATCAAGAGAAGAATTCGTTCGCAATCGCAAAGTATCTCATCAGCTAACACTTATCAACAAATCATCTTGTGTAGGCAAAACAGGCGAGACGAATTCAAATATTTCTGAGCCTACAAGCTCATCTGAAGATGATAATTATCTTCAATACTGCAAACCTGTAAATGCTGCCCGAGCTAATGTTAGCTTGATGAAATACGACGAAAAATCTCAAGCACTGTTTAAAAATACCGGCCTTCAAGTACAGTATACTCATTGTACTAACTTAACAAATCATTCAGATACATCAACTAATTTTACTATTCAACGTAATCAAGTAGGCCACATAAGAAGTATTTCTAAGGAGAGAGAAAATAACAGTAATGAGAATAAGGGCCATAATCGATGGACTGGTCGATGGGGAGAAGAATTTGCTTTTCAATATTATACACGCTATTATAGGAAACAGTTTCGTATTATTTTAATAGAATACGAATATTTAGGAACGGCATTTATGAGAGGCATTGATAGTCGAGGAAAAAACTTATCAGTAACCATAACTTGGCTTAATTACAGTCAAGAAAGCAATTCATCAGCCGACATAAAAGTAATTAAAAACAATATTTCAAAGTTTATTGAAGTTAAAACTACTTATAGAAATAAAAATCTTTTTATCAAGATAAGTCAAAAAGAATGGCAGTATATGTGCCAACTAGGCAAAAATTATCGACTATGTTGCATTTATAATGCCGGAATAGAAGGGGAGGTTACGATCAAACAAATTAAGGATCCTGCATCTCAATTAATGAATAATCCTGCAACTGCGAAGGAGATTCGTTTTAAAATATAGCTTATAAGAAATGTTAGCTGTAGTCATTAATCATGTGATAACAATGTGTTACATTGGAATGAGGTTAATTTTGAATTGAATATTTTGTTTTAGATGAAAGCAAATACCTATTTTACCAATTCTGTTTGGCATCATTTCCGAGCCATAAATGAAAATACTGCTAAAGCAAAACTGATCGAGCTACTAATCCTAGATAGGCGTTAAATTATCATTCTATTTAGAAATGGTTAGGTTACGGTCAAAACCCGTTAACAGTTATAATATAAGTAGCTGTGATCTTAATTTAAATATCGCTTCATTCTAAAGGTAGGAAAGATCAGGTTAAAGTTATCATTGGATTACTAATTTGATAACGAAGGAACATCATTAGTTGGCTTATTTCCGCCATTTTTTTTGTAAAAGATAAGTTTTACCTCTTATTTTACGGTAATATCTATATTATAGACATGCTAAAATATTAACAGAGTCTGTCAATATTACGTAAAAATGGTTGCTAATAAGATATTTGCCTTTAAACAAATAATTTGTTACATCATGCCATTATTTGCTATAAGCTATGTGATGTTTAAAATTAAGGAGTTATCTCAGTTCCTGTTGGTATTTATAATACATCGTCATAAACCTATGATAAATAAAATTTGCTTCATTATATAAAGATAAGTAAAATCCATATGGCATCAATTTCTAAATAATAAGTAATTGCCGATTCAACGAAACTCCATTATAGTACATCGCACCAAAAAATATCTTTTATTGCTATCGCCAACTATACGCATATGCGGTACTGTAAAATAATTTATTATCGGTGAACCTGTTATATTAGTACCCTAGCTAGTACTTTTATTGTTACTTCTAAAGATAACATAGAGCTAGCTGATTATATAGTTGCCATAATAAATTATTACAACTATCTATGTCAATATGAAAATTTAGATAGGAAATAAAAGAAATCGGTATTATTAGTAAGAGTAAGCAAGATTATGAAAATTGTGTATCGAAGTATTGGAAATATTTAGTATTATTGCTATATCACTCTATTATTGGAAAAGGAGAACCTATACATCAATACACGATATCAACCACAAAAATTTTGATTGCGAATTGGTAGTAATTATAGAAAAATCAATACATTCTCCTGATCAAGATATTTAGTAGAAAAATTTAAAGGCTGCAGAATTCATAGCTTTTGATCGCTCTTAAATTAATATTGTCTTTAAAAATCTTAATTAAATAAAACGTTGAGCCTTTAGTATCATAATCGTAGCAAGTATAAACTTTTAGACACTAATATGACTGATATTAATCGTTATTGATAAGTAATACTGTTAACGCTACTTTGTGAAGTAAGCTTACAATGCAACTATACATATCTAAGCCGTTAAAAGAGTATATGAGTTTTGTGTTACGTAGACAGAATACCGTATTTACTATCGTTGAATAAATTTACAGGTAACAGCACATACACTTTATTTATGTTATCATATGAAGCATTGATCATACTACCGTGAATAAGAGAACAGATAATAACGAAAATTTGATAGTATTATTCGACAAACTTGGATACTGTAATACTCCATATTGTCAGTAAAATTAAGACCTACCATGGAGATAATAAAAAAACCTCTATGGATGTGCATTAATTATCACAGAATCGAACTAAATCATATTCAAGGTCATATTATTAAAATGCAAGAGCCAGTCTCTAGAACCTTGAGTGTTTACATATAGCAGGTCTTTACTTTGCTCGCTAGCATCCACTCTTCATTTCGAAACACTTTAACGTCTACGAGTTATTTGACAGCGACTAAAAATTTGCAAGGCAACTTCAAACAAACCGATACCAAGGGAAAATACCTTGACAAACCCATTTAGCAAAGATCTTAACCAGAAACTAGTTGTGGTTATCCTGTTTGTGAATACAAATGACTGATGATTGTAACTATAATTATAATTATTATTGTAGTACTGCGATTGGTGAATGACGAAAGCAATAAGTGCAAACAACGGCAATAATTATAATTAATACAGTTTGCATCATTTTATCATGGCATTTCTTATTAGTCTCTACTGTAGCTCTCGCATTGACGATGAATGGATTAATGGTGACTAATGTCAATCTTGCTTATCAACATGGCGATCATTTTATAGTACTGTAGATACAGATACGTAGTCGTATGCCATCAATGACTATTAAACTACAATACAAAAAGAAAGAGGGAGGCAGTTTCAAGGAATTTCACTAGCAAAAATGTGATGACTAACTATTTCTCCTGTTACTTTAACTGGTAACATCGAAAACCGGACAATGTGCAGTACTATTTACAAGACTCTTCAGCATCATAGCAGAGTTTTGAGAAGAGTTTCACTCTCATGATATGCAATTGCACATTAAGGCAGAAACTGTACTAGAGGATTGAATCTCACAGTATAACTTGCATTGCTAAAAGATTCCTCTGCCTTTCATTTACTAGTCCCTGCTATTATTGTAAGTTTCAGAAATTAAAAATGAAAGTACTACAATGGGACTTGGGAAAACCTATAGAAAATCTAAAAAAATTAAAGCATTCGGATGGTAATACTCAGGCGTAAGCTAAAGCTGTCATAATCGTCATATACAGTACTGTTTTGAAAGTTATTGGTCTCCACAGTGTTGTACACTAACAGACGATTTGTAATAATGCTACCGTCCAGTAATTTGCGATTTTGAGTTTCTGTATACGCTTATTCTCTTCACTTTCCGTTCGAAATATTTTTGCATCAGGTCATTTAATAGTGGTTAGAAATTTGCCTTAAGGCAACTTCAAACAAACCTGTAGCAAGGAAAAAGAAAATTGACAAATTCACATAGCAAAGGTCTGAACCATGTAGCTGGCTGTCGCCATCTTGTTGATAAATACGAGTAATAATCATTGTTGTGGTAGTGCTATATCACCTAGTGGCAACTGATGGATTAACGAAGGCTAGTGTCAATCTTGCTTATCAACTTGGCGATCATCTTGGCAGTAGATACATCCTCTTATGTTTTTTTGCATGGCCCTGATTTAGCTTTTACTGTACCAACTACTTTTTTGCTTTATTGATGCGTCTTACATATTTGAGTTTAGATTTGATTGTATTTGGACTATTTCGGGCTGGCTCTAGTGTCTCGATAACATGAACAGGAATTAGTATGGTCCTACAGTATGACAACTATTGTATTTTATATCTGAGCATTACCATATGGAGCAGTACTATATATAACAGAATCGAAGTTTGCAGATGATGCTTTCAATTTTTCTAGAATTTCTAAATTCTATTAGTTCTCCCATACACGTTCATGTAGTAGAGCCGTGTGGCAACGTAAAAATGCGCTTTCAGTGGCATTCGTTCCATTTACCGATTATACATACTAAAACATTCAGTGATGGTAGCACCTCCTTACTAAGGAGTACTGAGAGAAGAGAGAGAAAGACGTTAAGGTGCTGTAGTCATTTTGTTCTTTAATTAACTGTTCTCCATCATGTTATCGAGAATCCTTACTTTAATCTAATCTAATCTAATCTTAAAGATTTCTATCTAATCTCTGTAATCTACGAGAAGCGGGGGCGACTGGTGCAAGATTTTAAGTCTCTCCACAGACGTACAGCATTTCCTCCACCATCTTCATTTCCAAACACTTGTCTTAAGCTTATTTGACAGCGGTTAGAAATTTACCAGGCAACTTTAAACTAACCAAGGTCAAGGAAAAGAAGCTTTGGCAAACTCCACATACCAAAGGTCTAAAACATGTCGCTGGCCATCGCCACTCTGTTAATGAATACGACTAATAATGATGGTAGTGCTGTGAGAAGTGGCTGTTGTAGGAAATAAATGCTACACAATGTAACACTTGTATAGGATTATTTTATCTCCCACCAATCTGTCATGGCATGTCTAATGAGTCTCTTCCGAATTAGATACTCCTTGCTATAAAATAGTGCATTTATAATCGTTAGCGTAGATCTCGCATGGACGATACGTACGTGGATTAGCCATGAGCCGATAACTAGTGTCAAGTTTGCTCATCAACTTGCCAAACATTTGAACCGTAAATACGTAGTGTGCAATAAGTGAAAACATTTTCGACTTGTTGATGTATTTAATCCAATGTATACCTTGACAAAGAGGATAGCATAATAGTAAAATTGTTGCCCATGTTCGATGTAGATTTCGCTTATATTAAAAAATTTAGTAAGGATCCTGTGTTTTTAGACTAGTTTTACAGTCTCTTTTAAGCTAATCATTATTAAGTCGCCGTTAGCTTATGTTCGTAACTTTCTACGTTAGTATTTATTAATAAATACAGCCATACCTTTAGCTGAAGTAATAATTAGGCAATATTTCAAGTCGCAACAGTTCGAAATTTTAACGTACAGTAGAGTTCTGGTCCTCAATGGTATTACTTTGTAAGATTCGAAAGAACTCGTAAATCTGGTATATTAGATAAAGGATTATTTTTGAATTGATTCCGTAAATGTATCAAAATTGAAAACTGACATCATATAATCGAATGCTGCCATTCATCAATCACCTTGTGCCTGTGGTAAAGCTAAAATAATTCATTGTTGTCTTTTAACAATTTACGGTACTTTCTCACACGCTTCCTTAAATGGCATCGTTTTTAATTACTGTCACGAAAGTAATCTTCGTGACGTATGCTTTATTTCTATGTTACGTTCTATATATGTTTATATCTCAGAAATGTTTTACGGTCTCCTTAATTGTAATTTTAGTGGTTAACAGTTGATATACTTAATTTAGGATTATATAGACTAAAGTAGTAATTGCCAACCAGCTAAACTGGATTATGTCTATCACCTCCAAGTGTTAAGATTCAAAGTACGATTCCTAAGTTTAGATGAAATGTCTTGGTAGGAAAGCTTTATATGCATCTGTTAAACTAGTAATAAGCATTGATTATTTTAATATTGTTACAGTAAATTTAATAGGATTAAGCTGTATCTAATCTGTACAGATAGAATCTCTTTAGAGTATTAATTTGGTTAATTTCTAATAGACAAGGTGACTTGCGTAGCTAAACCGGTTTAGGTCCGAAGCCTATATAAACGGCGAGTTCGCCGACAATAAATTAGATTGTGATTTTCTAGTAAGTCTTGAAGGTCTTTCTATGTTAAATCCAATCTGCCTTGGAATACCAATTATCTGGTATTCCAAATAATAGTAGTAAAGGGTACAAATCACTCTCTCAATCCTTGCTGCAAGCTAGGGCTATTCCTAGCTCGTAACAGTTACTGATACTCGCATACGCGTACTGTCTTGTGGTTATGAATAGAGAGATGAAAAGTCATCGCGACCACATCCTTATTTGAGTTACAAACTTTCGAGATCAATATAGCACTCTAAACCGTTCCATTGCAAAGATTGTGTACAATGTGGTCATTATGAAGTGAATGGCGAGATAAAATGTTAATCTGCGACTGGATTTTCTCTTAGAATCATGCAATCATCAGTTAGAAAATTACGGAACGCCGATACGCTAGATATAAAAGTTTATTTAGTTTCTATTACCATTATAATAACAATGAAGCATTTTATAAGATTTATTATGAATAGTAACAATTTAGAACTTTTTAATTAGTGGCAATACAATGACATTAAGGGAAAAAATTCATTACTAGGGTTTAGAAGATTGTGTGTTACGGGTTTACGGTTACAACATAAAGTTGAAATGCACGCTTCAAAATTTATCGAATATCTCAGTTTAAGTCACTCGATCATCACCATTTAGTTCCGATATTAAAAATACAGTAACTATAAGCTGATTCCTTGCGATTTTAGTACTATAGACAGTAATAGAATGTGCTATACTTTCAAGTTTTAAGAGATTTTAGACTGGCACTTTCGGTGTTCTATTTATTCCGTTGCACTTTAGGTGGGCAAAACTAAGTGCGTTAATGCGTTATTTTTATAAATATCAATACTATTCTATTCATAATTATTTAAAACCATTAATTAGACATTAAATTCTACGTCATCACGAAAAAATTAGCATCGGTAGTTGCTGTAAGGAAACCTTTAAAAGTGCCAACGGCAACATTTTGTATTTAATTAAATATTCTAAGAGGTATTAATCATTGTTTTAACATCACTTATTTGTAATTTAATTACGCTTAGTTATCTTATAATACTTTGAAAATCTTTTAGAAGTTCCTAATTTAGGTAAAAACAAATTAAATCGTGAAAAGTTGTGCAAGAGCAGTCTAGAAGAAGGTTAAGAATAAAGCCAAGCTATCAATTTGATAGGTTATTTGACGTCACATACATCATTTAACTTCTTAACAAAAAATTGCTCTAGCTATCTATTCGATGGGTTATTGACGTCACTTACATTATTTAGTTTCATAACAAGAATAAAGTCGAGCTATCAAATCTGCGTCAAGTAATCATAATGATAACAAAATGATTTCGGAACTTGCTGTATTTCGACTATCTTACAAGTTTATAAGTGCAATGTGATTCTTGAAACGATAAGGCTTAGCTACCGTAGATGGCACTGAAGATACTGGAACAGTGCTTATCCACTTTATTATCAATTTACTTCCGGGTCCAGGCGTGGTTCGGAAAAATTTCCATGCCAAGCAGATCTAAAAAATAGCATTGTTTATATGTGCAAAATAACATTAATCAACACCGTACTGATGAATATTCATAGTATTTAATTATCTTTTACCAATTATTAATGATACTACTAATAATAGTGTTTAATGATAAATACAATAGATTGCATATCAAACAAAACGCTCCATTCAATTCTTCTGTAGAATCAAAAACAACGCCTTAAGACATTACTATTTATTAGATAACAATTTAGGATTAAAACTTGATTACTTATGTACTATCTACCCATTCTCTTACCACAGCTATGTTGATTGAGTTACCGAGATTGATATCACTCAGACCTGGATAGATAAGCGCAATAAGTGACGCTTAGTATTTTATTAGATTTAGAAATTCGTCTATATTCTGATATAGAAAACAACGATAACTTTCCATAGTCGCTTCGAAAATTTTTAGAAGAAAATAAGCTATCAAATTGGACAAATATTCGTTATCGTTGGGATATAATAACGATAAAGTTAATCCATTAAATCTGAATTTTCTAGCATTTAATTAACTTCGATAAATACCAGAAGTAAAGCCAAGCAAGCAATTCTGAAGCAGGTAATTATAGCTAGTAAATAGTTTATCTTTCACAGTAGTTAGATAGTCCATAGTAAATTGCAATCATGTAGCGGAATGAAAGAGCTGAGCTGTATTTCAAAGTACCAATTACAATTTTAATTCTATGACATTAGAGCAATATTCTATTATTAAGGCATGTTTCCAGTTAAAAACATTCACCGCCTTAAGATAGATTGTCAACGAGAATTACAACGTTTTCTAGCCTTTACTATCGTTCAAGTATCGCCGTAGTTAGCAATACTCAAGCTATAATAGTGAATTAAAAATAGTGACATTGACATATTTTTGACTAATAGCAGACTTCATGTCATTTAATTTCCTACCCGTTCAGAGACTTTTATTAGTGATAAAGGAAAAATTTTGGGACTTACTACAACTGCAATAATACCCTACCTGAACCAGCGCATCTTTTGAGAGAAATACCATCTTTATCTTAATCTTGATCTATTCTAATACCAAACGTATAAATAATCGTAAATGAAACGTAGTACAATGGCAACTACCAATGGAAAAGAAGTTATAACAGAAGCTGGAAATACTAGCAACTAGTACAGCAAATAACCATAATATCTTACTTCAATATAACCTCTCAAACATCTAGCACTTCTCTACAATTTCTATAACAGCACTACCAAATTACGTAGCTCTTCATATACAGTATTTTACAGAGTAGTTGGTGTTACAAAAACTTAAGATTTATTACTGGTATAAAACTATTATGTGCTATTCCAAAGTAATTGCAACGAAGCTATGAAAGTTTATCACACAAGTTCAGACAGATTCTACAAATAATTCCTTTCCAAATTTAGCTAGTAACCTATTATAAATTATTTTCTATTTTTAAAACTAAAGTATTCAGGACTATATTAACTTAACGAGCGTATATTTACAGTTTAGCCGAAACGTACTAAATGTCGGCCAAGTTAAACTTGCAAAATAATATATATAACTCAATATAGTACTTAACAAAATTAAGATGGAATAATAATAATAAATTGCATAATTGCAGGCTGGATAAAGTGATCGAGTTTGCAGAATATTGATTTCAAGGATAATTTCTAGCGTAATTAATTAATTAAATTAGTCAAAACTACTAACAGTGGGTAAGATTCCTGGATTTTTCTACTTCATCAATACTTCATTTTTTTCTTACAGCTATAAATTACTTCTATAGTGTAATTTTTGAAAGAGAATTCTAAAAATCAACCTTGATTACGTACGAGTAAGTGCGATGAAGCTGTCGGTGATTACTTTGAAGGTTTTAACGTTAAATGTTATGAATAAATAAAGTATTTTCAAGATATCGAAGCAGTCCCATTACTTTTTTAATGGGTCTTGTATTTCTCTTGCTTTACTCTAACTCAGTATTAAAAGCAAAGCCTAAGTCGACTATTATTAACTCTTTATTGCTCATACTTGCAGCGAGTAAAATATTTATCAAGTCCCTTAATATAGCCATGAGCTGCGATAACCTATTTTAGACTATAATATTCCGAACTTTCACGTTGATATTGTATAGCAGACATAAAAGTCTTATAGGCATGTGAATGCCCTTCTGTTCCCTTACAACAAATGCCGTTTATATTTCAATAAGATACTTTGATCGATTTTATCGTTGGATTATACAGTGTAGAAAGATGCAGCAATTATTATCTCAAACTACTATGAAGAATTCTTTGATAGAAATTCTAAAATTACACTTAGCCGTACTAAAACAATATTAAATAAAGAAAGCTGCTCGTACTACCATCAATTTTCATATTATAGATAAAAGCATTTTGAAGCGATAGTATTGCTACATTTTAATTCTTTCATCATAAGACTCCAGCTATAACACTTTGTCTAATCTAAGAGTTAAGGCAAATTTCAAAATTTTGACAATAAATTATTATAGAAAGTATAAACCCGCTTCCCCTATTGTCTAGTGTAATCATTGTACTTATACATTTACATATATGTAAATACAAATATATCTATTACTATTATTAACATTGAAATATATATGAACCTTTATTATCAATATTAATATAGGTACCAAGGGAGAGAGATAGACGTCGATGTTAATAGAAAATGGTGGACAAGAAAGGGGAAATTGAAGATATATTCGACCAGCGATGTAAAAATGACAGCAATGCAGCTAACCTAGCTGGTAGAATCAATGAAGATATTCAATTTTTTGCTAAAAATCGAGAACAAATTATTTTTGAGTTGCTACGAAACGCCAACGATCACAGCGATATCAGCTTATCATTCAAGATTGAAATCAAAGAAAGATATTTAAGCGTTTCACATACAGGCAAAGCTTTTGATCTTGGAAATGTCGAGGCTATCTGTGGCAATACACAATCAAAATCTAATAGCAAGAAGAACAACTCAAATAATAACGATTATATAGGTATGGGATTTAAATCGGTATTCGTTTTTTCAGACGCCGCTTTTATCAAATCCGGCGGATATACTTTTCGCTTCGATAGTTCTTATCAAAAATGGAATAAACCTTCTCAATCAGATCTAGCTTCTGATTATCCATGGCAAGTTATTCCAATCTGGACAGAGAATAAAGATCTACCACACCGTATTGCAAATGTTCCTCCAGGCTATAACACCCAATTCCTATTCAAACTCAAAAAGGATGAGATTATTGAGGACTTGTTCCAAGATCTTAAAAAATCACTGCTATTTATGCTGTATCTACGAAAGATAAAAATGATTTCTTTAGAAACTTGTACGAATAAGACGAATAATACAAATAATACAAAAATCTGTTTAGAAAGAACTTCACGAGATGAAAATGAGTGCAGCAATACAGAATCAGGAAAGACTGCCGGACTAGAATCCCCAAAAAATAATACATACTTGAAGCGATACGAAATCAAGAAAGACTCAACGACTCCAAAGAAAAAAACAAATAAAACATCTTGGCTGGTAACAGAGCGCACCATAGATATTCCTGAAGATTTACAAGAGAAACTCCAACATTACAATCGTTATGAATGCCCACAGACGCTAAAGAAAGCTAAAAGCACACGTATCATGTTTGCTAACAGATTGAATAAGGAAGGCAAAATAACCAATGAAGCTAAAAAAAAAAAATTATTTAGTTACTTTCCAACAAACATTGATCTTAACTATCCATTCTACATCATTTCTGATTTCTTAATCTATCCGGAAAGGAGGCAGTTACTAGTAAATGAATGGAATTTATTCTTATTCCAGAATATCGGAAGTTCACACATACTTTCACTACAAACTATTGCTCGAAATGATAAAAAAAATCGCAACTTAATATTGGATTTATTTGAACAAAAACTGGGAAACAATGTCCCAAAAGAGTTGCAAGAAGCTTACAAAGAAGGGGTTCAAAAAGCTCTGGAAGATACTGAATTCATTCCGTCTGATTCAGATCCAAAAAAATTGCTGAAATTCAATGAGGCTATTATAGATGAAATCGAATTCTACAAGACATTTTCGTTTCTGGACAACGATAATGCATCTAAAATTGTACATCACGATTTAAAAGCTCTAAAGAAAGAGATGCGTAAGTTTTCGCTGAAGGAATTATCCGAAAAAGTAGAAATATATGCCGATGAATGTTTGAAAAAAGAAGATGGTAGAGAAAAATACCTAAAGTTAATTAAAATGTTGATAGGTTTGTGGAATAAATCTGAATCTGAATCTGAAAGGGAGGATTATAAGGATAAAAAAATTTTATTGGCCAACAATGATATTTTATTTTCAAGTTCCAATTTATTCTTACCTAATCCTAAATATCAAAAATTTGCAGCTAAACTCCAACTTACTCTTATTAGTAAAGATATATTGAATATTCCCGATGCCAAACCATGTTTAGAAAGCCTTGGACTCAAAGAAATACAAGACCAAATTATTATTGAAAAGATAGCTAAATTATTAAAAGATGGAGAAGACATTGATAAAGATTTCTCAATTGAAATTGTGGTATTTTTATGTCAATTTAGCGATAATTTAGAGATTGAATCCGGCAAGAATGGAGGATTATTAAATTTGAAATTGGCAGTAACTAATGGATCCATGCAATTAGCTAAAGATTGCTATTTACCATTAGAAATTGTCTTTGAAAACCCACCGACTATATGCCATGACGTCAATTACGTTTCACAAGATTATTATGACAAACTAAAATCAGTACTAGAAGACGAACAAAGCGAGAACTTAAAGTCAACATTAAAACACACATTAAAACAATTAGGCGTGCTAGAAACTTTAAATTTTTTTTGTGATTCTGCTACATATAACACCCTTCTAAAGAAAAAAATACCTGCAGATGATCTTAAATGTTATAAATGCTATTTGGAGAATTATCAACATTTAACCTTTTCAGATGACTTTCAGTTTCATATTGCTTATCTACCTTATATAAATTGCTTACCTGAAGCTGATTATGCGAGAATATTCTTTCAATATTTACAAAGTAGGGAGAAAGATATAATTGATAATATTGAAAAATTTAAGGATGACATTAAAAAGAATCGACTAAATAGTAATCAGCAAGATGACCCCGAACACTATTTAACATTTATGCTTAACAAAGCTGAATGTATTAAAGCAACTAATGATAACTGCTATCGCATGAATCAATTGTATACAAATGAATCAACTTTTATCGATGATTTAGGTGAAGACCTAGGTAGGATATTACCGCAAATGCAAACCATATTCGATGACTGCACTATTACTCTATCGAGCAAGCTTATGCACCTACTAGGAGCCCGTAAGACATTAAGCGTTGAAGATGCTATTAAATTATTTGAAGCTATCACTACTAAGGAGAACGAATATATTACCAAATTCGGTAACATATATCAAAAGATTATTATATCACAGTGGGATGACCAAGATTTAGAAAAGCTACGAAAGGCAAATATTGAACTACCGTCGACAGATGGAAGTCTAAAATTGGCTAAATCACTTTGTTTCATATCCTGTCCTAAAACTTTTGTTCAACCTAATCAATACATGTTAAAACGACCTGATAACTTAACAATAGCGAATATGAAAATTATATGTAAATACTTTTCAATCCAGATTATTGATGAAAAATCGATAAACGGGTCTATTATAAAAGAGGATTCATCGCTTTCGTGTGACAAAACAAGACAATTGATATTTAATCTATTACTGTACACAACACTTTCAGTGAATGAAAGAAAAGATTACATTAAACAACTTTACGATAAATGGCGTAATTGTCTAAAGAATATAAATTTTAATCTAGTTGATAGCTTGTATATAAAACGATCTCCTGATAAGGAAGACCAGAATCGTTTTTCAGCTAAAGTTATTCTTTACGATCAGGATTTATCATTCGTTAAAGATATTCTTCTAAAAGACATTATAGATGTTTTAATTAATTATTTAAAGTCAAATCTAGACCAAGAAAAAGAAAAAACTCACGTAGACGTTTTGCGTCGGCTATCTTGCACTTGGGACCCCGAAGATCTTTCAAAATGGCTTGAAGAACAAATGTCTGATAGCTTAGGGAGTCCTAGAAATGATAAGGACCTAAAGATAAAGTTAGAAGATTTGAAATTCGTTAATTCTAACGAAGTTGATAACCTAGGTAAACCTAATTCTGGTCGAAATCATGCAACAAATTTTCCAATTATTACTCGAGAAGGGGTTACTTCGAGATTATCGAAGCAACCATTTAACCAATCGCAGCCGTCATCTATCCATACAGACCCAAATAAGCAATCACCATGTAGCATTCCAAGAGCAAATGAAAAACAGGAGAATTCTGAAATATCTAAAGCAAGTAATCAGGAAATTGGTAAATGGGGCGAAAAATTTGCTTATTTATATCTTCAGGACTACTATAAGAGAGACCTTAAAGAATTCCATGTTGACACTGATGGTAATTCGTATACTCTATCTGGGTACGATAAGAATGATAAAAAAGTAACGTATAAAATTGTCTGGGAAAACTATGAAAATGAAAGTAAAAAACCATATGATATAAAAATTACTAAGAATGACGATCCAGAGTCGTACGTCGAAGAGTCGTACGTCGAAGTTAAATCGACCACTTATCATGATAACGCGTCCTTTAATATTACAGAAAAAGAATGGGAGACAATGTGCGATGAGGGTAATAATTATGAATTATTCCTTGTCTATAATGCTGGCAACAAAAGGGAAGGACCAATAAAAAGGATTAAAAATTTACCATCTAAAATTACTACTTCTCATCGGCCACTTAGATTAGTAGTTAAATTCTAACGAAGAAGCATGCTACAGAAAATTGTTTGTAGAATCATTCCTTTCCAAACCTTCCATAGATTATTGTCTACAGCTTCCAATGCGAGAAGCTACCTAATTTTATGCTATTACTTGATTTAAATAGAGAAAGAACTTATGGAGTTTAAGTTTAACTATTTCGGCATCAAAAAATGACAAAGCCTTTGAAATTAAGGATCCGCTAAATTACCCTTAGTTGATAAAACAGTTGATTTTTAAAGTAAAGTAAAAAAATAGTAATTCACAAATGTTAAGAAATGGGTGACGATAGCAATTGAAGCTATAATTATTAAATACTCTATGGTAAAGACTACGATACTTTAGAGTAATTTCTTTTAAAACCTAGGAGCAGCAGCAACATTAATAATTTAAACAAATAAATAACGGACGATAGAGTAATTTCTACATGGAAATAAATTGAAAAAACATACGATATAAACACTAAAATAGCCGAAATCTCATCCATGAAATTATATCTACATTAGATATGAATTGCCATCCGTGATAGGCGCATGTCTTAAAAACTGGACTTGTAGCGAAGATCTGAAAATGTCTCTTATTGCAAATTGTATCATCATGAAGACTAGTAACAGTAAAGGATTTTGAATTATGCCAAGCCGTATAGTATTAATATGGCACATATTAAGTTGATTTTTCACGACTCTGCAAATGTCCTATGGTACATCTATCAAGCAAGGGATATAACCGAAAAATTGGGTATCATGAGCTATTTTTCCAAGATTGATACACCTGAATGCTCAAAAGTGATTTCTATCCTAAGAAAAAATTATATACTGTACAATATCAATTTTACGAACAATTAGGTAAGACAATGACCTAGTTCAGTCATATCATTCTTAGCTTTACTAAAGGTTCATAGCATATTCTATGTTTCTACATGTCATTAAATTCGAAAGTAGGTTAAGCAAGCTCAAGTTTATTTTCATTTCGAATAGGCAGCATCTCCATTTAAGTTCTTCCTATTTGAGTAGTAGTTTCCTTCCTATGAATAAACCTACCGGAGACTATTTAAAAGATATTAATGATATAATAATACTCTGTTAATTATAGTAGTCGCTTTGATGATTATGATAACAATAATTTTTTTAATCCTCTCTTAAGTTACAAAGTCATGCCTAAATTTACTATCGCGCTATCGATTAATAATTTGCGCTTCTAATTGAAGTGTCGCAAAACAAATCTCACTGTAGTAGCATATTTAGACCAATCTATTATTATCTAAGAATCTTAATATAAGCATCTCAATAGAATTTCTACAATATGTACTGTTAGCATCTTCCATAATTAGACACTTATACAATCTTGTAATATTTAGCGTACAATTTATCTTTTTTCCTATAATTCTAGAATCTTAGTCTTAAGCTTATTTAGGGCTGTACTACATACTTACATATTAGAGTATAGTGCTCTGTATAGTGTAAACTCACTTCTTATGATTTCAAGTATTGTGATCAGCATAACTTCTAATAAATTCAGTTCAATTCTAACATATTATTACTTCCGTATAATTTTGGCATAGTGTGTGTGCTGTTCTTTCTCTTTTAACACGGTATTCGCGGCGGCAGAAGGCGTGTATAGTAACAATCCCTGACTAACTACATTGATAAGGTTTCTCTCTGTCTTATTACATAGTCCATGCTATGAGTGTTTCAGTGTTACGGATCCAAGCTCCGAAATAATAATTGCCTAGTTAATTAAAATATCTAATATAAATTGTTGTTTGCTCCAGTAATCAATAAACGTTAATTTCAGTAAGCAAAAAATCAATCGTAATAAGCTGTGTATGAGCAGTCTATAAGCTGGTCAAGAATCAAACCAAGATATCAAATCTACAGGTTATTTCTGGTTTTTGATATATCATATCAAGAATGAAGTCTAGCTATTTAATCCACGCTAGGTAATTATGACGAAAATAAAGTAATTTTCACAGTTTGCTGTTGTGACGGAGTTCGCTCAGAAAAGAATAGTATTTTGATCTAATATGTGTAATAATGTTATTATGGAGGTTGCCGATCTCGACAACAACCTAGTTGTTAACTGAGTTTTGTTATTAATTATCGTAGTAATATACAGAGTGGATATTGTGTTAGCAATTAAAATCTCAAGCTGTGAAGATTATAATGTTACTTAATAAGGTGCTAATTAATAATATTAATTAGTGGCAAGTATTAAGTAACACTCGATCTAGTCGGATCTATAATAAGCCTATATTGCACATTATATAATTTAATATGAAAGATTAGCACCGGGGTTATTTTTGTGACATATGAAACTGTATATAAGCTTGATTATTAATTTTTAATCTCAGTTCCACTGAGGTTAACGTAGAGTACACTAGTACAAACGTAAATGGGCTAGTAATAAAGAAATTTATTAACCTAAGCCTATCGTTTGACTCGATTACTATAGTATAGGAATAAGTTAGTTTTCCCTTACTGAGGATCTCCGGAGTTAGTAGGAGAACCATAAGAGTAGATTAGACTAGTTTAGGTACGATCACGAAAGCTGTTTTGTGACAGCTGTATGTCGACAATCTTCCAATTTAATGACAAATTATGGATGAAATATGATTCTTGAAACGATACAGCTTGACTACCGTAAATGGCGCTAAAATTACTAGCAATTTAATGGCATTGTCATGTTGATATATCTTAGCATAACAAGTGGTTCTGTTGAGCTGGTTAAAGCAAAGTTGTCCACCTTGATTAAAAATATTGTCTGTAAAAAAATAAATGCAAAAATAGCATCGAAAAAATATCATCATAGAAAATTAGTATTAAAAGGGCGGTTCTAACAGATTATATGCTATATGAAGCAGCTTTGCTATGTCAAGTTGGAAAAACTAAAGATACTTTTCACTATCTTCTTGTACTGTATTATTAAAAGCTTAAGCTTTACTGACAATAAATTTATCGATATTGGCCTAAACTTAGTATTTAAATCTGATAGTTCTTCTTTTTGAATCTTCGGATAATGTCGAAAATAAAAATAAATTATAATTATATCAGTATCTCTTCAATAGAAGGCCGTGGCATAACCTGGATACAATTTTATAGTTTTAAACATAAAAACTGATATTAAAAGGGTTATCCTAATAAGTTATAAGCTATGAAGTAGGCTTGCTGTGTCCAAATAGATAAAGCACAGATACTTTACGTTATATTCTTGTATTATAGCATCGGTCATAACATACCAAAACCTTAGCTTTACTGAAAATATATTAATCAGTATATATTACTTATATAAATCTGGTACATGAAGCTATTTTCAAAGATGAATAGAGTAACTACGTACTCCGATTGATTAATAATAAATATTTCAAAATTTATAACAAACTTCCTAAAGAGATTTATAACAATGATGATACTAAACCCTATTCTCTATTTATTCTAACAGGATCCCATACATATGGATAGTTAATAGTACTTCCTATCACATAAGTAAATTGTATGTAGTACATATTAATATCAATTGTTAAGCAGTTCGATAGGAAAATGAAGGACACTTATGGTATGTACTATACTACATGCTGTACTATCGCTATATTTTTCTAACACAAAACTGCTTTAATTAGCTGAAATTATTACAGGGTATAATTATTAGCTTTAGTTCAAAATTTATACGTCCAATTTTATATGAAACATAAATTAAAATAAGTTCACCGGGCTCACGTATAAATTTTAAGCTGATTTCACTCTTGCTATTACCATATAATTTATTTAAGAGAGGAATTGAAATATCTTTTAAATCATAACTATTAATACATCTACTACTATTATTAAGACGGATAATACTATGACCACAGTCCATAATTAATCATGGAAATCTATGTTTCGTTATTATGATCAGCTCGTCGATTCCTCGCCTGTCATGCTTCAACGTACTGTACTGGTCCTTTTTACTTTATATATCACTGCCGACTCTAAACTAGCAATTGGTTATAGGAAATTTTTAGGCATATTGATTCTAAAAGTGTTGTCGACAGGCGATTGCAGTTACAGCTTGGAAGCTTACTTACATGTTCACAATTTCACAAACATTAGTGAATGTCACCAAATCGAATATTCTTACCATGGTCACTGTGTGACTATGCATCTTGCAGTACTGTAATACACCGACTACACTAACTGTAAAAATTTGATCAAGGGATTTATTCCTGGGGAACAAATCAGTCTATCTTGTCAATATTTGTAATTTTATTGCACTTTAAAGGCTTGCAGGTGTAGTTGTTTAAGAAGTGATACAAATATAAAGCTAAATTCATACAAAGTAATGAAAATGATTTTCACAATTTCGATCTATACATGCGCTCCGACTTTGAGCGTCCACTTTCAGCCTGAGACTTGAAAACAAAATTGTAAAAGTACCATATGAAAGAAAATAGATGGTATACGTACACTATCTATTGAAGGCTAAATCCAAAAATATCCTGAAACGCACTTACTACGATTCATAATTGAATATTCAATGATTATAACGTATTTTCCCTACAAGCTGATAGTATAAATTAAATAAAATAAAATGCTACTACCTTAAAATTTCGACACCCTGTAATCGTTACAATTATAATAATTTAATGAACAAAACGAAATTTGGGATTGGTTCAACATTTGCCTTTAGTGTTGAATTTATCAATGCTGATATGCCGTAATGCTGCAGTTCAAAACTGTAACTGCGTGAACAACCCTAAATGCTCGCATGAAGATGGCTCAATAAATGCATAACTGTACTGTACTATACCGAACTATCGTGGATGATTAACTATCATATATATGTAAATTCTTTCGTTGCTATAAACAACTTCAAAAGCCAGTTGATTTCTTGAATACGGTACAGATGTACACTTGTACTGTACAAATGGGACAATTGTAAATTCGACAGTACCATCTTCAAAGTAAGTTTTTTCCTATTCTTCCTTCTGATCTTTTACAAACTCAACTTCTCTGTAAAGCTGACCTGAAGCATAGTACTGATAGGAAGAACCCTCTCTTAAATCGTCTTTGAATGTTAACCGAATAGCTATCCGACCATTTCTATGGAAAAGCTCTGAATCTCCATCTTTCTTTCCATTTTTGTAGGCCGTGATACTAATCTTTGCCCCACTAGGATCGTATTCAGTGACTTTACCACGGATCTTGTTGTTTAGGTAAGTTCCTTCAATGGCTTTGACCTTTTCTCCTTCAGTCACATCTAAAGGATAGTGGATATAGTGTGGACCCTCTCGTTTATTATTTTTGTAATGATAAACAATTTCTGGTCCCTCTTGATCTTTTTCAAAGTGGCGCCCTTCCAATTTGCCTTTTATGTATTTGTATTCTTCAAGAAGGTTGCTTTCTTGATCCCATAAACCTTTTAATCCATGCAGCTGACCATTCTCATAGCCAATCGATGTTTGAACAATTCCATTGGGATAATAAGACTTCTGTTCTCCATGAAGCTCACCCTTGTCATTATGGAAATAAAGACTGGATAGTGTTCCTTTGATCCCTTTACAAGGAGGATAAAATTCTTTTTGAACCCCAACAGGCTTTCCTTCTTTGGCATTTCTAATAAACGCTTCACTTCCATCTTCAAAATAACCTAGAGCTTCTCCCTCAATAAGATCATTTTTAAAGGTTTCGCTCAATTTAATTTTAACCATTTTAGTAGTACTGGTCATGCTTTCCTTCCTGCTTTCCATCCAAGAAGTGAAAGATCTCCAACTTTTGTCCAGAATCATAGTAGGCAGTATGTGTTCCAATAGGTCTATCTTCGTCAAAAACGCCTTCAAAAAGAAGGATCCCTTTTGGATTGCATGATGTAAAAGTTCCATCTTTTTTGCCCATTTCATAACGGGCCTCAACGCTGAGAGCTCCGTCTTCATGCTAATCTTTCTGGTCTCCATGAAATAAGGAGTCTTTGAAGTTTCTCTGAGTTTTCATTTGCCCATTGGAATACCAATCGCAGAACTCTCCATTGCGATTGCCTTGGCTAAACGTTCCTCTAAAAGCAAGTTTGCCATCTTCATACCACTCTTGGAAAAGGCCATCTTTTAATTGGTTTTTGTAATTCCCATTAAGTTTTACCTGACCTGAAGGAAAGTGTTGGACATATTCACCTTCAAGTTCTCCATTAACATAATAGCCGTCGGTTAGTAGCTTTTCATCAGAAAACCAAGATTGAAATTTTCCATGAAACTGCCCTTCAGGATTTCTAGAGTACTCAGCAATCTTTTGACCATTTTCATCAAATTCGCGAATCGGTTCTTTGAGTAATCCTTTTTTATCATAAGTTGCGAGGAAAGCCATCGTTCCATTTTCATGTTTTTTCCAATGCTTTCCAACCATCTTTCCGTCAACGTACTCTCCTTCACTAGAATTAAAGCACTTTTCCATCCCTTCTTTCTTTCCATTGACATAGCGTACTTGATAACTTTGTCTTTCATTTGGATGGTATTGAATATGATCCCCATGAAGAACGCCTTGATTGTACTCTTGAACTTCTGTAATCGTGTGATTTTCATCAAAATGGATGATTCCTGGAAGGTTTTTCTCAGAGTGAAGCTTACCATTAACGTATAGCATAAAATTTTTTTTCCAGTATACCGGAAACTGCGATTTATTCACCAGATTGTGTCACCAATGAACCTATCCAAAAACTCCAATGAACGTAAAATCTATCCTTGTTTTAATTCTTTTTTCTAATTATCCTGTTTTATGGCAATTTTTATAGGAGGATTAGATGGCTGCTTTGAGTTCAGCGGTCGCCGCTTCAATCAATTTATTTTCTACGGGTATTATTACTTTTGGCAATAATTACTAATTATTTAGTAACTTCCTAAATAAATTAAATAATAAAGTAAATAAATAAAGTAAATTACTAATTATTTAGTAACTACGGTATTATTACTTTTGGCATAAATCGGCTTTACAAAGTGATTCTTTGCTAAATCAATGCTATGGAATTGCCTTAGCATCTGTTCTAAATTCTACTTGCTCTTATACACATCCCCTTACCTTTAAGCAACGATTCAGTCAACGTCAATTACACTACCTACATGGTCCAGCTTCTGTTATAATGATTGGTCTAGCCACTCACAATGCTAAACTCTCAATCAAGACTCACGTGACCACACTTATTTTTTTTGGTGCTGGACCTCGTGCAGGAGTACAGAAATTTACATCTCATCTTTTTCGGAACCAACTCGCTTTTGAACAACGTAACCATCATCATCAAAAAAGCACTTATAAAAATGCCGAGTACCACTCATGAACAATTTGGTTCTCTTTGGAACAAACTCTTTCCAACGACGCTAGGAAATGGAACTGACTATACCAAAGTTGTCACTCCTTATTTGTATGTAATGCGTGATGGCTTTTTTGTTCTTCTTTCAGCAAATCAAGGATTACCTTTTTATGAAGGTCGTATGGGATCAGTTGATTCTTCTGGAGTGAACGAAATTCAAGAAGAAATGTGTGGAACTTTTGCACTTTCTTCTACAGCCCTAGATAGTCTTAAAAGAAAAGCAAAGGTTGTTGATGTTTATAAAAAAAATGCTAGCAACAGATGGTGTTTTGACAGACAAGAAGAATGGGAGCTTAATGGGATTCCTCCTTTCATTTGCTTTGCAGGAAAATTGCATAAAGATGACCCCCGTGGGACAAAGACAGTTGATTGGGAAACCCTTATCAGACAAGAACAACCCCTACATCACCGCGACTTTGTACTCAAACGGCTCTCTGCAACATGGAATGAAAGTTCTACAAACTCCAACTTCCGAGGATTTCGCTTTGATCATCCCGATTGTCAGTTTAAGATCTGGGTCCATGAAAAGAATCGGCGTGCCCTAAAGAGTGAACTAAATGGCCTTAAAAAACAGATTGAAGAATTTAATAAAATACTTGATTTCTGTAAAAAATTTGAAAGTGCAGCATTTACATTCCTTTCAACCCAATCTTTTCCAACAACCGATGCAGGAGAAATCGATTGGACGGCACTGAAAGGTTGGGGCAGTTTAGCACAGGAAATTCCGTTTCCTCATTTAAAAACTCGATATCCCAATCTCTCTGAACAAGTAAGCTCCTACGAAGAAAATCAAACAGAGGACGAAAGACAAGCACTTGAAGCCGGCTTTAACGAGTTCTTTAAAACCCTTCCCTACAAAGCGCATTTTCCAACCGAAAATGTTCATTACGGTGGAATTTGCACCGACAACTTCATGAACATTCTGATCAAACGGAAAAAGCAGAACAACGACTAGCTGACGGCCGCAATTGTAGGCTTTATAAGAGAATGAGTAATGGTGGTCTTGTTCTATGGGATATTGTGCCAAACGATAAAACTAGTGAGCTTGAAAAGTGCAATTCCGTTCATACAGCAATTTATCATCAAAGGCATTAATGAACATGCATTTGATTTAAAGCGCCAAGTATCACTTTGGCGCCTCATAAGCTTTATCTGAAAGCAAACCAAGTGAGGGCAATTCCCCATGCAATTCCGATCAATGAAAAGAGAATATAAGAACTTTGATAGTTCTAAAGCATTTTGTCAAAAGCTTTAGGGAAAAACATGAGAATAAGGCCTCGGATAAGAAATAACCAACCTAACAAGGTTACAAGAACTTCAACACCCATGTACCAATAATTAAAATTTGTAACAAACACCATTCCAATAAGAATATTAAGAACCCCGACAAAATAGATTAGTGCAGGTGTTTTTTTTTCAGTGAGTCTAGCACTTTTTTCATGTTATCTTTATAGATAAGGGTCCAAAAGCTCGTAACGATCTTAACCCATCATCCGAGCTATAAATCTACTAGTACTTAAAAGGCTGAATATTATAAATAAAATCTTGTTGATCCCTTTACCTAGCCAATATTAAACTGATTTTTGTTGGTTAATTATCAACTACTGTACGTATAGTTGGTACAAACTGTACAAATACTAAACTTGTATTAAGATTTTAATAGTGGTAATTTCCCATTACAAGCTTTAATAAAATATATATTTTAAGCATAAAAGGAACAGTTGATGGCAAGCGTAATTTACTTTGTCCTGCCAAAGATAGAATGCAATTTTGCTACGTATAAATTTACCGCTACGGCCGACATTCTTTTTATAGGTGGCAAAAAAATGTTGCGTAAAAACTAAACTTGCACTGTGCGTCCCATCCAGAAACCTTATGCTTTTAGGTATTATAGCTGTTATATGCTGTAATTCTGTACGATCGCGATACTGAGCCTTCGCCTGATATCCGTGCTTACCATGATGGCAGGCACTTTGATGATCACTAGATTGTGGAGCTCTAGGATCTTGCTTAAAATATCTAGCATCTAGGGCCAGACGGCGGGAGACGTCTTTGTAATCGCGGATCTTGGTCATCGCGATAGCGTTGATTTCGACAAAGTGTTAATGGACGGTGCCAGACCATGGTTGAATTACTACTGGGCGTATGTACAGTACACTACAAGCTTTAATATATAACTTCTATATTGCAAGATAATACTGCCAAGTGTTGCACAGATTTCCTTGAATTGGATAACCGGCCGAGCGGATTTGATGAGAAAGCTTGACTATCAGTTTGTACTCTTTTGAACGGAAATTTTGACTTCACTAGCACCGACGGAAGTACAGTCTAAATCGTACCGTACTGCATCAGGACAACTAAAAGAGAAACCATGGAGGGACGGATTGTCGACCATTTCATAATAATTGATCATTTTGAATGTAGCAACTAGCAAGTGCCAAGTGTTGCACAGATTTCCTTAAGATTGGATAACCCGGCCGAGCGGATTTGATGAGAAAGCTTGACTATCAGTTTGTACTCTTTTGACCGGAAATTTGGACTTCAACAGCACCGACGGAAGTACAGTCCAAGTTGTACCGTACCGTACTGGTAACATAGCAACTAGCAAGTGCTATCCAAATTTTGGATAGTCATTTCGCTATTTCGAATAGGTACTGTGTACACTGTATATATAGTACACACTCTTTACACGACGTTTGAATGAACAAGACCGTTGAACCATGGACTTCTCCATGAAAATTCCATTTTTATAAATGGATTTTCCATGGAGAAGTCCCTGATTTAACTTGCTATGGTGGCGGTTGGTTCGTGGTGACGCCATGAGGCCTAAAATGTCTGTCCGTCCAAAGAGTGATTAGTCCTGTCCTGGTCTAGGTCTTCTGCCAAAATTATTGAATTTTTAGCATTTTGATTTTAGTTTTTCGGAAGATTTTACCGTTGAATAAAATATAAAATAATGAAATGAAAATGAATGTATTTTTAGTGCTGCAAGGGAAATGGGTAGCGTTCAGGCGCTTTACTTGGGTTGGTGTTATTATTGTTCTCGTGTGAACTGGACACTTGCAATAGTTCAGTCATGGACTTCTAAATACAAATGAGTTAGCAGGATAAGAAGGGATGTGCAGCAGTCCTATGGAGATGATTGAAAGATCTGCTACTGTACTGTGTATTTAGTGGTAGAGTAACTCACTGTACGTTTACCATACTTTACTACTACTCAGACTACTCAATATTCTTTTCATATTTATCCTTATTTATGTATTAGTAAAGTACATTAATAAGGAAGAACCGTTCTGCATCCAACAGAGGCTATAGCCGCGATGCCTACACTACGATACTGTATATTACTGTGCATGTACTCGCACGCGATACACTAGATAATGTGCGGTATCAGCAACCCTCATTTATCATAAGCCCTATGCGCTTAGGTTACGAGACATTTAGGTCCATGTCTTCTTTTAGTAGTCCATGGCTATTTCTATTTGCTACTGTGTTAAATCATGGTTTCAGCTATGCAGTACTATTGTTAGATATTACTCATTTCTTACAAAATAGCAACCAATAAGCACATTCAAATGATGAAAATATTTTTGAAACAGGAAATACTTTTAACTACTTAATTGACAACTTACCGTATATTTAGATATTGTTTTACACAACGCTTGCTTTGACGTAATACAAATTCCTTATTCTTATAGCTTACAGGAAAAAACGATTAATAAATGTATACTATGGCTTTTCATAGTATTGTCAATAGAGTTTTATACAATATAGAATAAGATATTTACTCTTCATTACCAATAAGATATTAAAGTCTTTAATCTTCTAGTGTTCATAAGGATATTAGTTGCAAATCCATTTATTCCACTCTTTATTATTATAACTACCTTATTAGAGCTGGTTTATTATGTTATTTTTCAAATAAATCATAGAATATGCTAGAACATTTATTTACAAGATACACAGGGTATTTATATTTGATCTGAACGCGCCGGCGTATAACATCTCATATCTAACCTTTTACTGCAAGCTAAGATATAATGAATATACAAAGATCGCAATTAAGCTGAAACTATTACGTTATTGACCCAAAAGCGCAACATACATGGTCAGTAATGTAGAAAATAACCAAGAGATTTATATTTTTGAATCGTTTAAATCATCATTAGCGATAGGATATATTCTATAATATTTAACTAATTAATAATGAATGAATGAACGAAAACCAATACTTGTATTCAATCTTCATAAGTAATCAACTATATCTGCATAATTTCATGTTCAAAGGATCAATATAACTAAGATAACAAATATTAGTCTTGAAAACAACGCTTAAAAAGTGAATTTCAAAATGATTCATTAAAGTAGACATTACTAACTCATGCTATTTATGAAATTAATTAACTGCAGCAAATCATAGCAGCAAACATGTAAAGGATCACTTAAATTACGATAAATTGTCAAAGACGTAAAATATTAAAATTATCATATGAAAACAACATTGCATAACAAAAAATTTGTACAAATTAATCATGGACCTAACGATCAATGCAAATAATATAAAGCTTCCATTCTATAAAAAAACTTGAAATAAGCAATAAAAGTAAAGTGTGCGATAATGAACCGACAAAAATTTATCTTTATATCCATCTAATATAATGAATTCCGTTACAATCATTGATCCAGGAATGACTAGTAGCATCAAGAAGAAAAGGTTTCATAAATTTGAAAAGATGCTACAGAAACAAAGTCATATGTCAATAGATTTAAAAATACTTTCAATCAACTAAGTCTTGTTCTAAGTAATTAATCAATTATACACCAAAAAGATTGGTATTCACAAAATTAGCACAATCAAGATGGAAAAAATAAATTGTGTTATACGTACGCGATTATATAATAATAAATTAATAAATCTTATTTGCGCATCCATCCTACTGGTGTTCAATAAAACTAACGATATCAAAATAATTATGAGATTAAAATGGATCAAGATAGTGAGTATGAATAAATACAAAATTGAAATAAAGCCATAAAAGCAAGACTGGAATTTGTCAAATTAATAAAGACTTTAAATGCTTGCATATCCCATCCAATTGATTTATCACACTATAGCTATCGGTAATGGAACTAGTAGCACATTTATGATGAACAAGAGACAATAAAACTTGAGATACACAATAACAGGAGGGTAAATAAGATTAAAAATTAATAAAGACTTCACGTAAATCTATACAGTTAAGATATTTACACAGTAACAATTAGTACCTCAAAAAATCAGCATGAATAGGATAGAAAAATTCAAGATAGGACATAAAAGATAATAAAAACTAGCTGATGCAATTATATACATATTAGTTATCAAATATTTATTCACAATATGCAACTAGCCTATTAGTACAGTATGACCAATTCTGAATTAACTAATTAATAAATCAACAGATTAATCTAATCGTGATATTTATCAGCGATTCATTAATATTTACAAGCTATTAGCAATAATGCTAACAGTTGTTTATCTCCTCAGAATTGCTTACAAGCTGTAATTTTTGCGTCTACTGAAATAATTCATTTCATTAGTTTTATTAGCAATAGCTGAAACTACATCTGTTACATGGTGGATAAATTAACGTTATTGGAGTCGACATACTAACCTTAACTACTTTTAAATCGAATATTGAAATTTGAAGGCAGACTTATTAATATCTGTCTTTACCGTAAACAACGATTTCCTGTAATAAGTGACTGAATTTAAAAATTTAACCTAGACTCTCACAGCACTATAGATACTATAATAACTATTTACTCGGTTAAGGTATTCAAAGGCCGAATTTTATGGTTATTCTTCACATATAAACACTTCAGATGTATTTATTGCCTCAGTCAGTGCATTTTTTAGTTTATTTTAGCCCTCAATAGATATCCAAGTGATTTAAAGTTCTATAAACTATAAGATTGACAAAAAATTTTAGAAGACAATACTCTAATTAACAACTGGTATTCAATATAGCTAGTAACATACTATCAAGGGCAGAGCATTTTTTAGTTATGAATAAAGAAATTTGGCCTATTTTATCGTGATCATTTTTAGAATCTCATGCATACTGATTATTTGTCCAGAGATATTGTACTACAAAAATGAATTAAATCATATGTTTATCGGTAATTTTAATTGTTATTTTACTGCCTAATAACAATAAAAGCAAGAATAGAAAACCCGCAATTCGTCAATCACGCTTTTGTTATTTTTACAATTTGATCTATCCGATAATTGATTTTTGTTAGCCTCTGATTTCAATACCAGATTATTGCAGTTTATTATCAACAGATATGATTGTATACCGTATAAAGAACCTTAAAGTATTTTTCTTTAGATCGAGTGCAATAGTATTATATAATTAACCTTGCCAGCTGCAAGCATCAGAAAAAATTCTAGAATTTAGCAGATTCTAAGTACCGCTATAGGAAGTAGCCGTATTCTTCTTTAATATCCACCTAAACAATGATTGATGTCTTGAATACGCTTTGTTAAGAATTAATATTTTGGTAATTTACCGTCATATCTTAGAAAGAAAGGATTGTATTTAACAAATAGAAATGTTTCTTTAACTCGATTAGTTTTACAGATCCAAATTTACTTTTCATAAATCTCTATAGAAATTAGGTCAATTGCTTATCTGACGCTGAGTTTTCATCATGCTCAATTGTATTTCGATATATGCAGAGGTAATGATAATAAAAGGGAAATTTAAAACGTAATCTATGTATTCAATGGATTTCCCCTACTTCGTTTAACGCCATGAATACTACCGATTTATTTTGGCAATAACTTATGTTGATCAAGTGTTCACTACGACTATACATGCACATACTCAGGGTTCAAGACAGAAAATATCTTGAATAAATTACCATGCCGCTTATTTTTACATGAAATATTTAATAGATATTGATAAATTCATTCTATAACTAAGTATTAGTAAACAAAATAATATATAGAATAACTTCATAAGTGTGGTCTTGCATTCTAAATCTCATTAATAGCAGCAATAACATATTATGTTATTTCAAAGAAAAACTACGCGGAAAGTAGCTTTAAAATAACTGTATTATATTTTTAGAATACATACAGAAGTAACTATCGTCTGAGAAAGTTTAATTTCTCACATAATTTTAGGGCTCAAATTAATACTGGATACAGGATAATTTCGCGAATTTTGTATTATAACTAAATAAAATACTGTCTTACGGAGATTAATTTATTTATATTACTTGAATTTACCTGCAAATATTGATTCTAGAATAACCACTCTTCTGTGTTAAAATATGTTTCAACATAAGAATATCTCATTAAAACTTAGGTATCAATAAGTGCGATATCTTATTATAATAATATTCTTAAATTTAAGTACTCTAATGGAGGATAACTTATTAATCAGTTTGAAACCTTATGAAAAATAAACTACCACGGTAGCTTCATAAAGAAACTGACCGTTCTACCATGAGAATATTTCTGATAGATATTCCCTCATAGACACTAATTCGTTAGGCTATCAGAATATTTTAGCCATTAGGCGTGAAATATATTTACTAATACAGTATTCCAAACTCTACAAGTTAGTACCTTTAATATAAGAATCATTCTATTGATATAAATATATCGTATTACATTAGTCGATCTTAAATCGGTTGAATTTATTAATTCAAGGATACTTTGAAATAATCTTCTTCCTCGATGACTCAATATCTATTTCCATTATGTTATCCATTTCAACATCCACAAGCGGTAATTAATAATTCATACATGATCTTCCTGTCATATTAAATGGACCAAGGAAAACTATTCATATCAGATATTGATCCATTTGAAATTCCTTAGCAAAACAGAGTGCTACTATTTCTCTAATATACTACCAATCATTTGATTCAACCGAAACTAAATTGACGATCAGCTGGAAGCATATAAATAAGACTGCAATTGAGTCTAGACTCTCATTCTAATTACAGCATCCTTAGCCCCTTGTATTCACTTTCACACTATTGATTACAAGATGCATACCATCAGTTTAATGTTATCTGCACTTTTGGCTACAGCAGCTATAAATGCCGTTTCAGTGTCAAAAAGAGAAAATGAATTAGAAAATTGGGATCCTCTATGGCGTGAGTCAATATATTATGGCGAATATCATGTTATTCATAACCACTATCCACAGGGATTCGCTACATATAGGTACTAAAGCTTAATCACTATATTTTTATTTAATACTATACAGCTTTCAAGAAATCAGCTAGTTGTCCAGAAGCCCTGGTATCCCTAACCACTTGCGCTCAATTTGCTAAAATGGATACTTTAAAATATGAACTGGGTTATAGCTCTAAGGTATCATGTGACCGTTGGAAAATCTTAGAAAGATGCCTAGCCGTAGGCACCAAACCTTGCAACACTCCTAATGGTGTCCAAAAATTCTTCGTCAATTTGAGCAAATTATATAATGCTGATATATATAATCAGTGCATTGCAGGTATACCAATTACAAACTAGATAAGTTTAGTAGATATCGACAGTGCCACTTAACTTCTCTGTTGGAAAATATTATTTTATAGAAAAACCAGCTAGAAGCGATTTCATGTTAAGATCCATCATGAAGGAAGTGCGCCAATCCGATGATGAGGAGAGTGATGATCACTGCAGTACCAACGGAATGTGGTTTATGTTTGGTTGTGTAAATAAATAATCAGCCAGTTGGAATTGATATTATTACAGTTACCCTGATTTTATTTCTAAGCAATATCGTAAATCATTGATATAGAACTGTATTTGCAGGATTTGTTAATCATGAAATGCAGTTCATCTATGTAGGTGTAATAAATTTATTTACAGTATTTCAGTAATTTTAGATGGATCAACGATAACAGATCTATTTTAAAATCAGATGATGTAACTGTCAAACTTCTGATCGATAACTGAAAATAAAGAAGGCGTATCAAATCTATCAAGGAGTCTTTTCTTGTTTCTAATATTTGGTAATAATAGAACTTTGTAGCAGAATTAAACCCGTTTCTATGAAGAAGACAGAGCAATGAGGATAAGCTTTGTGCCTTATAGCTTTACATTTTTACTGATATTTTGCCTTGTTTCAACTAAATAAACGTCACTTAGAATTGTATTGTAATGAAGGTTGAAATAATGATCTACATTATGGCAATATAGAATAGCGTAAGTCTACTTGTGAAATAAGAATTATTGATTATTCTAGCGTCTATAGTACGCTTATTTTTCTATTTAATACTTGGTTTGTAAAGCTGATTCTTAGTCTTAAATTGAAATTATAGTTTATGTAATTAAATTCAAGGATATCATGCCAACTATCAAGCTGCGCTTGGATTAAATTATCTCTCATTCTGAGACATCCATATACCGGTAATTAATATCCTAGTCTACATAGTCCTTTTCATCCTTTGTTAGCACGCCAAATTTAATTCGATCCTTAATATAAACTTTAACAAATATACTTTATATCACAGTAAACCCTACCATTATTGATGAAGATCTGTCGATAACTTTAAGCTGTATTGATACCGTGATCAACAAGGGACTTGGATTTAAATCTTGATGTGATCGTTAATATACTCGATACGAGAATAATTCAGTAAGTCCACCCTTTCACTTAATATAATTAGCATAATATTGCATATCCTTAATTAAATGTACACTACATATAAGAGCCAAACCTAATTGCAGGATTAGTACGATACTTTCCACTAGTTTTCCCGTTGTAGGTATTAACTTAGCTGTTTTAGGATAATGAAGTGCATTAGAACTAGATCATATGTTCAAGGATATATCTATTCAGGAAATCACACCTTTCCTTCTCCGTTTAGCCATTTAGCCATTAACTGTGATTAGCAGATTACCGTCATTAAAGTACGAATGGTAAGGTTTCAATCTCAATGGAATAATTACCAAATCGAATGTAAGCTATATTATTGTTGCTACTAGTAATTTTTGATGATCATTGTAGCTACTTAGGAATCCACATTCTCTTCTTTCTCCATTTATTTTTCAGCTATTCACTGTAATTAGCAGATTACCGTAATTAAAGTACGAACGGTAAGATTCCAATCTTAACTGAATAATGAGCAAATCGAATGTGAGCTATATTATTGCTGCTGCTACTAGTAATTTTTGATGATCATTGCCGCTACTTAGGAATCCGCGATCTCTTCTTTCTCCGTTTAGTTTTCAGCCATTAACTGTAATTAGCAAATTACCGTAATTAAAGTACGAGTGATGAGATTCAGACCTTGACTGTATAATCACCTAATCCGATGTTTATTATTGCTGCTACCAGTAATTTTTGATGATGATTGTAGCTATTCAGGAATTTGCACACCCTCTTTCGGCGTTTCATCATGATTATATTGTATAGGCTGTAGTAGGCGTCTATGCACATCTATATTAATGACTGTATCAAATTCAACGAGCAAGGACGCATTCTTTTTAACTACTAGATCCATTTAATATTTTAATTGTGAACACTAGAAAATAATTGTTTACAACTATCAAACAATACTCAACGACTATCTCTATTATTGGTACACATAATCAAATGACAAGAAATCAATACTAATAGTAGTCATTTATGATCGTCATGAGTCGAAAAATGTTATTTGTGTATCCATAGCAACATCGATTAATTGCCACGATCAAGTTGTTATCGGGCCTCCCTTCCACTTCCACCATTTTCTTTCAATAACATGGCAAGGATGGGAAATCAAAGCTGGTTAATTCATGCATTGGTAACCATTTTACTCTTAATTATAGTTAAAACATCAACGACATCAGCAGCAACCTCTAACGATTGCTTAAATCAATGTAGTTTAACTGCAACGACAGATTCTATCAATAAATTTCTAGCATTAAAGAAGCAAAATAAATTCCGCATTATCACATTAACCTTGGCGATCAATAATGACACAAATGGTTTATCCTTGGCGGCTAATCTTGCCTCAAGTTATGAAGCTGATAAATGGGTTTGGGCGCTAGAAACATATGGACGATCCTATCTCGCGTTACCTTTTGATATCAATATATTTAGTATGGGAACGTTAACTTTATTTCAACGAACAGCCACAATTAACATTACAGCAACACCCAATAATTGTTTAGCTAGTTTAAACGAAACCTGTAAACGAAAAGTTATAGGCAAATTTTTATCGGGAATAACTCAGACGGATTACAATTTACATATGATGTGCCATCGTGTAGCTCAATCTGAAGCATTTTTATGGCTGGTACAAAATCAACTGGCTTATGAATGCTGCAATGAGCTCGATAGCCTTTCTGGCAGTTGGGACTGTAATCATCCTGTTGAACTTAACGGCTGGTTAAATATCCTTTATGTAATGATTTATGCTTCTATCGTTTTGGTAGTCTTGTACGTCCCGGAAAAAATCTTAAATGAAGTTAGCGAAGAATATGAGCGTTGGTTCTACCGATCGAAAAGAAAGAAACCGCGATCGTCATCTCGTCAAAATAAAAAACAGCAACAGGCAAATAATAATAACGACTATGGAATAAACCATCAAGATGAACCTGATGCTAGCAAGCAGCATAAAATTAGCATACAAGATGATAAAGAACTCGCTACCTTTAACAAGCGCAATTTAAGACAACTTTTTGATTTTGATAAATATTCCTATACCGAACTCATTATTTTAGATGGCGATGTCCCATTTCAAGTCTTGCCTAAGCGTTGGAACTGGAAAACCAATCGTTGCTACCAAATTTTATTTATTTTATTATCCCCTATCGTCATCGTTATTTTCTTGGCATTACAATTAACTATTAATCGACAACTATTTGAAAGAGTCTACTTAACCAATTTAACTCAACAGCAACTCTATGAATATCTAATACCTGCCGTATGTGGTGGTTTTGGTTTATTTGTCATCGTTGGTGCTTGGATAGTTGCTACACTAACCACCGATTCGCTAACCAATAATGTGTTTATCGATTGGTTAGATGATTTACAAGTGGTTGAAGAAGATGACAGTGATGATGACGATGAAGAAAGAAAAGAAGAAAAGAGCAACTTACCGGCAATCTTCAGTACTCACGGTAGCCATGAAATTGTTAAATTCCATCGTACTGTGGCAAAAAATCGTAGCTTACTTTTCAGTTCAACTTATTGGAGTAATTATCGAATTTGGGTGTGGGATACACCAATTCAATATTGGACAGCTGCTAAAAAGCAAATGTTGCAATCGGTTAATATGTGTGAACAATTATTTAGCTGTATCGGCTTTATGTTGGCAACCGGTCTACTCCCAGTAGTAGTTTTAATATTATGTCTACCTGTTTTTGTTGTTTTCTTATTGATGCCAATACCCCTTGTTTATTGCTTTTTAACTTCCATAGCTGGGGTACATAAAATATTATCGCGTAAAATCACTGGTTTGTGCAATATTTTATTGATCATCATCTTTTTCATTTGCTCCCTGTATTTTTATATCATTTTAATCGGTCTGCTTGCAGTGTCGGCCTATCTCATTCTTTATACTTTTGCATTTACTGTAGTAGGAATAATTGTTAACGCTGATGTCAGTACACCCTATCTTATATTTATCGTGATCATTATATACTATTTATTCTCGGTGATATCTGATCGCTATGTTAGAAAGCAAAAATTGAAAAAATTAGCATTTGAAATATGTGAAAAATTAGAATCTAACCGTGAGAGTCAGTTTTCGTTGGATAAGCAACGTGAAATCTTGGGCAAAGCTGTTGTCGATGACCAACAACAAAATAAACCGGAAACAAGAAGAAAGCATCGAAAGTATACTTTGCCACCATTAAAAATGAAAAACTCTCGTATCGATCCTATCGATATACCCAAACAGCCACTTTATGATGACGAGGAAACATCATTAGATCAAACATTTACACCATTGCAAAAAATTAAGACATTATTTTTCGAAGACCATCATGGTGCAGCTTATGTTCCCTTAGCTGTATATAAGGAAGTTTGTGCTCAGCATCTAGGATCATCTAGGAGAACTTTTATACGATTTATCCGCATGCTGTGTATTGTTATTTTTACATTTGCAGCCATAATGTCTTTTGGTCAATTGCAACGATTAACATCCCTAGCCAAGCCTTTGGCAGCATTCTTGATCGGTTATTTACCATTATTGGTTGCATTAGGAGATAGCAATGCAGAGGCTGCACTAAATGATAAAAAACTAAAGAAAGAAGTCATTTCCACTATATATCGCTTTGCTACGGATATTAAAAAAAGTCAATTGATCGCTCCTGAAGAACTTGAGCAAGTATCACAATACCATAATGCTAGGGAGACTTTAGCTCATGGAATTATTATGGATGTATTTTAGTATTAAAGATTATATTGACCGCATTAATTTTATTCTAAATATGAAAATTAAAAATGAAGATTACTAGTTATGGGAATATTATATTATAATAAGATAGGACTGGCATTGTATGTATATAGTATTTATTTACACTGTAAATATAGGTAGTACATGGGCCTTATAACAAGAAAAAGCTCTTCTTTATTACATAGGTTTCTATCATTGCGAAATAGCATCAGTCCTTATAATGTTCAAATATGTAAAGATAGTGTTAATCAAATTCTGGATTCTAATTTTAAATATAAATTGAAATAAAGTCTTGTTACTAATTTTACTTAAAAGTTCCATTTTAGTTTTTTTGTCAATTTTTAGCGCGTAGTTATAACTTAAATTCGTGTATCGAGGCGTGAAGATCTTTTAGCTTTGAATGCTCTGTACGAATGATTTGACTTAGAAAACCAATTAGATGTATACTATTAGTGGTAGCTATCGGCATTATTCATGCTAATAAATATATATTCCTGACCCGTATCGTTGGCTCTTAACTCTTAAGAAAATACCTTAATTTTCAATTCTATCCACCAATGAGTTTTTAACTGACTTTAAAGTGTAAATTAATGAATCTATCTTCAGACTGCACTTAACAATTGTTCAATATTATATTAATTAATAATATTTGTAGCAACACGATATCTTTAAAAGGTTAGCGTCATAATCCTGACCTCTCGGCTATTTCCTGCATAGTTGTCGTCATATCGATGCAACAATGTTTATAATCTATTCGCTACCCCGCCCTTGGTGAAATCCGATCATATTTAATCGAAATAAAGTGCAAAGCTGTGTTTAGCACTAAGCCATGTAGTCGACTAGGAACAGATTTCTAATAGATCGATTCTCCAGTAGTACTGCTTGTTTTTTTAGTTTGCTATCTATTTCCTATTTCGGGTCTACTAAATTGAAACAAACTCTTCGAATTTCTTTCTATTTAAGTGATATGATGTCACGGTACGCCGTTACTAATTAAGTAACTGTAAATTAATGAATGCTTATGAATAGATAAGATAAGGTTATGTGCTATGTTTTAATGCGCTTGTAGCTGATAATAGGATGGTAGAAATGAGATAAAAATAGAAGTTGTTAGCAGTTAATTTACTGTAGGTTTATAAGGTATGTTAATCTCTAAAAATTGAGCTGTATATGGATGAAGGTTAAGCGTCTTAACACCTGATAGCTTGTAGCTATCTAAGTGTGAGAATATCGACATGTATATTTAGTAATGGTATTATACTAATTAATGTAACTTGTAAAGCATGAATTCTCACTCGTTAATATTGGAATTCACTGTAGAAACCTATTTAAGCGCGTGTATTTGTAGAATAAAGAAAGTAATTGCTCAAGAAACGGCAAGACTCATATCGTGAAGAATAGTGTAATAATTAGTCAGTTGTCTGTGGAGATCAGCCGAGAAATCGAGTTCTCAAATACTTCTCTCATAGAAACTGAAAGTACTGGGAGAAATAGCCCAAGTTTTAAGTAACTACACTAGAGTTCTTTACTTTCCTTTGCCACAAGTGAGGGTTGTGACATATGAATGTTTCAGTTTAAGTTGTATAAGAACTCAACCATGCTACTAAGGTCTGTAAGTCTATAAGTAGAACATGCAGGAAGTTTACAGTTAATTACAATAAGTAACAAATTTTTAATTACTATAGTAATCGAGTTCGTTTAATTTTTAATTCGGCAATATTAATGTTCTAGTTTTAAGATGGTTAAGAACTCAACCATTTTACTGATTTCTGTAAGAGTCACGTATGATAAATTAAATAGGTATATAAAAATGAAAGCTACGTATAACCTTAGATCAGATGTTAAAATAATTTACAACATTAAACTGAATAGAGTAAAATTAGGATTTTAATTTACAAATTCATCCGATCTAAATTCTCTAATGCTTCTTCATAACATGATTATTAACAATTTTATATGATGTCGCTATTCACTATCGTCACTATTTCTTTATTTCCTTATAAATTTCCCTAAAACTATTCGAAAGTGTTAAAACTTGTTAGTATGCGTAAGAAACTAATTTTATTTCTTTAATGCCCGAATCGATAGCTCATAGATCAATATAAAATAGAATAGAATTTATCACAAAAATAACTTTTAAAATAAATTACTAAATTTTCATTCTTGCATATTGTATGTGCCATATCAAAAAAGGCCTTCTTTAACATCGAGACTCAACAGTGTAATTAATGTTTACTGTTGATCATCAATATGAAATATTAAAATTTGTTATTATAAAATCAATCTTTTCCTTTATAGAATACTATTAACGATCTACTGAAACCTAAAATGAGAATGTCATAAATGGCTATCTAATGAGAATTGCCATAGTCAGTGAAACATTTGGTCTCTATCCTAATGAAAGATAACTATAAAGAATTTAAGTTCGCAAATACGACTACATGGCAATACTGCTGCTAGCAAATCCTTTGTAGAACAAAACTTGTAAGTTATTTCTGTATTATATAGAGTGAGTACTAGATTGCAGCCTTGTCGATACATTCTATTTATGATTTCTACTTAGGATTTAGGGTTTCTAATAAATGTTTGCAAAAGAAGTGAGATGCAACCATATCTCTAATAAGATAGAAAGCATCTTGCAAAAACTGCCAACATTTTGACCTCCTCTCATCGTTTCTAAGTAGAAATTAAAATTATTTTAAAAAATAAAGATAAAGTCGTTCTATTGCAAAAATTCGGTGAAAGGCAATTTGTAAGACTACCTTTAAAGTATCCGATATAGTCAAATTTTCTGTCATTAATTAAGGTATTTATAATATATAAAGCTTTTCATTATGATAACAGTTTCTAAGGAAGACTCCCACTTTTTCATGGTATCGGTTGAAAAGCCAAGATGAAAATAGTCAATGTTATGATCCAAAATCAATCTATTAATATGTAGCAGGAGTAAAGTAATTTTTAATTACTTCATCTTTGTAAAAAAACTTGGGTGTAATCCATCGCCTTGGATATCATAGAAACTTATTCGTTCCATTACTGATACCTAAATATTAGTTTGTATCTTATCATTGTAACATTCGCGTTATTTTAAATTCTTCATAATGATGCTTCTTTCCATTTTATGCGCGATAAAGTCATTCTAGATCGATTTGAAGGTTTGCATAGTAAGAAGATTTCGTAAAAGATACTGTCATTAACCAATGTCCAATTCTATTTCATTAGTCATCTAAATTTTCTAGTATTAATGTTGATTGTGATTGATCTTGTTGCTGACTATTTTGCTCATTTGTCATATTCTTAAACTTAGGTTGCAATAGAACTTTATAGGCCATTGTTGTTTTCGGATGCTTAGGTCCAAGCACCTATATGAATATGAATTTACAGATGTTAAGATTATAGTATTGTATCATTGTAGATAATTACTAAATCAAAATAAATTTCCTATTTTCTTAATATTTATATAGTTTAAAATGATTTAAATACAAAATCAAAATGATATCATATCACATATCATTAGAATCTACGCGTAGACAATAATATCTTTGGGCTTACATTGATACAAATTTCATACCACCGCTTATAATGCTGATAAGCCAACTGATATTCTTTTTTATGTTCATACATTATTCCCATATTATTTTGAATGCGTAACATCAGGATATGATCATCCCCATATGCTTGCTTGCATAAGTTGTAAGCTTTTTTATAAGTCTAGTAAAGTAGTATCAAAACAATCTAGTTGATCTACTGCGTAATCAAATTTTATATTACATATTACTAAATTAGAACAATCAACAAGAATTTATCGCTTAGATCAGCAAAACTTATGATTTTAAGGAAATTGAAACATTCAACGAAGATACTGATATGTAATCTTTTACCTCTAGCTGGATATCAGAACCTAGCTCGCAAATAAATACCGCTGAAGTCATGTAGCATTCGGCAACATGCCCAATATCGGCCAGCTGATAAAGATATGATATACATTGCTTAATCTTCGTTATTTAGTATTTGCTATAAATATAAATACGTTAATATTCCTAAGCACTGACTCGTAAGTATATTGAGTATTTTAGCGAAATGAACACTGATGACCAATACTATCTGTGGCGGATACAAAACTATAAATAATGATGTAATATCTAAAATCAACTAGAAATAGATTGAATTTAGTTTTACCCACTTAACAGAAGGTCTTCTATTCTAATTGAACTCTATCCACTATCAGAATGAATTTTTAACAAGATTTCAGGTATACTTAAGAAGCACATTTACTGTATAGAGATTCTTAAAGCATACCTTTCAACGACCCACTACTGAATAGATGAATAAGTTATATTCTAAAATTTCTAAGCTTCAAAATTACTGATATACATTCTTGTAACCAAAAAATTTAAATGTACTTAATAGTAGCGTAGACATTAGGCAATGCTGTATCATGATTGATGATACTTTAAATTTGATGTTTTAATTAGCTGAAATCACTACGGTATACAATATATTTCTTTGCCGAAATCCAGTAAGTTAACAAAATTGTCAAAGCAATTTGGTATTTTAATTTAAACTGATTCCTTAATAGTTATTAGATCTAAAAGTTAAGACTATTTATACTATAATTATACCTTTTCAAATGTTCTAAGAGCGTTTTGGCAGTGAATATCAGCTTCATTTTTATATTTAGGCCTGCTATCATTAGTTTCTGTCAACTCCGTTCTTGCTAAACCTCCACAGTGGAGTGCAAGCAGTAACTCAGTTTTTCCTAGTTGAAACTAATAAAATCCGATCGCACATTATAAAATAGATATGTCCTTATACTAGTAAATATCATTATATTTAAGCAAATCATAAGAACAGATACGATATTATAAGATTTTATATATGTTTCTAGCATATTCCAACCCTAGAATCTAGGTTCAAATCGAATACATCAAAGTGAAATTCTATTCTGACAAAAAAAGAAACAACTTACCAAATGTTCTCTACTCGTTAGCGATTTCCTATGTTTAATAGAGTTACGTGCCAACTCGATAACTGTTAGATGATTTTTATGTAAGCGATTACCAATAAATCCCTCAAGACGAATCATCTAGTATTGATTGGGTTGGAATAGGATAATATCTCGCTCAGCTTATTTGCAATTTCCAAATATCCTGCAGCTAATTATGCATTCTTATCCGATTAAATTTTCTTCATTCCTTACCTCGCTATGAATTTCTGCTGATAATTGCAATAAGTCAGCCAGCTCTTCGTTTCTTTTACCTAATAATGACGTTTCAATATCAATCACTTCTTCGATCATTCCTTTTGCTGCAGATAGCTGGCCTGCACGACATCTGCAAGAATGAAATTATAATCTATTTCTTACAAACTTATAGTAAAAATAATGCAATTGAAGCCGATAATTTCTTTGCTACTATCACAAAAATATATATTAGTAGTATTCTCTCGCTATCAATCACTGTATTAGTTGAAAACTAACAGAAAACGAGTAACTGATTCCTTCTTTTCAGCTAAAGCACCATTAATACCATCTTCCTGTTCTAGTTTAGCAAGCGCTTTTTCATACCAATGAGCGGCTACATCATATCCTCCAATCTAATATTATAATAATTAATAATTAGTAAGGTAATTATCCTAAATTTACCGTTAGCTTCGATGTAATGCGATATAATCTCAATCTTTTTGATAAACTACACAGCTCAATGAGAGCTGACTAATGATGGATTTTAATGCAAAGCTGAAATTTTTATTGATCCTTATTAATTTGCTCGACCTTAAGCTCAATTTTGTTGTATACTGTACAGTAAAAAAGCAGCTCTTAGCCATGATTCTTGATTTTAGTTTAAAAAAGATTTGACGAAATTATAAAAAGTAGAAAAATAGACTTTTGCTTATGGTAGAAGACCTTCTAGTGATTTTGTATAAATCATTCGGCGAAAGTATTACTACACTTACCATGCTCCAAAATTTTAGTAAATTCGAATTATTTTCTTCCTTGCTCAATTTCATGAAGACCGGCCAATCTAGCAAGCATCGAGCTAAACGATTAGGATCGTCTAACTTCTCTAAATGGTAAGGCAGTTCCTGTACATATGAAGTTGCAATGATTTATAAGCTAGGATATAGTAAATATTGTATTGCAAAATAGCTCAAGACTACCTCCGCTTTTCGATCAATATTGTCGGCAGTTTCAAAATAACCAGCTAAAATTTTATGCCATTTAATGTACTGTTGTTTTCTGTGACTTTCCTCTCCACTAAAGTATCTAAAGTTAAATTTCAAAAAGAACTGTTATGGTTTGCAGCAAAACCAAAAAGTATGCCATGTAAATATTTAAAGCATTTACTCTCTACATCCTTCCAGCTCTAGCATCATGTATGATAACGACATTGAACAATATACCTTTTTCTTACAGCTTTACTGACAGAGCGATGATAAAAGTCCAGACGACCTTCTCCACTATCTCCACAAGGTCTTAAATATGGTCGCAATGATCGATAGATGATGGCCCACATTGCTGCTGGTAATGGACGACTCTCATCAAATGTTAGATTTCCGTTTATCGTTCCTAAAAATGAAAATAAAAATTTACGTCATATCTAAAGAGATTGAATCTATTCATTGATTAATGCTATAGGTCTATTTATAAGTTGAACTACTTTAAAATTAACCATAAAAAATATTCTTAACTTTTAGTAATCTAGCTTTATTGCCCTAAAATTTACGAAGCAATGCTACCGGCAGAACTAATAATAAATTTTAAGACCCATGAAATTATTCCAATTGCTGCAAGGGTGTTATAATAGGAGTAATGGAGCCAAAGTAATATTTTAAAATTTTAAAATTATTCTTGCTTGTTTTGCACTTAATAGAGATATTGAAATGCAACGAATTTCGTTACCTATGGTTTCAAATGTGCCGGAATCTAATTCGTCTCCAATTCCTCCTAAAATGGATAACAACTCCGTTTCTAGTAAACCATATCGAGAGCATTCCAGTAAACAAACAGTAGCCACAAGCAATGATCCTCCAATATCTTGTTCAAATGACATTAAGATTTGCTCTAGCAAACTAAAAGCATAAGAGTTTTAGCGCATCACAGCTTTGTTATACTATAATCTAAGTAAATTTTTCACTGAGTTCATGACACCCCTAAAAATTAATCTATTTTACGTCTATTTGCCAATACAAATGGTAACATATGGATTACTGAAATAAATTCTACCACTTCGTCACAAATAAGGCATACACGTATCCTACCCGACATGAATATCTTTCTCTGGCTAGAAAGCTGTTCATTGTTTCTCAATAAACTTAATTTATTGCAGCGTAGTGAAAATACTGATCTTAAAATATATCCTATTTCTTGCGTATCTACTTATAAGTGTACCAATTTAAGGAATGAAATACTATAAGTGATCCTCTCTATAATCCCTCCCGCTTCTTATTTGTATCATTATCAAGCAATGACGATAGTAAGATGATCTAACTGTTACCTGACAACATCATCCGCTAAGCCATCAATTTTTTCCGTAACTTTATCAAATATACCGAATATACGAAGTTCTTCACATGCAATAGACAGCCATAGAGGATTAGACGATCCTTTCTTAGACAGTAATTTAGCCATTTGTTCTTCATCGAGTTGTTTGTTAAACTTGGCTAGCGACTGCTTGACGATTTCCTAGCACAGAACAGTAAGTAAGTGAGCTATGCTATTTTTAAAGAATCAATCTAATCGAAGCTTTGTAAGACATTCTATCTAATTAATTTACTAAAAAATCCACTAGAACGTATGGTTGTAATATAATCTTAGGATATCACTGGTAATTCATCTTAATTGCTACTAATTTTAAGATAAATTCATGTAAAGCTCAATATTAAATCAACGTACTGCTCTTGCTTCCATCTCAAGCGAATCACAATTCAATTCCTTGGGTTTCTTAGCTCTTAGCATTAAATTTTTATGATAAATTGTATCGGTAATCACAGAAACGATAATTTTAACATTAGGTGAAGGCTCTTGAGGAAGCCAAGTCATTAATTGGGCATGTAAATTATCGTCCAACTGAAATTAGAAAAAAGAATATTCTCAACTTGGATGTCTTTTTATGCACAAAAAAAGTGCTTGCTAAATCATATGTGATTAGCAAGAAAGAAGAAGTAATTACATCTAGCAGTATTGTAAGCAAATAACTTATACTGTGTTTTGCATGTTGCATCATATTTAGCTAATAAAATAAGTCTACTTTTTCTATAACAGGAAAGTTAGGTCAGAGAATGGCTATAGGATGTCAGTTTCTAGAATTTTATTTTCTCAAAAGTTTCAAGCTAAATAGTTAAGGTATCATGAAATTATAATTATTATAATATCTGTCGTGATTAAAATCAGTGAGAAATAGTCTCTAACTAACTTATAGCAACTCATAAAAGCTTCAATAGGAATGACAACTTATCACATTAATTTGTACAAGAGATGCAAAGTTATAACCTAAAAGCTTCGATATTCGCATACTGCTCATACTAGTAAAGTGACTTACTTGATTTATGGCATCAATAAATATGATGACAGGTTTAGTTGAAGTACTGGATAGAACATTAGCCATTAAACGTATTAAAGCATCCATATCGGTAGGAATTTCGCCCTAAAATGATTAAAAATTCTCTTCATTAATGTGGCTACTTTTTTATAGTTATATGTTTATTATTCCAAGCTCTCTTGAATGTTGCCATTATTTCATTTATCAGAGGCTTTATAGCTCATTTTGCGACATTAAAAAACTACAGTAATCGTCATTGTTAATAATTGTCTAATCAGAATCTAGTCGTAGCTATTCTACAGAGAATTGAAGTTTTGTGTTTTGACGATTCTGAAACATGTTGGAAGGGTTTAATATTAGAATCTGAAGTTATACGCTAAGCCTTATATTAATTTCATAGTGGATAGAATTCATCAATAATTGACTAGATCAAAGACATTTTATACTTTGAGCTTAGCAAAATCATTCAGAATGCCAATCTCAAAAAACTATTAGCCAGTAAATGAGTTAAATGGAGAGAAAGAAAATGTTAAGTGGCATAATTTATTCCGCCAATCTCTTCCTTATATTCAACTTTAGCTAAGCTGTGAGTAGCAAGAATTATTAAGTCTGAAGACAACTTAAGGAAGGTTTATATACATTTCTGCCCAATCTACGGTAGATTATCGTCAATATTTTTATAGGAAAAGTTTACAGAATAGAATTGAGTAAATAAGGTTTCTAGTACTAGAAGTAAAGAATTTCATTGAGCAATACCTTATACTCCATCCTTTTCAGAAATCGTTGTATCAAATTTCCAATATCTGTTGAACCTGGCACTGCACCAATAAAATGATAAAAAGTTGTCCATTTTTTCTTTCTGGATATCCCAAAATGTCAAAAACAAACGTCAATTTCTTTCAAAATATGAGTCATCCTATAATAACTGTAGCTAATGTATATATATATATACATAGCTACTGTACTATCCTTAAAAATAGATGCATGCTTTTTAAACATGGATAGTCTTACCCTATCAGATGATATCTTTGATTTAATTTTCCAATTGTAATTTCAGCACTTTTAGCAATTACTGCACTCTTACCAGCACCAGCTTCGCCACATACAGTCAGCATTGTATGATCGTTTTGTTCGAAGATATAATCTTGAATCTGAAATAGAATGTGAATTAAGTTAATTTACTTATGGATAAAAAACAAATTGTAGCAGCAGGCTTTCAGCTATTGCTCTACTGCTTCATTTATGACGATAACTATATCAACATACCAATTGCAGAATAGCATCTCGACCAAAAACTGCTGACGATCGGCTAACTAAAAATGTCTGAAATCCAATATTTCACTCGATTTTAACGCTACGTCTTATCAGTATGATCATCATATTGAATTAGAATGATTATTTTGCCTTAAAAATTAATCGTTTAAATATAGCTAAAGGCTCTCATAATTACACTAGGTATACTACCTCGTGAGATTCATCACATGCTTCTTCTAATGACATTGATTTACAATTCATGGGATACTGCTTGGAGATTCGATGTTTAAAATGTTCTAGTACCTGTTATGTTTAAAGTTAGCATTTACTTAAGGTAAACCTTCTGATATTAGATCAATGTATATTGAGTCGATAAGTAATGCCGACCTTTTTAGCAAAAACAGAATTATCTCCATAAAGCCCTGTCATAACAGATCTTCCTGTGGCTGGGTCAATATGACTATATTCACATTGGTATCGGATAATATTTTCCGGCTAAATGATAGCAAAATACATCAAATTATATTTAATTCCTTACAGTAAGCGTTCTAATGAGTAAAAGCTGTTTGTCATTATCAGATTATTGAACGATCAATGTGTTAAGCTCATTTGTTACAGGAAATGATTATTCTCTATTACATTCTTTTTACGAATCTCATTCATCTACGGTAACATAGACTTAAAAAAGCGAAAGAAATACAATTAGTAATAAATGAGTATATGCTCGTTAAGAATTAATTATTTCCTATAATTAAAGTAAATATCCAATGTAGCGCTATTAAATAATGTTGCTTGTCTATCATAGTGAGCTCCGTAACTAAATTATCAAGTGTGTTAATGGTCAAACGGCTACTCAGTAAAATTACACTTAGTTCATACATGTATCTATTTCAAATGGTTCGATTGCTACCGCACTAATCAATACCAATTGATGTGATGCATGATTAGAATTATATTAAGATAATAAAGATATCAAGAAATAAATTTTGGCGTCAGGTGCTTACAGTAAGCTGTAGTTAAAATGCTTATTAAGTAACTAATATTATATAAAGTCATAATAACATCCAGTACATATAGGATCTTATATCAATTTAGCCCTATTACGTTACCTTAAATCGAGCGCGCAAACAAGTCTTCAATGCTTTGACTTTCTCTATCGCTTCATCATCTTCTTCAATAAAATCTTGTTTTACATTATCTGGCATATTGTGCAGATAGCTTGGATCACGCATCATAAATAATGCTACATGCGATTCATTAGATATTATAATAGTTATAATTAGATAGTTGCAATTTGTATCATGTCACTGGTATCTAGGCGATGCAATTGTACTATACTTGTAAGATGGTTAAGCGATTCCACTCACCATTTGGGTTATATTTCCTAATTGCTCCATGAATAATTTCCATTTCTGTTACTGAGGCGTTTTTAATCCAACCATATTCACGAGCTAGTGACGAAGAAATTTCTTCTACTGGTGGTATCCATCCTACTCTATCACTAATCATATTCATAAAGCCAGCTATCAGTTATTATAATCATAGAATGCTCATAAACAGTATGCATATATTCCATTTAATTAGGCAACATTCAATAATTAGAAACTGAGCGCAAATAGATATACCAAAAAGTGAAATGCAACAAAAAAGAAATCTTATCAATAACTTAATTCGATCATGAACAGTATCTACGATTTCTTAACTACCTAATCATATTGAGAAAGAACGGTCGTATATTATCTTCATAACATCGATCAAGCTCACTCATACATATACGTATTGTTTTTTCCGATGTAGTATCTTTAGGAACGCCCTAGTATTGAGTAAAAACACCATTAGTGCTTATTCTAATTTGAGATATCTATAAAAAAAGATGATGAAACTAACTTAGAATGAATGAACTAATGTATATAGAGCTAGTCCCATTCATAAGTACTACAGCCCAAGTAAAATATGAAGAAAATTTGTTAAATATTGGACGTATATATTATTCTTTTTTTTCCAATTAGGATATTTCATCAAAGATCGACAAGTAACATAGGAAACACGCTACATTAGCTATAGTCAGATAGATATTGTAGTTAAGCTTGGAAAATACTGTATAGGAATATTAATGAAACGTATATATTGTTATTAGAGAGGCTAGAACTCTGAAATTGAAAATACGCATAAAAAAACTGTCATTATGCGGTTTGCTGCAACGGAAACATAATATCAAAATTAGCGATTACTCTAAATAATACTTCAGTAAATATTAAAGCATTATAGAAGAACAACAGAAATTAGCAAATACTATACTGCATAGAACATTGTGTATAGGAAATTATCGGGTATATCATAAAATGGATATAACAGTAAATTTGAAGGAAAATAACATATAGCATTCGGTTGCCTATAGTGCTGAAGCGGAATTTACCAGGATACAAAATTGCCAAATGCTATACAGAAAAATTTACTACAAATCTGCTGTCAAAGTGACAGAACATCACACTTTGATTATGTTGTAAAAGTTACTTTCTTTACGGATTTGTCTTACCCATCTTAAATCGCAATCAACTAAATGAAATCGACGTGCTTCACACCATATTCTTAATTCAGGAAATACCTAGCGTTGTAATCAAATCAAATATTGTCGATGTAAAAACTGAATAAGCTGAGCCTATTTCTGCTCGTAGAAATACAGCCATATAAAATTACTAAAATTTATCATCCAAGTAGATGCAATACTGTATAACTATGTACGGTAAATAATGCATTAATAATCAATTAACGATCAATAGCTATTAAAAATTCAACTTTTGTTCACTTTCTCAATAAATTAATTATAATTCATTATAGATTTATTGTGATTAAAGAAATTGATGGATAGGGATAGACATGATCAAATTGATATAGCGCTTTGACTTAATTCGCGGAGCTATTGTCCGTTCATATTTTAAAATATTTCATAGATTCTGCTTGATATTTCATCCAATCATTTAACTATGATATATACGATAACTTATCTATTATTGAATATTATACCTCACCATACAAGATATTTGTAAGAAGCAGTTATTTCATAAAAAACGAATCAAATAAAGATTATACATTATGTTGGCCAACCTTTTTGACTAGTACTTCTCGTTCAGCATGGAAATCACGGAATGTTGAAGAAACGAACAATCGAATTGTTTTCCATCTTCTTGCTCTAGACATCTTAGATACGCCAATTACATCACTTTTATAACTTGTATCTCGAATTAATTTCCAAAATTCAACCACTGTAGTTGGTTCAGCCTTGAAAGCATCTTCAAATGATAATCTAGGTTTATTAGGCATATTTTGCCACATATTGGTTAATGCTTGCTCATAAGTTACAGCATTATGGATGTTAAAGGATAAGGAAGAAACGATGAGATTGCTGACAGAGACATTGGATTCTTCCGTTGGATCATAGTAATCACTAGATAGTATGCTAGCATTACTTTTAACTGTAATTGATCGTGCAAGTGTCTTGGACGGTGGTTGTGGTTGGCGATCTTTGCCAACTATCGTCCCCATGTAGAAAGATTTTAATCCCTTTTTCCTTTATAATACGATTTTAAAATTGTAAATTAGCCTTATTAATTCAAATATAGTTAATGCCACCCTATGGAGAATAAAAATTTGACATAACATGGATATACTAACATTTCTGTTGCTGGTTTCTCGGTTTATTGTTTAAAACAATGTGCTAATCACAAATTAAGCTGAAAAGATCACTAGTATATTTTTTATCCGAGTAAATTACAGTATAATGTATCTTCTATTCTAGACCTATTAATAATGTATTTACAAAATAAATGGCGTCGAGAAACATTGAATTTTAAGACAGAAAATTTTAAAGTCATACAATGTAATAGATTACTCTATTTGATTGAGGCTTTCTTCATCGCTTTCGTAGATGTTAACATGTCACAAATCAAGCATCGGTAGTTAAGATACGAACAATGTCAGATTAAATCTTGTTATTTGAAATTATGCTGACTTAATACATCAGTTATGAAATTCTAGTAATACTTTTGTAAATCTCGATAAGCCATAAATCTGCTAACACTAATCTAGATATCCCCATATCTTAAATGTAATCTTCATTTAAGGCCTACTCTATGTTGAGTAGTACCTCTTGGCTATGAAGAAAAACTGCAACCTTGTCGTTTAATAGTTTGCGCTATAGGATCAGATGAGATATTCTCACGATCATCAATCTGGGCGTCGATTAATTATAATCTAATAAAGTTACTTTTTGATTTTGCTTCATTACTACTGGATAATTTTCTAGAAAGATTATCTAACCTGTTAGCAAGAGTAACCAATTATTGTCGCACTTCTTTTAAATAGTTCGCTGGACTATACTGGATTTTATTTTTGCCTATAGCACAGCTGATCTTCATTCATGATGGCTTTACCTCGCCCTATTACTATCGAAGAAAGTTTATCGTAGTTTAGATTAGTTTTTGATAATAATGACTAATATAAAATGTGACAGACTATAGTAACCTTGCAGAATAGTTGCCTAGCGACAAGCGAGGAGGGAACTCCTCTAGATGATAAATTGTATTGTAGTGGCAACATCGGAACTGCTATATAACGGTAAACAATAACTACTCGGAAATTAACAGTATTATCTGAGATAGAGATAGATCAGGCCTACATTCCATTTATTGTCCAATTTCTACTATTTCTTGAACCTAACAATGCTAGAAGGTTAATAAGATGAAACAATCGCGATTGAATATATTCCTACTAGTGTCATAATATGCCAATGCAATGGTCAACGTTATTTTAATCATCTTTAGCGATATTGTACATCGAGGATAGAAGGCTGCAAGCCTTGAATAGAGTATAAGGTACTACAGTCCATGCCGCACTTGTTGCAATTTATTTATTATAGATACATGTGTAATTTTCCAGGGTTGACCGTTAGTAATTAATTTATATAGATAAGATGAAACAATCGCGATTGAATTCCAACTGCTGCCATGATATGCCGATCGTCCTTGTTATTTTAATCATCTTTATTGGTATAATACATCCAAGATAAACAGCTGGAAGTGTTTAATAAATCATACGATATTAGAGTCCATGCCACACTTGTAGCAATTTATTTACGTATATGGTACACATCTAATTCTCCATGCTTGAAGGTTACTAAGATGAAATAATTTTGATAGAATTTTCCAACTACTATCATGATATACCAATAGAATTGTTAACGCTATTTATTCATCTTTATTGGTATAATACATCAATAAGAAAATTCTACAAGCGTTTAATAGAGCATAATATACTATGCGTATTCCATGTCACAAACCTATATATAAACATGTAATTCTTCACGCTTGAAGGATATTAATGAATGAAACAATCACGGTTGAATATTCCAACTGTTATCATAATATGGCAATATAATCCTAAAAGTTATTTTAATCGACTTTATTGGTATAATACATTAAAGATAAATAGCTATAAGCGTTTAAGAAAACACAAGATATAATAGTTTATGTCGTAGTAATTGCAATTTAAATCTACATACGTAATTCTCGATTTTTACAATTAATTGTTATCAACAGATATAAATTATTACCTTTGCATCCACCTAACTCTGATGTATTGATAGATGAAGCTTGTTGCTATAGTCTTAATATAAAAAAATCTTTCTAAAATAATATCCAGTATCAAGAATGACGCCAGGCAATGTCGTGTTTATAGTAAAGATCGTGGACAACGTTAATATGGATAGAGTATTTCTGGGGCATAAAGTTTATCAGGCTAGCAAGTACCTGATAGCTCAGAGTTATAATTATACTGCAATTGATGACTAGTTGAACAAGCAACTCGTGATACTTTACGTACCTGCTTGCGAACAAATTATGCTATAACTCGTAGCACCGTTGTTTAGACTAATCGCTTGCCTTGCAGCTATTTACAGTGCCGTATTTGCTAAAAGTGCAAGAGGTACAGTATTAGTAGTCGAACTAACAGGATCTAAATACAAGTATAAGCTACTTGGCAATAGCGACATCCTACTGTATCGGTGTTGCGTAGCATTAGCTAATAACACTTGCAATGGTCTCTGCCTTTATACCATGACATACAGTGAAGTAGAGTTTGAACCACAGTAGAATCAAACCGTAATTATTTCAGCTAATTACAGTTGTGATAGCTAGTATGCAGTGTACAACTGGATATGTCAATAAAATAAGTAAATGTCGATTGTGGTTAGGGTTAAAAGAAAACCATACACCACACTAAGCATGCATTACTGGTCATTTCTAGATACTCAATATTATTCTGAGGCAAATGAAAGCCTTGTACTATTACAAAAATCAAGTTTGACTGACATCCCAGCAATTTAGATCGATCGTTTCGCTTATTTATGGAAATTAATCACCAGCTACGAGCACTACTGCATTCTTATGCCAATTTCTTCACATCTTTGGTACGACATGTAATAATAGGAGTAGTTTTCAAATTCCATCTACAAATACGAATATGCTTCATTTAGAATGAATGCTGTAAGCGAATAGAGAGTAATCCATTTTGCAATATTGAGCCTGCACAAATATTCGCATAAGCTCGAAATTGCTTTCGCCTTCCATTCGCCATTTATTATCGAGATGCGCCTTGCTCGGACGTGACGGACGGCCTTCTTCGCCTTCAATTATACCACTCAATCAGTACTATACGTAATATGTTTTTCACTCTGGCAATTTCATCATGCCACTTTCAATATAGTAAGAAACTGCTTCCATTGATCCTGGCGATATTGTACCGCGAACGTGCTCCAAATATACTAGTGTCACTATAGTACCCGCACACCTGTCCGTAACACTTTACTAAGCACAGCATACGAGCGTGTGGGGACTCTTAGTCTACTGCATTGTCACCTTTAGAATGAGATCGGTAAGTCATACTGACACATGTAGCGTATACTCGTCCACCATACAGTATATCTACGCTTACACTAGAGTATAGCAAAATACCGTGACTGAGCTCATTCAAAAATCCTCTCCAAGCTCTGGAAAGCCTTCTGCAAGGCAGAATTAGTCAGTTTAAGGCCTGAAAGAGCAGCATTCTCCTTATAATTGGCTTGTAAAAGCTAGAGGAACACTGCTAGTGGCATATTAACCATTACAAGATGAGTTAAGATTGCTGTAAGAAATAGCGAAACTAGAAATTTGACAGCAAAAGTCATCGTCAAGGCGATTTAGTGGCTAACCATGACCAACTAAGCTTGAGCTTCGTTGAAAACTCGAGGTAGCCAATTTAAAAAGAATTCTTCAAGATGATAGCACAAGAAACTGACCTGAATTGGTGAGAAAAGGATTATTCTATCTTGTATAAATAAGTGGGATGCATTGACGATGTTATATTAGAGGAAGAGAATACGGCAAACTCATTTGAAGTGCATTTAATGTGTTTATGTGCAGTCTATCCAATGCCCTTCAATGCTACATGCGACTCTATTCTGATTGGCATGATATAGTTGACTAGTTTAGATTTCATATACTTGTTATAATTCAAATTTAGGGTAGTTTGTAACTTGGCTGTTATAAGGGATTCGTGTGGATTCCTCTAATCTCGGAGTGCCATAGATGGAATCAAATAAATACGAATATGTTTTATCTTCAATAGGGACAGCGATGTAGATAGTGATACAGCGGATAAAATTTATGGATTATATCATTACACCTCTGATCTCTCTAGCCTTTACAATGGCAACAGTGTAGAAGGTAAATAAAAAAGCAACTGAAGCATTATTTATTGTAACAGAGCAGTCTTTGCTTTTATAAAGTAAGAAAGTATCATCAACCTAGTTATCCAACTGAACTTTCTAATACGTGTACATCGTTTAAAGGGCCTACCTTTAATATTGCGATTGTCTGCACTAATCTGCTAAGTGTACACTATACAGTTCACTAATCGTAACCTTTGAAAAGCCTAAAATCTCCTATGCCTTTTTGACTGTAGGCGACAACCAAGTTCTTAAAACAGAAACTCAAGCTGATTGTATTAAGACGAATGTTTTGCAAGACGAGCCTGGCGATATAGTCTCTTTTAATTCGGATGATAACGGTAATTATCGGATTGATTATACACCAATCCAAAATCGGCTTACAACTGTACCATAATTAATTGATGCAGCCAGCCATTGTTACTATTAAGTTCAACTAGCATTAGCATATCGACCTCTTGATTATATCCTATTATAATAATGCTCTTTTTTCCATTTTGATCTAATGGTATGGCTGTATGAACAGACGTGGTCCTTCCAATTTCTAAAGTAATGGTAACTTTGTAATTAATCTGCATCCTTCAATTGCATCAACTTAAAATATACATACAGTAATCATGAATTTTCGGTATTCTTCCAACAATATTTTTAATTCAACTCTACCAATATTTCTACAAATAATAGGGAACGATAGGCAAGAAGTTTCGTTACTTCAATAATACTAACCACGTAATCAACAGAAAGTGTCATATTTGTCTGGAACTTGGACATCTTTCATACCAATGTCCCATGAAAAAGGTATGTCTAACCTGAATGAACTAGCAAAGATAGGTCGATCAATTGAGAACGGTTGTATTGTATCGATTTATAGAAAATGACGTGCAGAATATGTGGTGAAATTGGACATAAATTGAATTCATGTCCTAATCAATTTTGTTACAAGTGCGATCAACAAGGCCACCGAGGCAAGGTACTACTCTGCTCATATCGATTTCTCATTCACTTGTCGTCCCAAGTAATACTTGCTTTCTAGGAATGTCCTAATGGATTAGCGAAAGATAAAAGAAAAACCTGTCGACGTTGTTTCATGAGGGGCCATGTAGAGAAGGTAAACGATAGATTTATTTATCATCTAAAGAGGCCAGTCTTCACAGCTTATATACTAGAATGCGCTAGCAGGCATATGAGCTTTAGAAAGGAATAATTTTTGACTGTGTATGGATACATACATTTAACCGTCTTATCACGGTATTTTAAGGAGTGTCCCGACAGATGGAGGCAATATTATGCTACTGTAAGTATATTTAGCCAGTAAATATTAAAAAATGCTCGTATTTGCACTGAAACTGTTAAACACAAAGCCTACATTGACTATCGCCACTTTATAATCCAACGAATAGACTAAATTTGGCCCTCCGAAAAAGCCGCCTGACGAACTTCTGAACGCCCAAAACCCTAGAGTCTATTGCTACAATTGTGGTAAAAAGGGACACTATGGCCATGTAAGTCATAATAATAACTTATAATAAAGACATTATCTTTTTTAAAAATATATAAACTGAGCATTTATGCAATATAAATGTAGGAATGTGTTGAAGCAAGAATGAATTCTTGGATACCTCCTAGTATCCCGTTCGTTTTTCGCTTTGATAACCTAATATTACGTAATAAACCTGGTACCAGTAGTGGTAATAAGACTTGTGTGATGGTGTTTTGCGCATATTGAAAATATTATGAAGTATCTTAATCTACTTATGCGCTTGTCCTTGCTATCATTTCATAATTGATAGATCGGATAGCTAGTAATACACATATAAGATTTGAAGAATCACCTGTAGAATATAAACAACAGATGTCTAAAATGCCAAGATCTCTCGGTCAGTCTTTATTATCTAATGAGTTATTAGTATATTTATAGCATTGCTTTTTATCCTTTACTACAACTTTTGAGTATTAAAATATTCTGATATCTTTGTTTTTAAGAAAATGCCGCAATTTCAGGTAAACGCCTTAAGTTGGACAATATTAAATCGAAATCTGCAATTCCTGACATTAACGGTCACCATACTACAAAAGTAGAAGATAACGACAAAGCAACTAAATTCAATGAATCGATGGTAACTTAATTAATTTCGAATCTATTTAGCTACAGATCGAATAAATTTGGTAATACATAAAATATGTTAAATGAAAACCTTGGCAGGAGATTGTAACCATATTTCCTATGCTGCTTTAGGTTACGAATAATATCTTAAATCGCAAAATTAGCATGAAAAGGAATAACGTTTACAAATATAAAAAGCGTAGGATTACCTCAGCAAAAGGATTTCATTTATCTTCCAAACTCCGAAAACAACTAGAGTCTATGTCAGTAAAGAAGTTCCTGTAATTGAAGTTTATTAAAGAAATTTATTGAAAATCTTTACATTTTTTTATTAATTAAAATTAGTAATAGCCAGCCCACCGTTATTATAAACCTTATATATACGATAAAGAATGTTACCAGGCTTGTACTTAGACGTACATCTACTTATTTTGGCTAGGTATCAATAAGGGATTTACGATGTTTACGGCATGTGAATGCAATCTTCTAAATTACTGATTCGAATCGCTTCTTACAGGAAATACACTTCGAGTTATAATTCTGTACTATATTGAAATTTTATACATTTTATTCATTTGTTTATAGCAGTACTCAAAACATAATTATTGTCATAAAATGTTGGGTTGCTATTACAAATTCTGTTGTTCTGAAAGTCCTTTAAGCTTGATATGAAAACTTTATACATAAACCGGCTCTTTTACGTATTTGAAAGCTTACAATTTCTTATTCTTCTGATAATTATAATTTACTACGGCTATAAACGCCATACATACACTAAAACTTCTTACTACCTCGTAAAATACTACTTTTTACAATGCGTCGATAAACGTGCATATGTTACCATTTACAACAGAGACCGTGATCAAAACAATTATTTTGTAATGTTGTAACTACTTCATTTCAATTTATCATTGCAAAAAAAATGTAACTGCATAAAATCGCACAACCTGCTAATAATTAGAATTACTGCACTACCAATTAGGCAACACAGGATTATTTCTAGTTGCGCTATTCTCACCTTTAACTTAATTCTCATACTATCAATAATTCTTACTATAACATGCTTCAGTAAAAACGATATTTACAACGTGAACTACCAACTACGCAACGCCTGAAAGGCTGATTCGATACGATTCTAAATCTTAAAATCAATATATAAGAACTTTAGCACTTTGCAACAGGGTAAACCTTTCGATATTAATGCTTACAAAATCAAAAATTAATAGCTACAACAAATATTACCCAGGCAAAGATTGCATCTCGACGCCAAATCCCATAAAAAGTTCATAGTGCATAAGAAGATATACTTTTATAGAACAAAATCTTACGATGAACTATTCTCATTTAATCTCTCATCCAACACAAAAGCGGGTATCATTGCGTTGTTTCCGTAAATGCTTACAAATACTTTTACTATAATGTGTTACACGACATATTCTATACTTGTATTCAGCACACCCCTTTCGTAAAGCATCTCCATTTTTCTAATAACGCAATCATCATTACACCTTAAAGCATATCTCCAACGGAACTAAATCATTAGAAAAGAACTTTGAAGCCGGGTCTTCAATTTTCTCTATTCTAACTTTATCTAGCTGGCGTATACCATAGACACAAAATAACTGATAGCGACTTCCCGATGCACGCATAAACTTCCACTCATTTCTACTGATTTTGATAATCATATCTCCATCCTTGGTAGTAGATTTCACTTTGATAAATCGTTTGCTGTTATTTTTTATAATTTCAATGTCAACCGGACGATCCTTACTATTCGATTTTAAACCATGGCAATTTACTTTTAGCGATAACATTTTGTTGTATTCATCAACACCTTTCAATAAAAACCCTTCGTCAGTCTCTTCATAACTGCATGTAGGATACTTTCCCCGATAATGCACTTGTAAGTAATAGAATAAGAATTCTACTCCCCATTGAGCACTTTCATGATCTTCAGTAACTGATTCATTCCTAATTTCATAACCTTCTTCATTTACAAAGCAATGATTACCTAAAGAATGGCCTTCCGTAGATAAATCCAATTCATCATGCTTACGTTTACGTGGAAGTTTTGCCTTTCTATTCATTAATTCAAGAACTGAAGAAAAATATTTCTTACTTAAACTCATTTTATTGTTTCCTCGATCGAGGCTTAGGTCAGAAGCTTTAGAAGCTACAGTTCCTTGTACTGATGATAAACCATTAGGACTACCAATATCATGGTCAGAAGAGAATATTTGTGATTCACTATCATTCATATTTGTCAAAGCATCAGTATTACCATTAGCAGAATTAGCAAACAAAGCCTGGTCATTTCTTAATTTTATGACAAATTCTTTGGGACGGATCATTCCATTTGATACATCCGACTGCATACGATTTCTTCGTTTTGTAATCATGGCAGCTACTGCACAACCTGTATCCATTGCTGGAGTCCTATTTAGTCCCTGAATGCTAGGAGAATTACTATTACCATCAAAACCTTCTTTGGATTGCAAGGAGTTCGACTTTTTCCTTCTACTTGAGCTACGACATTCATCTTTTTCAATATAATTTAGCTTACGAATGTCATAACCATTATCTTCCAACCAATCTAAACGATCAGCTTGAGTAGTCATAGATGCCAGTTCAAACAATAAACTTGTAGCTTCTACTGATAAATCGAAATGATTGACCAAAATATCTAAAATGCGTCGCATATAACGAGGACAACTGCGTTCGTATGAGAGTCTTCCATTATGAAGAAATGCTCTTGCCTCAAAGCAAATTTTAGATGTCGATGAGTAAACCAATACCAATTCTTCAACCGCTACAAAATCAATTTTAGTCAATTTGTCAATCCATTTTGAGTTCATAGCTACCTTATCAGATTCGACATCTTCTTCAATACTGGCAGTTAATTTAAAAAGATTAACAATATCCCTTTTTAAATTTGTGTTGACTTTTGCCTTTCTATATTTAATTTGCAAGTCATCGAGTTTTATTTCACGAATTTTAAAATACCGACAAATTACGAGCATAGCATCACTCGTTAGACCTGGCATTGATTTTATTAATTTCTTATTATGGCTAATGTCAAAATCGTCGCCACAAATAAAGTATAAAGATTTAAAATCTTGCAATGAATTATCCGAAGCTAAGAGTAATATATTTTGATGTCGAAGATATTTCTGCTCATCAGCAGTATATGATGACTTAATCATTGCCAAATAAATTCTCTTAAAGTACTTTTGTTGCTTCGGTGAGCTATCCATAGCTGCAACTTGTAGTAATTTTACGGCATTTTCAATAGCTAAAATATCGCGAGCACCAAGTAAAAGCATAAGGTCATCAGACAATTTAATCACTGATTGCCCAAGGTCACATTTCATTTGTGGTAATAATCCAGCTAAGTGTTTACCTAATCGTTTTCGTAATGTTAGTGTGGACAACTCCGACATTTTATACAATTTACCATCATTGGCTTGGATACACTGGGTAAAGGATAACATGAAAGCTAGATAGGATGGTATAGGGCAATCATTGCGTTGTCTACTGGATCGGACTTTAACTTTAAAATCCTTTAAATTTTCAATGACAGCATCCTCCTGCTCCATTAACTGGCGAAAAAAATGTTCAGCGTAATCTTCATGGGATAAGCAACGCATTAATGGCATATAAGCTAAATTTACTTGACTAACAATCAAGACATCAGCTTGATCATTTTGAACAAGATGTTCATAATAATCCTTGAAACAGTCAATCCTATTTTTATCCACCAAGTTTACAGGTGATTGTAAGCATAATTGAAGATTTTGTTGCACTCCTAAATCTAGCAATGTTTTTCTTAATTTTTCAGTTGTATTTAATAAGCAATACCTTTCAGAAACAAACCCGACATCGGTCTGTATTATCTCCTCGATATCTACATCAGGGTAGAGTAGAGACGGCAAAAAGCAATACTTTGCAGAGATCATACTACCATCCTTGGTTAATAACGGTAAGCAATTTAATATTGAATCGCCGGAAATTAATGAAGTATCAATGTTACACAATAATGTTACTATCTCCATAGATAATTCTATTTTAAATTTTTCCATATTATTTCTGACGATATTTTCTATTTCCAAAATTAAGTTAACATCGTTCAACTCTTTAACACCAACCATCCTTAACCATGTCCTTAATCCACGCACATGCAATAACTTTGGATGGATAGCTTCAATATTGAGAAATTTAGGGTAAATTTGAAGATGATTCTTAGTAGGAAAGTATGCAATATCGCTAGAAATTAACTTAAAATTGGCAGCTAATAAAATTCGCTTTCCACTTAGACAATGTTGTATATTTCCAAGGCTAGCACGTGCAAGGTTATCTGGTCCAACAAATTGTTGCATTAGGAAAGTTAACAGCTTGCGATGAAATTGTAGACTGGTACTTTTCGCGGCATACTTTTCAATTATGGTTGATAACTCGTAGAGAGTAAATTGATGTTGCAATTTGTTAACGTTACTCAAGTTATAATTTATTAACCGATGTTCAACTGGTGGATCGATACCAGGAAAAATCTTGAAAAATCCCGTACTATCAGCAATAGCATCGTTGTATTTTAGCAATCTTGAATCATCAGTATTGGATGGTACAAATGCGACATTTCGCATTTCGCTTAAAAGTCCTTTATCGTAAGCATTGATAAATTGTTGTTGAGTGTATGATTGCAATCGTCGAGTGAATAACGCTAATATATCATCCCGAAAACCAGGAAACTGAACCATTTCAGCTAATGAAGTAATATGTAGCTTACCAATACTTTCGAATAAGAAATTATTCCATGCATTGGATAATAATTGCATTCGATCGGCTGTTAACAAAAAATCTGTATTCACTAGAAAGGGTAAACCACAATTGACCAATGTCGGTAGGTAGCAGAATAAGTTGGCATTCTTATCGAGAGCGTTTAACTTGGTATTTTCTACAGGATCGATATTAATTGCAAATTTAATCTCTATATTTTTAGCTTTTTTAAGCTTTTCGGGGCATTCTTGCGGTCCCATTGCCTGTAACTGAGCTAAGACTGTCTTTGGAATATTGACACTATAGGCCATAACATGCCAAGAGCTCTTCAATACATTATTTAGGTATAAGTCATAACGTTGCTGCGAGGTAAGCTCATTGCGTCGGTTAATACATGTAATACTACCATGATTATCAATGACGATATTTTGGATATGGCGTAAAAATAGCATAGTTCGTGGTGTATTACTCAAAATATTTAGCGCAGATACAATAACATCATTATTACTGCGTAATCGAAATAAAAAATTGACATCAGCTGGATTCAATTGCAATATCTTGGGTACATCACATGGTTCTGTCCAAATTGGAATAATTTGCCAAGGATAACGGCCAGCTCGATTTTCATCACTATCACTTTCTTTCCAATTAGTATAATCACGATCAAATCGAAAGCAATAATTCCTAGAAATAATATAAGTACAATCGGCAATAATAAATACCGATTTAAAGCCAATCCCTTTATATCCGGTCTTATTGATATTAAGCCTTTTTGAATGCAAGTTTTGTTGGGCATTATCACAAATTGCTTCGACATCTTCTTCATCAAAATGTTTACCATTATGGGAAAATGCTAAATAACCGTTATAAAATCGAAAACGTACATCCACCGATGTATCACCACAACTGGCATCGTCTGCATTTTGCAATAATTCCATTACAAATTTTTCCGGACTATTAAATACAGTCTGTATATCTTTTTCCAAGGTATTGGCTAAAGTCGTTGAATTGGTATCATTTTGAGCGCGTTGGCGAAATAACTTTTCAATGTGCGATTTCTCCTCGATTACACGCGGCAGCACCATCGCGCTATAGCACTTAAAATACTGTAGATTCACAAATAGAAAGAAATCTTCAATTCATGTATTGCCTTTACAATGGCTTATAACAGTGTTGATAAGAATAGTTGAGCTTTAAACCAATGATTTTACTACCTTAAGACTGAATTGGCTGGATGACAAAATGGATTTACCTCAACTTTTTCTCCTGTCAAGATGGAGCAGAAAGCACGTGGCAAATGCCTTCGAAAAAGTTACTGAGATAGTTTGGAAAGCGCGCAGACACCGACTGGTCGTCATGGAGACAGCAGTACTGTACTGTACTGCACTGTACCAAGCGTTGTGTTTCCACTCTTAGTCGTTAACGTTAGCACAAGAGACTTTGATACACTCCTCCTAGTAAGCTTACTAAAAAGTCTCTTTTATTTAGGATTTACTGCATTGAAATAGTATGGCCTTAACACGTATTATACCCTTGTCTTAGTAATTCATTACCTTTATCTTATTGCTAACACGTTAGGTGCAGTAAAACAAGTTACTGTATTCTTACATACATAACACCAAGTACTGCCAACCTCCTCGATAGCAACCGGTGGTATTATATCACCCAGATAAGGTGCGCAAATGTGACACTGGCTCGCACTTGTACACTAACCATTTTCTCTCCAGATCTTGCAACTCGAACTAGTAATTAAGCTGCATCAAAACTCCATAAATCAAGCTAAAATATATCTTTCAAGGATGCAAACTATAGCACTCCATATAGCAACGTATTTCATATACAGCAGATGGCAAGTGGTGAATGAGGACTGAGCACTTGATAATTTAAAAGAGTGGAAATCGTGAATTAAATAAATAATAGTAAACATCGCTAACTGTTGCTCTTGTGTTAACATTGCATGCAGTTCATAACTCTTATTGCGAAGAGATTTAAGAGTCTACGTACTGTAACTGTCTTATTACAAGTACAGTATAAAATCTTATTCGTGCGATTGGACATGGACCGCTATTAGTCAGCGATAGTACAGTAAAGTCAAAAGTTCAAGTGCTGCTCGACAGCATGGGTTAGACTAGCTATTATATATAATTATTGGAGTAATTTATTACTGTAGAAGTCAAGACTGGAGGTGAATATGTTACCGCTAATGTCAGTAGAAAATAAAAAAGATGCAGGGTTTTTCTAGCTCGGAAGAGGGAAGGTGGGATTTACCAGAATAACGATACAAGGCATGTAATACTACTGTAGTACATTTACACACTTTACCACTGTTAATGCAACCTTATCATTATCATTCAGCAAGTACTACGACATAAGACGCAATCAGTATCAAAACATCCTAATTGCAGTAAAACTGGGAAGATATCAAGAAGAAACCGAGTGTATATTTCAATAATTATTATTTAATCGATACATGGAAAATTCAGGATTCCCAATTCCTTCGCATGCAATATGGGTCATATGGAAATCACTCGCCTGAATAGCAGCGTCACGTAAGAGTATTTACAATTTTTCAAGGTGGCGTCAAAAATTTACACGAAATAAACGCTACAAGTTACCAACTTTTAATCATTTAGCATATTTAATGTGGCCCCACTGCCAACATAACGGATATAATCTTTTCTTAAAGCACATTTAATACATATAAATATCTTTTAGCATTATCACTGTATGTGATAGTCCTAGCCTACAGTTGGCGAGATTTAAATTAATACAATCAAACTTTAACGTAAATAGAACTTGGCAGTGATATACCGCTGTCAAATAACTTTCTTACACATTTGTAGGCATCAAGCCAACTTAAAGTATATAAATAGATTATAAACTTCAGTCTGAAAGAAAATAATTTAACGGTGCATCCAGCAAAATGAGGCCATGGACCTTTAGAATCCTGTTTAAATATTAGTAGGTTTCAGAAGTCTATAATTAAGTGAACCAAAGGTATATTACCTTGTGATAATAATGTCAAATACAATTAAGAAATTTATACAATTTGATATCAATCATTTCATAATACACATAAGTACCTCATATAATTTAACGAAATGCAGTAGTATTAATGCAAAAGTTTCAAATCAAGCTGTATATGAAATTCGTAGTGTGCAGCTGATTTATCTTTAATTTTTAATTTCATTACGCCATATTAATACACATTTATATTCCATCGTTTCGGCGTTGCTTATCTACATTCATATCGTCACTTTGAAAATAACAATAACACTAGAATGTGAAAATTTTTATTATACAGTAAATATACAACACATAAGAACACATTTATAAGCATTACTACTCTTCATTTAGCGAATCTAGGTAATTGTAAAAACATTTACGTCGTTGGCATGAAGTATTCGGCAACACCTTGCGGGCTGTCAAGAATAATACAATATCAGTTAATATGTCAAAAATGCAGTTCCAATTTTCAGTTACTGTAGCTCTTCATTGGTTCTACAGTTTATGTTCTCTTCGGTATCTCTTCAATATCATAATCATCGATTCCCATATTCTACTACAGTAGCTCTTTTGAACCATTGGCAAAATCCTCTTTAATGGATTGTAGATGCCTCGCGTGACGCCTGTCTTGAAGTCATAATTTTGTATTACTTCATAGACAATGCGAAAAGATGGAAAATCATTTTTATGAAATGTCTGTCTATCTCCATGCAACAGGGATACGCCGTTTTTATACGCATGTTTGCAGTCATTGCGACCATATCGACAATGGTCTGGACGATAATTCCAGGCACATGTTAAAACATATACCATTTCTATACAACGAGATATATCAACATCAATTTACATCTACTCGTACATCTACTGTCAATCAGCTAATTATGTTTAATATACCTGGATGAAAATGAAATATTGCATTCAAAATATCCTGATCTCCCAAAACAATGCTAGATCTATATTTCTGATATACTTTCGTTACTTTGTCGTTCCAATTGGCTTTTCTCATTCTCGTTAGATTCATTAGTATTACATCGGAATTTATTCCAAGTTTTCCATAATAAGGATGTTGTGCGAATTTATTATACCAACTTGTTCGGATATCTTCGCCTTCTGGTGATACTGCTACTAGCTGAGTTGCGTTAAATTTATTAAAGAAGTTCCATAAGTCTTCAGGGGGTCGCATGAAAAGAATGTCAGTATCCAAGTAGATTAGTGAATCGGTTTTTTTCAGTAGATACTGAAAAAGACAAGAAATGAAACATTTCATAGCGTAAGATTGATAGACTTTGCAGAATTATTTTACGGAAGATCGAATCACAGCTTTCATACACAATGTAAATGTTTGTTATACAAGTATTAACAGTACGTCGTCCATTTCTCCTCTACTATATTGTAAATGTTTGTTATACAAGTATTAAGAGTAAGTTGTCCATTTCTCCTCTACTATATTGTACGATATTCCTTCAATTCTTACAGGTAAAAATAAGCGTTGGCAAGAGCATGGTTTAAATAATTTCTTCCATATATCTGCATTGTCCTTAGGAAATTTGATCGGTAGTACGTCGTAGGTTATGGTATTTTGGCTGATAACAGATATTTCGTTTAACTATAAAAGTATCAGTTGAAAGGAAAGCGAAAAAACAAATGTTAAATTCTAATTTTAGTATGATTGAAATATTGTCAATAATTAATGACCGAAAGTGACTCTTGAATGCAAAGTTTGCATCAAAATATTGATATTTGTACGTGTAATTTACCCTCTGGCGGATCGGAATGTGTAAATGATCCTCAGCAAAAACGTGAAAATGTAACTTAGTTAGCGTGAAAACGGCAGCTGATTTTAACATCATTAAACCTTCTTGCAGTCTGGTGCCACATATCACAACGGCGAGTTGAACAGTAAGATTCTTCCTAATAATATGATAAACGTCAATTCGAATTATGATTACCATTAAAAAGAATAACTTGTTGCAAATTATCATCCTAGGGGTAAATTACGCCCTTCAAAAATGATGAAATCCAGTATGCTGTACAGATGATAGAGTAGCTGATGAATACAGTGTACTGTATTCTAGCTTGTGGAGGAAAGAAAAAATCGACCTCTTTTTTTTCTTACCTCTATGGTACAGCTATATTATTTAAGTACAGCGAATCATCGCAAGCGAAGACACTTCCTTTCAGATAGTCTACATTATACAAGATCTTTGAGACTCTAGCCAGTATGCCTGCCATAGAATTATAATTCATTGCTCACTAGCCTATAATTAATGCTAATATTTGTTTATTGATTCATCAAAGGAAGCTACAAGCCAGCTATCAGAGTGTTCTATCTTGCAGCTTTCTAATACCCAAAAGCATATGCTGTACAGTACAGTAAATGATAGTATACAGTGTTACATAGTATGAGGATCAACAATTCATTATGGTACAAAATTCGGTAACATGGAGTATGATAAGTTGCCGAATTATGCATCAACGTGATATAATCAGTAAATAACGGAGTGTACAGTAATTACACTTAATTTATACACAGTGTACTGAGTTAGCGCAAATAGAAATGGTCGATAATTCTAACTTTACTTAAAGAAATTAAAAGGTACAGTTGAATTATTTTTCTATTGCTATTACGATATCGATCTGGCCGAACTATACGCGTACGGCGTACAGCAGGCATATATTTGGAAGCAAGAAAAATTACTCTTTGACAACAAATAATTAACTTTTCTCAATTTTAGGCGTTACTAGACCACTCAGCCTGCTTCTATAACGAGTAATGGAAGCACATTAAGTTTAGTTGGAAGATAATAGCTCAATCAATGCCATCTAAAATAGTACATAGTACAGTAGTGTATCTAGGATTTTGTGTTATCCGCTTTTGTCGTAAAGTCAGTCTATCAACAATGGCGTCAGTTGTACAATAATCATGCATCATTGCAGGCTTAGTTAGTCCAATGAAAGCATAACTTACCTTTCATTCATCCTATACTTAGAAAGGGTGAAATTACCAGTTTCAGTATAGGCAGCTGCCTTTCCACTTTGGCTCATATTGCCCTTTTTTCCATTCCTAAATACGACTACTTTATTGAAACGCGACAATCTGCCATGATCGGCTTCAATGGACTTGGCGTCCGCTATTAATTCTTCAAAGGAACCATCAGGAGCGACAACATAATGCTTTTTGATTAGAACATAAATAATTATCAATGCAATCAAGAAGCAAATTCCAGTTGGTCGCATTCTACATGATTTCAATTGTATAAACATCCACGATAGTTGAAATTGGCCAATCAACTATCAACTAAAAGATCAATTTCTATTAGTAAAACCAGACGTTTGGATGCAATATCGACGAAGAAATGTCGATTGCTTTTGTATGGCGGAGCAACGTTGCAACCAATGGCATTGCAACCATTCAACTTTGTCTACTCATGTCTAATATTATACAAGGTCGAGTCATACACTTGATACTGACGCTGTTGATACTGGATACCAGAGTCATGGACATTGGACAAATGGACAGTGTCATCAAAGGTTGGTGTCGATGGATGTACAGTGTACAGTACTGTAGTGCAGAATCGGGACTGTACATTGTACACTGTACTGTACACTCCAGTCATCCAGCAGTCAATACGATACTAGCGAAGCACAGCACCTGGTACAGTACTGTACTGTACAATACTGTAACTGTACAATGTACCATGACACTGGATACCAGTGTCATGGACATTGGACAAATGGACAGTGTCATCAAAAGTTGGTGTCAGTGGATGTACAGTGTACAGTACTGTAGTGCAGAATCGGGACTGTACACTGTACACTCCAGTAATCCATCCAGTACAGTAGTCAAAACGTTACTGGCAATGCATAGCACCTGGTACAGTAGAGTACAGTGTACATTCTTAGGTGGACGCTGTTGAATGTTGAATAATTGATACCAGTGTCACGGACATTGGACAGTCCGACAGTGTCGTGAAAGGTTGGTGTCAGTGGATGTACAGTGCACAGTACTGTAGTACAGAATCGGGACTGTACACTGTACACTGTACACTCCAGTCATCCAGTAGTCAAAACGTTACTCGTGCGTATGCATTGCCAGTACGGTACTGGCAATGTACAGTATAGCACCTGGTACAGTAGAGTACAGCACAGTGTACATTCTTAGGTGGACGCTGTTGATACTGAACACCAGTGTCACGGACATTGGACAGTCCGACAGTGTAGTGAAAGGTTGGTGTCGGTGGATGTACAGTGTACAGTACTGTAGTACAGAATCGGGACTGTACACTGTACACTCCAGTTATCCTGTAGTCAAAACGTTACTGGCAAAGCACTGCAACTGGTACAGTACATTACATTCTTAGGTATACTCTGTGCCCCTACCTAATAATGTACAGTACTCTACCGTACCGTAACAGCTATAGTATGTACAAGAGTTCAATCTTCCTCACTAGTCAGTACCAGCCATTTCAATCTTTAAAAGCAAATACAACGATAATTATAATTAATTCATTTCAATTTAACTATACTGTAATATGATATTAACACGATAAGAATTGCAAGCAATCATAGCCGAGAACCCAGTGAATGTTCTTACGTTTCAAGCTCTTAAATATGCGACGAACGACTATTGCTTTCATTGCTACATTAATCCTATTCTATATTATCAGAAGAAATAACGTTCATGCACAAGATGGTACGATGCAACAAATCCAAGAGGAAGTCGATTCCATTCAAGCCGATCATAGTCAATTATCCCATTTAAATAAAGTAATCGCTCATAGAAGCCAAAAGAATGATCAGGTCAACGAGAATCGAAAAGCTGAAACTTTCCACGAGAGTCAACCAGGAAATCAATCCATCGATGCGATCAAAGGAAGGTACAGTAGATAGGAGCTTATGCAGTTCACTTACTAAGTTACCTGTAGTATCGAAATTGGATTGTGATTTAATCGGTTAAAAGCAACTTAAATGATCAATATCGATCTAGGTATATGCGCACATAGACAGTATACAGTACACATATTGATACCTCTGCAAGTCATAATATCCAAATTGTACAGTATTACTGTACTAATGGTCAAATACTTTGATTTGAACTTGTTTATCATCAATTCTATGTTACAGTACTTACAGTATGTCATTCTTTTACGCGTATAAACTGACTGTAAATCAACTCTAGGAAGGACCTGACTGTTCATCTTGCTGTTGTAATATGTGGCGATAGAATGGAAGAAGCTTTAACAATGTTAAAATCTGCTGCCATTTTTTCATTTACCAATTTACACTATCACGTTTTAGCGGAAGATCACTTACATACTCCAATCCGTGAAAGGGTAAGTACACAACGGGCGCTAGGATAATTTTACTATATTTTAATCGCATCGATGAATGTTGAATAGCTATACTTGTTCTATTCAAATTCCTATTTCAGTTAAAAGAAATGTCTAAAGTCAATCAAAACACCATAACGTATGACGTACTACCGATTCAATTTCCTGCGGATAATGAAGATATGTGGAAAAAGTTATTTAAACCATGCGCTTGCCAACGCTTATTTCTACCCGTAAGAATTACTGCACGATAGAGTACAATGCTAATAAATAGCTTAGCTTAACATAAATCTACTTTGCTGTACTGCATGTACAATACGTCATTGAGCAGTTCATGCTAAATTCCTTTTTATATGAAGGACATACTCGTCAAGACCGATGCATTGATCTACTTGGACACAGATATTCTTTTTATGCGACCCCCTGAAGATTTATGGCAATTTTTCGATAAATTGAACTCAACTCAGCTAGCAGCAGTATCACCTGAAGGTGAAGATGCTCCGACTGGATGGTACAATAAATATGCACGACATCCCTATTATGGAGAACTTGGAATAAATTCTGGTATAATGTTAATGAATCTAACGAGAATGCGGAAAGCAAATTGGAATGATATCGTGTTAAAATTATATCAGGAATATAAATCTGGAATAGTATTTGGAGATCAAGATATTTTAAACGTTGTATTTCATTTTCATCCAGGTACATCAAATTTGCAACGAGTTGATTGGATAATAGACATAGAATGATACATGCATTGATATTAATATATCTTTTTATATAGAAATGTTATATACCTTTACATGTGACTGGAATTATCGTCCGGATCATTGTCGATATGGGCGTAATGACTGCAAACATGCAGACAAAAACGGCATATCGCTGTTGCATGGAAATAGACAAATATTTCACAAAGACGACTTTCCACCTTTCCGTATGGTGTATGATGTAATACATGGCTATGACTTTAAGGTAGGGGTCCCTAAAGGTATCTACGATCCATTGAAGAAGTACCTTCCAATGGTGCGCCGCAGCGGTTATTGTAACGAAATGTGGCAATCAATGATTGCGATAACAAAGAAATACCTTAGAAAGTACAAACAACAAAGTAGCTGATTTTTAGACAGTTATCAGCCCAGCAGCATTATTTTTGATACCTCAAAGGAAATTATTTCCTTGCCACGGTGCAACTTGGTCAGATATGAAACTACAGTATAATTAATGGTTGAGATAGTACAATTTCAATTTTTTTTAATTGCAATTGTCGATTCCTTTACGAAATCCATACCTCGAAAAGTGGAATGAAGTACTATATGCACTATGTACTTATGTCTATTGGCTTTACTGTAACAAATTTTTTCCTATCCCAAGTATTAAGATAAAGGCGAATATAAATAGCAATTAATGTAGTTACGCAGTAGATAAGATATGTACTATGTGAAAAGATTGAATCTCTTTAACATACGGTGGCCGGATACAATGTATTGGTAAGCCGTACGTTAATGAATAGCCTCAGTCATGCGATGCCAGTTTGGCCATCAATGTATAATCTTACATTAAAAATTACGAACTAATAGCCATTATACATCATTTTATTTTTTTTATTACAACTGTAAAGGTGCATATGTCTGTTCCTCGTATTAGAGTACTAGTAATTGATGGGTATTTTTATCCACTGACTAAAACTAACGGCAATTTACAATGAAACTTTTCAAGATTATGACACATTATACTCATTATTAGCCTTACGCTCAACCATAAATAAACTATTACTTGCTATATGACAGTTGTGAAGCTGTAAGATATAATCATTAAATATGTCTACGTGTTGACGCATAAACAGGACTCTTGAGTCTTAGACGACCACTTCAAAGAAAACCTTTGAAATTGTGCTTACGATGACATCGTATCAAAATGGCATTACGACATTTACACAGATAATAAACGATAAAAAACAGGCCTATAACAAATTTACTCTACACACCATAACCAAGCTGGATGAAATAAAGGCTTACGACTTATCATTTCTCTCCTTATATTGAGCCTTTGCATATTTCTGTCTCTGCCGATCACGCTTGATAATCTCTTTATAAGTTGCATCTTCTATAATTCCTGCACTGCCTAGGAGGTACAAGAATACACCACCTGGATACCGCCTATGTAGTAGTTGCGATATTTTAAAAGTACAAATGAAAATTTATCAACAAATACATTATTTAATATTATTATCCATTGTAATGTAATTAATCATTACGAAAATGTCAAGAAATCATTACTTCCTTTTGCCGTCCTTAGTAAGCATTCCTCCACCTTTCTGAATAGCGAGAGTGAATCGTGTCAACAATAAAGCCTTCTCAACACCGATCATGTTGACCACATCTTGAACTAGCTGCACCTTTGGCTGAACAAATGACAGTAATCATTTTAATCAGCATATCTATATATAACATTGTAAAATTACAGCATAAGGCCTCCTAAAATTCAATTTTTAGCTGTCCAGCTATGCAATTATTTAAAATCAGAAATGATTGTTCAACTTGTCCTACTGATAACTTTTCAGCCCTTTACCTCATGTAAATGATGTGCAATTGATTTGGCAATTCTATCATTGCTAATTTTAAACTTTTGCAAAAGATCTAATTGGAGCCAATCAGCAGGTAATACTTTTGATTGGAGCGCTAGTGCACCTAGGATATGCAATAATGCAAAAAAAGCTTAGGCATACAGCCATACAATTTTAGAGTTGATGATAGTATGCTGAGAATGCACTACGAAATACGTGCAACATAAAATATACGAGTAGTGTATGCTGATATTCCTATGCTGAAGATACGCATATATAGCTTTCAATTATTTCTAAATACTTATTAAGCTCCTGCTGCCTATAATTACCCTCAAGGTAGAATTCATTAGCTAAAAGTTGAACAGTAATACTTGTATTGTACGTCTATGTTACACGTCTGAAATAATTATATATATATATATCAATAGCTAAATATTTACAGTTGATACATCATTCGTAGCACCAAGTTATCTACCTTTAAAATCTACATTAACAAATTAAGCTAAAGTCGCTGACTGTAGTAGGTCTGTTAGAGCATCTTAACCTTAAGCCAATAATATAATATAATCATTTTATATTGTACTAGTAAACATATGTAACTACACCTATTCGGACAGGTAGCACATTTATGAGCTAGTAAACCTTCCGTACGATTATACAACATGTACAATGTAAACGATAAATTATATATTATTGCAACTAATTAATCGATACGTATAATATACACGTATGCTCCATTATATCATACTCGTAACTTAATCGGTTTGCACTGTAATACGTAAGGTTTATAAAGATGGCTAATAATTAAGTATGATTCATAGCAGTTATACGAGTATACAGCACTTTAGTAAAGATTTAGAGTTTAACCTTTCGTATTAGTTACATCGCCTTCAGTCTTGTGCTTTTTCCTCTGCCAAGCTTTATCTTCATCACTGCTACTCTCTTCACTTTCACTGGCACAATTTTGCTGATGCCGTTTCTGATGTTTTTCTTGAAGTTTAGGTAACGTAGCTTCATCAGTATTTTCGTCTTGATAATCGACTTCGAAATCAGCTTGATTCAATACCAACGGAGATACATTCTCTTCGTCCTTTATATTATAACTATCATTGGCTGCATCAGTCAAGATATCGTCGCTGATCTCTCCAGGTTCTAATATATCACTCAAGTCCATTTCTTTTTCCTATTTTGTACAGTGCTCCGCTGTACTTGATAGACTAGATTGTGCACTGTAAAAGACAGGATGTCTGGATGTGAGTTTAGAGTAGAGAGTAATGGATATAAAATGAGATAGCTACAATTGAATAACTAGAAATAAGTTGATGCCACTTATTTCATAATATTATATAATCAATCGTTTCCATTATTGTAGTAATAGTGTAGTATACGTTACAGGGCACAATAAATCTAGCAGGTAACCTTGATATCCATCTAACGAGGCCAGTTATAGCAATAATCAATTGAATACAGTAGTTCCGACGTTTTATCCTCTGGTGGACAGAGTAAAATCACACTACAGTAGTTGGCGGCTGATTTAAAAATTGCCTTACGTAACCATACCGTACTTACAGTACTGACAAAGCAAGCGTAACCGGGACGTACAGACGTACGGATGGGACACCAGTGCAGTGCGGCCAGTACCCTACTGTTCAGTGTACTGGACTACTTAGTCGCCTTTGATACAGTAAGTTATTGACTGTAAGTTAAGAGTTGATCTTGAACAAGACACCATATCAAGCTTGCAGAAAGAAAGGAGCATCCAAGCCTGTCCAAATCATAAATTCAATTCAATTTTAAATTGTGCAAAATCTCTTAATCTGGAAGGCTAGATTATTGGACCAAAAATCAAAGGGCGTGAGTTAACTATTTGCCCTTTGATTTTTGCTACGTAAAGTGCTATATAATGTATAGCATATGACTTATGTCTAGTTCATGTTGACAGCAGAACCTTCCTCAAGTGTAAGCTTCAGTCATGAGCTATTAAAACTATCTTTTAGTAAATTATTAGGTGTACAATGCTATATAGTATATGTCGTGCTAAACAATAGTAATGCTGCCAATGCTATGGATTTAATATTCAACTCTATATTGCCAGATTAAAAATGAAATATCAGATCAGGAAGAACCAGAAACATTGATATCCATCGGACACTTCACTGAAACAGCGTTCCCATTGATTTGAACTATACAACGATCTCTAGGCTCAGTCAGTATTTCATGGCAACCGTAGTGATTCTCCGCAAAAACTATTTACTGATTCGATTAGCATCTTTAATATCGTATAGAAATCAATCTACAAAACTTAAAAATTCATCGTGGATTTATCATCACAATTGGTTCACAGTCGCTACCAGTAAATTAATACATAGAAATGCTCTTTCTACGCAACCGGATAAAGACATAAAACCGAACTATTCCTTTAAAACTGTTAATTATTTGATTAGTACTGGTATTAATATCGCAATTTTAGAGAAATCATGTAGTTCACTGCTAAGCTATGATGTAAACCAAGTACGAAATAATTTTACATGTTTAAAAAATCTTGGTATTAGCACTGCCGACTTGATTTCAACTATTGAATCAACCCCTTGGTTATTAACACTTGGAGAAAACAGATTAAAAAGGAGCATCCAATTTTGGCAAGATTTTGGACTTTATGAAGAAAATCTAAATAATATGATTATCAAAGCACCTCAGATACTATTACAAGGCATAGAGACTGAAATTAAACCGAAATTAAATATTTTACTATCACTAATAAAACAAAGGCGGGTCATAATTCATTTAATTCAATTACAGCCTTCGCTGTTTAGTTTTACATTATCAGACGTAGAAATGAGAATAGATTGGCTAGCTAGTTTAGGATTTAAAGAGCATGATATTGGCTCCATCATTAGAAGATTACCTAGCTTTCTAATTAAAAATTTCGACACTATACAAAGTTCTGTCGAGTGGCTAAGATCTGATGATTACAGCTATAAAGAAATTAGGGCAATCATTAACGAATATCCTGGCATACTCCGACGTGATGTTCAAGTCATGAAAGATACCAAAACCTTTATTTTGAAAACTGGTTATACCGATGAAGAATTTAAGTCTCTTATACTAACTTTTCCGACTTTATTAAGTTTCAGTCTTTCGTCTCTGCAAGATAGATTTCAATTTGCTCACGATACCCTCAAATGCAGTTTGGACGAAATTAAAGAAACACCTGCTATATTTACATGCAACTTTAATAAGATAAAATTACGTTATCAATTTTTGCAATCAGTCGGTAGAAGTGATGAAGTTATACTAAAACAACTTATTTTAGCTAGTGATAGACGATTCGTTAGACAGGAAGCTGAAAGCAACATGAGCATTTTCCTCACCTTTTTACGAAATCATTAAAATCAATATAAATTAGACTATCGTGTTGCACTAAATTGCTGCTATGAATATTTATTTTAATACTGGCATTGTATAATTATATTTACTTATAGAATGATTTCTTTAGCATGCGGCAGCATGTGCTGCTCTTGCATTGTATCGAAAATAATGATTAAAATTGAACTAAGCACATAAATCACGTATAACCCGTTGACATTCTTTTACTATCCTGTATACTGTATTAACCAAGATAAATAAATCGAAGCACTTTAAATGACCTTCCAAAATAACGCTTATGAGCTAAATATACCCTTAATCATGTTATCTGAAAATAGCTTACAAGAGGGTTGGGAGACTTTGAGCCATCAGTGGTAGACATTAAAATCGACAGATATATAGTTACGAATTACATACTTCACAAGAAAAGGAATTTATTGCCAATAATACAGAACATGCATGTTACTGCAAGAATAAAAGAGTTACAATATCACTAAGAGATAAAGAAAGCTTGTTGGCTTCGATATAACACTGTACACATTTACAATCACCAAACTCATGAAAGCTTTTAATAATATTTCAGACATGAGGGCCAAATACAATAACGAAGCCAAGTACATTATATTTAGGAATATGATAACAAATCCCTTTTTGCCGTAGCAACAATTTTTAGCAAAGCATCCATTCAACAGCAACAAAGGGTACCCATGGTTTATAACATGAAAAATTTACTCGATGATACACTTTGAGGTAATAATTTTAATGAGTTCATCAGTAAATTACTTTCTAAGCCAATCGCTGAACAATAACCGAATTGAGCAGATTTCCACTTTCCAACGTTAAGGAATCATTGTCCAAAATCTTGTTAGGAAATGTAGTCAATAGATTGAATTTACTACCGGGAGGTAATGGTCGGGCCCTATATAAAAATGTCCCGTTGAAAAACTTAGAAAGCAACATGGAAATAAGTCGTGTAACAAAATGCATACCGACTAATGAACTGCCTCAAATCTCCGACTGTGCTTGATACATTCATCCTGGTTACAAGCCTAGCAACCGAATACGGAAGAAAAATATTTCAAGTTAAATTGAATTTAACAATTAATTACTAGTTTATATCAACTCCAAAAAAAAGTGATAAAAAAATATCTAATAACGTCATCAATAACCTTGTTCCATCAGATAAACGGATAGTTATCGAAGTCGTCGGTTGGCTTTCATCAACGTTTGGCTTAACTGTATTTTGAGGTTCATTTGAAGTGGCGCTAGTTGAAGAAGTTTGAGAAGAAACCGCCGGTGCTGGACTAAGATAAAAATAAAAGTGAAGAAAGTTCGTTACAACACTTCAGCATCGCAAGATTTGTATTATCAGCTACTAATGCTAAATACTATAACTATAGCCCTTAATTGACAGCCGAACATCGAACAGTGGCAATAAAAGTACCAGAGTAGCACCGTTCAAATCAGCTATACTTATACGCGAATACTACTACATTCTACTCAGTCATTAATATAACCTGTGTTATACCTGAAAAAGCCTAAATTGACTAACATCCGCATGACGAATAACTGTAAAACAATGTACATGCTACGCCACCATGAATTATTTGAATATCTGGCATCAAGTAAAGGCTGTTCATCATTATCTTCTCCGTTATCATCACTACGATCGTAGTTAATAATTATAGTGAAGATTTATAACCACATTTCATTTTCCGCGTTCATTTTATACAAGACTACCAAAGCAAGTTTATAAATTGCTATTATGAGCAAAGGTCTAAACATAATTAATATTCTAGCATACCTTCCGAGCATATGTCCTTGTCCAGTAAAAGCTTTTAATTTTTGCTTAGGCTTGACGTAATCCTCTGAACGTTTGTCTACCAAATTAACTGCGACTTCTCTGCCTTTTGCCATCGCCATTAACTCAGAAGGGACATAGCTAACAGTACAACAAATACAATTTCGCTGAATAAGATCAATTTCACCATTTTACTATATTTGGCACATTTGGAAAAAATGCAATGCTTACCCTTTACTAACTTCTTCTAGGAATTGCTTGTTCGCTGGATCATTCGGATCTCGAAGAGGTCCATCATCGACAGAAAATCCATTAGCCCAAAATTGTATATTTATATTTACCTAAATTCAATTACCATTGACGGTTGATAATTATAATAAAATTGAATATCAGCGTGTTTTTATTCGTCGCTGATACATACTTATTATAATTATAGTAGTAATTGTTGCAAACCTTTTTGGTATCTTTTGGTGCTTGAGAACTAGTGAGGGACGTGGCGGCGCCAGTAGAAGGTCCGTCTTCGTCACCTAATCGGTGTCCTGGATTTATCGCAGATATGCAGAAGCCGACATATTAAAACGGTACATCGCGACAACATTATCTACTTGTAGTCTCGCAATTCATCAGTCTACCGTATAGTACTGTATATACCTGATCCACCAAAGGGCGCCATCTTTGCTTTCTCACCATCGTCTTCGTCAGGTGACACTGCTTCAGCTCCATGACTGTCAATTATAATGATTTCAATTAAGTAATTAAGTAATGAGATTAAGGCAAACGCTAACACCTTTAATCTACATACGCCTTAGCTTCTTTAAAAACGGATTCCGCAATCGATGAAGGCGTTTTCTTCCTAGGGGGACCCTTTACAACTTGACCACTAGTTTACAAACACGATATACATTACATGACAATCGAAGAATTTTCTTAATTAGCAAACCAATGGTGAATATGCGTGGCGTTACCTCTTTTCAGAACCGCCGGCATAAAATTCTTGTCCAGCTTCATCTTCTTCCTCATCATCATCCGGTTTAAAATAATCAGATGAAGACGCAAACTTGGGTCTAATATTACATATAGAGTATAATTACATTGTTAAGATAGTAGAGTTAGAGAATGAAAGCTAAAGCCGGCTAATATCTGATATGCATCTTCATTGGATGAAGAATATTCTAGTTTGTGACACTGTACAAGTTCAATCTACTTTAAATGTAGAATTGAATTAATTATCAACCTGGATTTTTGTTTCTGCTGCCTGACACCACCACCTGCACGCTGGTCCTCCCTTACGAACGACTGTTGCAAAGATCAATTTATCAATAAAAACTCTTTCGAGTCACGTAGTATTAAACAATTACAAACATTTGCACCACTAAGTACGAAAACTTTTAATTAATCATTAAGACCAAGATGTTGGTTGTATCGAGTCAATGCCATTGACAAGCACTTCAAACTAGGCGAACTCAAAACTACATCGTAGTGTAAGTAAGCATCACTTTACCTGAGTTGATACTTCAGAATCTTCGAAAGAATCATCGCCACGGTCATAATATCTTGCAAGTGCAAGCTGCGTACGTATCATAAATGACATACGTATATAATTTAGATTAGTTAAGCGTCATCTACAAAGACAATTTTATAAACTACAAATTTTACAAATTGGCCCAACATGATGGGGTAAATATCAGCTTTTAATTAAAAATATACAATAGCGTTTGGGATGAAATGTTACTTTTCGTCATGGTTGAAAAGAAGAGAATCAGGTTGAATCGCGAAAGATAAAACTAGGTATGGAAGAGTAACAGCATTCACTTATTCAATGACAGTATTGTGCTGGTTATTTTAAGGCGCTAGTTTCAGCTTTGCATGATCGTCTCCGGCCGGGATCAACATTGCCACTGAAAAGTGTAAATGTATCAAGAATGTCTACGGAATAGTAACAGCATTGACTTATTCCATTACAGTATTATGCTGGTAATTTTAAGGCATTAGTTTGAGCTTTACAAGATTGTCTCCTCGATCAACATTGCCACTGAAAAGTGAAAATGTATCAAGGATGACAAGGGAATAGTAAGAGCTTTCACTGACTCCATTACAGTATTATGCTGGTTATTTTAACGTACTAGTTTGAGCTTTACAAGATCGTCTTCTGGATCAACATTGACAGTGAAAAGTGAAAATCGATCAAAGATGCGTTCTTTAACTGAAATAATGCAATGCGATCTCCATCCGCTGACAACTTGTACGTGACTTGGAAGTCGTTCTGTAAGCAAAGTACAGTACAGTACAGTACAACAAGTCGAATTATCTTCGTGGTCTGCTGGGTGCAGTCTTTGAACTCTAGAAGTCCAAAATGACTTGATCCATTTCTAAAGTACAGAAAGACTACATGGCCAAAGAAGTGCAACCCTTGTACAAGATATACGTAAGCAAATAGAAACCAATGCACGCAGCCATGGACCACTAGAAGAAAACCTAGTAGTCCATGACGCAGCAAAGTCAAAAGAACTTACTTTCAAATTCCAATTGGAAGCTTCCAAATAAAATCTGGCTTGATCAGCATCCGTGCCAGCTATGCTGACAAAATTGGCAATCATCGACGTTTCGCTATCAGCCATGTGGCATTTAGATATTTGATTCAGTAGTAATGTCTAATTTTCACGCTTTCCAGTCGTAATTGGTTGACAGGACTGTCTTGCAGATTCAATTAATTACAGCTAATTTCAGCCCTATTAGCAATGATTGAGAAGTCAAAAAATGCTGATGATCTAATGATTGAACACTGGACAAAAGAATGTCCAACTGCTGCAGGTCTTGTACAAGTGTTTGAACGACAGGCAAGTGTAGAGTATAGCTCGTTGTACTGTACTGTGCAGTTTTGTACTCAAGTGTACCTACAGTACTGTACTGGTGAGTACCATGGAGATTTCTTGTAACTTTGTACTGTAAAAGGAGCAACAGAAAAAGAAAAAACGACACGTGAAGTGCGTAACTGCTGCAGTCTGGCCCATACTATACAGTGTACGTAGAGTACAGTCAGTCCATTCAGTACTGAACTGTACACATGTCTGTTGGGTGGCAATCGGCCCTTTGATGGAAAATGGACTGTAGCAATTCAGACTGTACACTGTACACGATCGTACGGATAGCTCTGACGCAAAAGGAACGTCACAGTCTGCTGCAGTGAATCGTCATGAGTGACATCATTTTCTTGACAATTGCATTCGCATTCTGCACTCGTTGAAAATGTTTTTTTCCTACACTTCACTCAAACTGGACACTGTCCAGTATTGGCAAAGTTGCAGCCAAGTACAGTGTAGGAAAATTCATTAATCTCCCAACACTTACTGGACTACAGTAGTCAACTGGAAATGCTGCTTGCTAGGGATTTCCGAAGAGAAATTCTCTCTTACAACGCCGTAGGTGTGCGTCTCTATGCTGATTGATTCAATTTTCATCAATCTAGCGCTGGGATGGACACAGGACTTGAAAATGGAAAATACTTTTTGAAAGCTTTTTCCCTTGAACAGTTCTCAAAGAATCTTACCCAAAAATCTTAACCCAAAAATTTAATAGAACAGTAGTTCCCTTGAACAGTTCTCAAAGAATCTTGACCCAAAAATGCTGGGATGGACGCGGAACTTGAAAATGGAAAATACTGTTTGAAAGCTTTTTCCCTTGAACAGTTCTCAAAGAATCTTACCCAAAAATTTAATAGAACAGTAGTTCCCTTGAACAGTTCTCAAAGAATCTTAACCCAAAAATGCTGGGATGGACGCGGGACTTGAAAATGGAAAATACCGTTTGAAAGTTTTTTCCCTTCAACACTTCTCAAAGAATCTTAACCCAAAAATGCTGGGATGGACGCGGGACTTGAAAATGGAAAATACTTTTTAAAAGCTTTTTCCCTTCAACACTTCTCAAAGAATCTTAACCCAAAAATTCGTTTAGCCAAACGAGCGAGCTGTACTGTAAATGACCTCAATGTCCATGCTGTAAATAAAACTTTCTACTGTTTCACCAAGCCAGCAATACTGATGCATGAAAGTACACAAGATCATTTATGTGAATAGCATCAAGTCACTAATACCAAATTTTTAATAGAATACATTCTTATTACTGTACTTGATAAGACGATGTAAGACGCAAGCAATTTAAATTACGCAAAATAACTTGTATGAGACCAATACTGTATTAATAATAAATATTATGATAACCCTCAAAAATCGAGTATGACTTATCAGATAATTACTATCAATGGTCCTTTTTAATGGTTACCTATATACAAGAACTAATCAGTAAAATAAACCGTATCAAGTAATAAACTGCAGTACAAAACATACACATTTCATCTCTTACCAACGCAAAACTTATCAATAACTAACCAAAATGAGCGAACAAAATTTTGATATATTAAAAGGATCTAACGCAGTGACATATGTAAAAGTACCTCTTTAAACTGGACAGCAACTTTAATTGCCCTTACATATCATAATTTGTATTACATTACAATCATTTTGCAGTCGCCGTTATAATTACGCATTGACGAGCTGATAGAACAAACTTGTACTGTCTTTACTGAATACTTTCAAGCCTATCCGAATACGATTAAAAAATTTAATTTGTAAAACTTTCCCATGTATCATTTGACCCATCCAGTTCACTAAGTAGTACCACCTGAGTGAAAGGAAATTTACCAGTGTGTCCTTTCAATTCACCAGTCCATAAGCCAGTATCAGATTTCTCTAAAACTTTAATTATATCGCCGGACTGTAAAGCAAGAATAAATTACAATACTTACAAATAACCCCTTATTTTTCATTTATAAACCAACTAATAATTAGGTCTTTATATTCTCGCCAGATTCAGGAAAGAAAATCTCCATGAAATAGTAACTTAAGCAGAAATTTCATATAGCATTACTGATAAATTTACGTTGCCTAGATTTACTTACTTGATAAGACAGAGCGGTTGGATCGTAAGGATTTCTTGGCCTATCACAAATGGCTTTTGCCATAACGGGTAACTTTTCGCTCTCCTCTTCCGGAAGCTGTGAGAGAAATGATAACAACATTAATCTTATTTCTTAATATACAAATAGTAACAGCTAATTCTATAATGTTCCGAAAATAACTTTCGTAGCAATCCTTGTATACTTACTGGTCGTAAATAAGGAGCAGGAACAGCTCCTACAGCTCCTTTTGAATTTCTACCTGTCCACCAGTTGGCTTCTTGCATCCCGATAACGTCTAATATCTCATTCTTTGTAAACGGAAGATCTTCTTCATCCTAAAGTTAATATAGTATGAACAGCCAGTTTATTCAATCTTTTAAAGATAGACACGTAAGGTCATAGCATCCTATTATCAAACGTAGTAAGACTTGCTTTGGCATGCATTCACAGTACTGCATATTACCAGCAATAAAAGACAATAACAGCAAATTTAACTATTGTGAGCAGAAATATCTGTTAAGGGTTATGAAACTAATTCGAAAAATGACTATAGCCAGGGACTAATCGAAAGAAGAGGCAGGGACAGGAAACGGCCGTTGACTATAATAGCGATGTGTAAGCCGACTATTCTGTTGGCCATTTCGATTGTCCCATTTTCGAGCAGTCCCTGCTTTAGCACACAACGATGCAGCTCAAATCAATGCGTAACAAATGAACGCTATCTAGCCACTTAGTGAATTGTTAAATTATAACTAAAGCGTAAACTCTGCACATAATGACTTACCCTTGCATTAAAATCGTATAACGCAATTACGCGCATCATAACCTTCATTTTGGACTCTGCAGTGTTTGGTTTATACGCAGTGTTTGAATTGCTATTATTATTGGGAGGTGTACTTGTTTCCTTCTTTTCTGATTCGTTCTCTTCTGTTTCCTTCGTTTCTGTTTCAACCTAAGTCGGTTTACCATTAAATAGGCGTAAAAATTTTACCGATTAGTATATTATAGCATCGATGGTATCGAATTAATAATCCCAATTTCTACGTCATAACATATCTAAAATTAGCTCGCTCACCTCAACAGCACCGGTAAGGACAGTAGTATCAAGAACATGAATTTTATAAAAATCTATGACCGATAATAAATCAGGAAAAGGCTGTGATCCAATTTCGTACTCAGAATCACTTTTCTTCTCTATGATATAATGCTTCACCATGTTGCTTTCCCTATAGATCACAATTTGTAAATTAGTATTATTTACTGTTAAAATAGCCTTCACATAAAATGTACAAACAGTGCTTTTAAATATTACAAGTTTACAAATAAATCATGGATTAATAAAAATCTGTAATAACGTAGCATCATCAAAATGTGGTGGCATGTACCCTGATACATGTTTTAACGAAAAATAAGCGACCACGAGACAACTACGATATTATAAAACATAAATCACTCAATCATAACATTGTTAAATATACTATACGACCAGTTTCAATCAACTTACGCTAAGGAAGCATATAAAATACAAAATACTATACTGTAGTATTTTCAAATCAGCAATATAGGAAATGTAATGAAGATAAAGAAAACTGAAATTACGAATTCTCAACCAATCGCTTTTGTCTGGTAATAGCGTATCGTTAATTTATGACAATTTTTTCATTAACTCTAATTTTCATCAAGCATTACGTGCGATTAAATTAATAAATAATTATAAAATAAGCAATACCCTCTGTAAGGTAATATAAATCTTCATATCTTCATTACAAGAGAGCTAGATATAGAAAAATGTTTAACAACAATCGTCCACTACTCTTACTAACACAAAGTGCACAATACTCTCTATGCTTAGGTCTAGCGTTCATGCACCATTTAAATGAGAATCTTCCATTGCTAATTTAGATGCAAAGTAATGCGACAAACACAACCATTGAGTGCGAGGTATACCAGAGTACTAGTTATACAGCCTGTTACTGTATTTTCTCAATAGGACAATATAAGTGGTATTCTATATCAAATTCCGGTATCAAAAGTAGGGTAAAATATTTCTAAGCGCTTCTTTTTTATAATACGCTTAAATGACATAGCATAGACCATTACATTGAAAGCTGCTCAAACTAGATCTACCGTGCAATTTCAAGTATTATCTTACCGAACACATAAAACATAATCTCCTGGCCGTGTCGTACTAGAGCGAACTAGGAAACTACCGAGAGGCGAGCCTCGAAGTAGCTCGTCCACTTGACCACGCGATAAAGGGCCATGGAACCAGCTGAATAAAAAAATATGTTTGTACTTTCATTAAAACATGAATACAGAATAAAAAATATCAGTCTTCATATACACGTATGATATATGATACGCTTTATAATCAAGTAGTAGTTGTATACAATAAAAATTGTTATAATACTGCGTCGTACGTATAACATTTAAAAGATTGGCAACCTCTTTTATGCAGCGTACTCGAATTGTCACTACACCAACATGAATATTGACCTTTACGAATGGTAAGCAATCAATTTTGATCCCAATATAAGTATGATAGCAATCGAGCAAATGAAGTACGTAGTTAACTTATACAACATCGCATAATGCCGATAATCAAGAGTATACCATCTTCGTTATAACATGCACCTCAATATTTTCATAGATATCTGGATAAAATTTTTTTTTTCCTGAATGTCACCCACTCTTCAACAACTCATAATTCCGATATTTTTAACATCAGAATTCTAGAACACAAAATGCACTTTGTGTGCGAAGATATTCACTTCCTACCCATGCAAGACCATAAACCGTAATTTCGAACAGGTTTTTTAGTATCAAAAAGTGCATGTATGGAAGGAGTAATTGAGTGTCTTACAAAACATTAATTAACTAGTAATTGACTCTAAATATTGACGAAGTAGTTGAACAACGATCGACGCTTATAAGTATATCCTGATGCTGCCGCACTTTGCCTGTGATAAATACACCGAATTATGTAATGCTGGATGACTCAGACATAGAATAGAAACGCATCTACAGTTGATTACAGTAGCAGAGACTCAATCCAGATGCTAATACTCCTTGTTAAAAGGACATTGGAGCATCAATCTATGCTAATGAAATATAACGTCACGATACGAGAATAGAAAGCTTATTTCTTTCTTCTGTACTTCATCGCTAAATACCGTATGTGTCATATATCCGACTAGAAAAAGAGAAAAGAACAGTAACTATCGACTGTACTCGAGATACGTACATTTACTAAAAATATGAACCAGATATTGTATCCACCCTACATGAAATTGAGCGTGACCAAACTCAAGTTGCTGTCGCTATTTTACTGTAAGCATAAATTTAACTTACAAAGTAGAGAATGTGCAGTACAATAGCAAACGTCTTCCGGGCATGACTCCTGTCATCACTTACCTATCACTTTACAAGACATCAAGACTTTATTATGCCTACTTACTGATGGAGTTATCGCCATCATTATTATTAATGGCATAACTAGAGTTATCGCTAAATCAAACTCTGTTAGTAAAGGCTACATCTGTGTATCTTTATCAATCTAATCCATCGAAATTCATGCAGATAACGATACGTCATAAGCCAACCGTTGATTAAAATATACACGTTATAACAGCTTTATTAAAAGCATCCCCAAACGGTAGGCTTGAACTCAATCCCATAATCGAATCATTTGCAATTCTTTTCTAATTGGTTCAATAGATTAAAATATTACTCCTACTCATGTCTTGTATACCATTATTATCTTTAGTCACACAACAGTTTCATCTATACGGTACGTTTCCTTCGACGATGATAAGATCGATGTTGGGCGTACTTCTTAGCCTACCAACTAAACATCAATAACCAGTAGTAGGTCTTTGCTTATAAAGTACTGGGGAAGAATACTGGTCGTTCAATGTAGTAATCACTTCCATTTCTATAAGAAATCACTAGCATATCGTAAAATCCACTAAATGCTATGTCCAGATGAAAATCAATGCGATTAATCAATGATATGAGCAGCAAGATACGATGGCAATCAACTTCGTCCTTGTTCTTGATTACTTCAAGCATTGAATCATTTTTTTTACTCGTAACCCATTCTCCAATACAGTAACAATACAATACACAATACATAAGCAGTTACGATTAAAAGAGACGATAAAAGATAGTTCTACTTACGGCATACTTTCCCCTTCCTGCATGACTTGTCTTTTTAGATAGGATAGCGTTGAAAGAGTGGAAGCAGTTAACAGGAATAGCCTACTTTCCAAATGGATCGTATTGATACCAGAGTGTCGATACCAAGTTCTTCTATAAATTATAGTATTGGTCAGACACACAATCACTTGTACTGTAGAACGTGTAGCAATTGATAAAAGCAATGTTAATATACTATCAGTCGAATGATGGCACCCTACAGGAACGTACTTTGCTTGAAGAGAATATCAACTGCAATAGCCAATGCGACCAATCTAGCACCTATCCGATACAAAGGTCAAATCGTAAGCTAATCGAAAATTGTAATTTGGTAAACTCCTATTCGATGCTTGCAGTGAACTGACTCGAGTTAGTCCTTTAACCCTATGTGCATGACCGCTGATGTAACTTAGCGCCTGTACAGACTCATTTCAAGCACGGTAGTGAGTGCGGTTGACGAAACTAGGCCTGCCAGAGACTTGGATCTCATGACTGCCATCAAGTTCTAAATATTCTATACTATCTACTATATTGGATAGTAGATCAACAATATGCAGACCAAAGCAGAGACTATTATGCTGAAATACACATGGTATCAGACATACATCAAGTTAGTTATCACGTTACACACCCACCAACACTTGCCGGCGGCATTTTGTTGAAGAACGACAAGCAAGTTACAAACTGAAATGGGGATACCTACTGTAAGGACTCTTTTCTCCAATCCCTGGATACGATGGCTGAAAGTGTTTTACCTTGTAATGAACTTCATTTTTGCGACGATGTACTAGAATGTATAGGGAGTGTATAGGTTATACGTATTTATCACTGTACTACAGTCATGGACAACTCGAAAGTTTCAGCCGTGGCAGTAGAATTTTTTTCTACCCCTATGATTTCGAGTGTCACGAATCTCTTTCGAGCAGTACCTGGTAAAGTACACACACCCAAAGTATTTCATGTGCGAATCACCTAGTAATAAATTATAATCGAAGTCTGACTGATTCAACGTGGCATCAGTCAGGAATTCAGCAATCTATCCTGTAATAATTTCGGCTAATTACAGTAGTTATATGATAGGGTTCATAAACTATACACTACAATACCATGGACTAGTAATAGTAATTATACGGTCTTACAATATTCTGTTGATACTAAAAAAAAAAGCGTACAAGCATTCTTAGCATAGAATTGATACAAAGCATTTGATTTACAGCAGATTTATATCATCGGGTTTATAAACTATATACTACAATATCATAGACTAGTAATAGTCCTTATAAAGTGTTACAATATTCTATTTACGCTTAAAAAAGGTACAAGTATTTTTAGAATAGAATTGATACAAAGCATTTGATGTAGAGTATTATCAACATGTCAATTAAAAGAGTGATTAATGGCAAAGCTCTCTGTGTTATTAGGCAATCTATTAAAACAATGATGTACAGTATACGAAACTTACAAATTGTGGTCAATTTCCTGTAATTGCCAATAAAAGGGGTAGTCAAAGTACTTGAATAGTCATAGACAGGCTAAATTTTCGTTAAAAATCTTAGCACTTCCGCCTTTCCAATACTGGGCATATAGAATAGAATGGAGTATACTGTACCGTATATATAGCCGATTAATCCTACAGCATCCAAAGTCACAGTTCAAGCATAAAAAGAATGTTACGACGATAGTCTCAATAGCAATTACTTGATTACACTAGTTTCCATTGACAGCTTGCTTACTGTATCACTGAAATCATACCTTTGCCAGTAAATTAAGTAACATTTTAAATTCTCAAACAATAACGTAATCTATTACTAATAGCATCATCAAATACCTTGATGGGGAACACTGGGAATGGGGAGGACACTACGATGCAAATCACGTGGACGAAATGCTGGAAATGATGAAACTAATTTAAACAAATACTGTTTAACAGTTAATCCAGGAAATGGATAACAGAGAAGTTAATATGGTTCAATTTCTACTTATCCGTGGATATAGAATTAAAATAGGATTAAATGAACTACAATCGAATAGTAGGTGATGTAGGGCATAACTGTATCAACTAAAACTGCCGATATGCGTACTTAATATCGACACCAATACCAATGAACAAATTGATCGTTAATGATAATCTGAAAATTCAAAAGCGAAAGGAACCTCTGATTGAAATCACATTTTTTGTATGTTGTCAAAGTATTAGTAGAGTGACTTCGTAAGGATCAATCTTCGATGTGCACGCATTCGAACCTCAAATGCATGCAGAACCTTCTAGAATACTCATTCTATGTATAATATAATAGCCACTAACAAGTTCTAAAATAATATTCCATGATAGAATATATATATGAGCGTTACTGCCATATTTTATTAGTTCGTACTTATAAGTCTTAATAAAGTTCTATGCTTTGCTAATACGCTGTCTCTACACTTGCTCAAGAACTTATCACACATGTTATTGCCTAATGAATGCCGTGTGCTCATAATTATCTTGACAAATAACTGAAAATAGCTTGGAAGAATGCGTTCATCTAATTTCTCTATCGCTTTTTTATTATGAGCGCACCGTGGTAGAATATGTAAAGTCTGGCCAGTATAGTATATCTTGCTATAATATCAAAACTACAGTACTACTATCAACAAAAATAATTGAATAATCTCCTATAGTTTACATTTCTCTTCAGTTTATACATATTAAAAATAAAAAAAATCTTCTATAATTGTATTTGCCAGCTGAAATGCTTCATCTTTCAGCATACCCAGCCATTATTACTGGCGAGGTTTGTTTGTCTACCCATGAGGGAATACAGTAGCGGCAGCTCCTTTAAGATGGAAGCTACTACACTGTCATTTAGAACGAATAGGCTATTGTCACTATTTCTTCTCGATACTCAATCAATAAAATGAATATCGTCCAAAATGCTTTAAGCTAATACTTTGCTGTCGTCAGGAAAGTTCTTATGAAATTCATCCAATCAAATGAATCCTATTAACAAATTTAATAGCCAAAGAACCAATACTGCACACCTCTCACAAAACTTTGTAATTAAGACCAAATTATCTGCTAGGTTGAAGATCGTTTAAAGCCATTGCAGTCCAATCAAATCAGTTATATTTTAAAATTTCAATTTTATTTATTCTTGTAACTCTAACAGATACAAGATGAATACTCAATTTACAAAGCGTATCGACATAGATATTATAGCGATACTAATGAATATAAATACAATATATTAGCGATATATGACAACGTAACAAAATGAATACTAGTAACAATAACGAAATATTTCAAAATCATCCTTAGCAAATCTGAAATATACTTGATTATGTCGATCTCATTCCAAATCCATCAACAGATTGGACATGGACTCGATTAGGATGGCAAGTGCTTTGGTATACTTTCATAAAAACTCGCCGAATTGTTGGAATAAAATAACCATACAAGATAGGATTAATTGCTGGATAACTAAAAGCTAAATACTGACTAACTCGGACAGCTGTCGGATAAAATGGATACCGCCCATGAATTAGATCATCTGGCGTTATAGCTAATGAAAAAATGTAACACACAACAAATGGTGTCCAAGTCACAAAATATACTATTGCTAGAGTCATTAAGACGTAGGCTGTCTTATAATGATGCCTTGAATCCCGCTTATATGTTGCTTTAATTTTATCATCACCAATCGAGTGAGATTTAGCAATCATATAAACTCGTACATAACTATAAACCATTACTATGTTAGGAATGATAAAGAATGCGCAAATAATAACATAATTATAGATTTGTTCCTTATATTGTTGATTTCCTGATAACCATTGTATGCAAACTCCAGCACGTAATTGTCGATATGTAAATATAGGCAAAAAAGACGTAAAAAGAGCGACAATCCAAATTATTATTGTAATAGTTATGGATACTTTAACCGATGAGTAATTTCTATACATAACTGGATATTCCATTGCTATTAGTTTATCGAGACTTGCTGACATTAAATGCAAGTTAATGATGGCTAATGACATTGGGCCAACTACGGTCGTCAATGAACAGTATAACCAGCTTTGGATGAATCGCGGATTAGTAAAACGTGGATAGATATAAACGCAAGCGAACAAGATATTGTCAAAGAACATACTACACATAATTATATTGGTCGGTGTATATAATTTTTTCTTACTTATAATAATAACCATAACAGTTAAATTATTTATAATAATAGCAGCTCCTATTAACGACCAAACAACAGCAGTAGGAATATCCAAGACATAAACTTGTGGAGGAAAGGTAGTATTAACGGGAAGATTAGACATTTTTCTTCTTTAATGTTTTCCTGCCGATGTTAATTTCAATACTGGATATTAGTCATGACCATGAATTCTTAACGCTCCTGTATCAAAAATAAAAATTAGAGAAAATAAATTACTGTAAACAATATAGATTAATCAAGATTGCTAAATAGAAGCGCAATAAATTAAAATCATATATCCAAAAGCTATAATACTTTAGTAGAAATAATGATATTAATAAAATAAATAGATCGCAAAAAGTTAATATCAACGGACTTGAAGCGAATGAATAACAAATAAGATGCTATAATACGCCTAAAAACAGTACTACTATTTCGTAGCTGTATTAGGAGAGAAACTATTAGTTAATCTGAAATAATGATTTATCCACTCTGTCAATTTTTACCATTTAAAATAAACTTAGCAAAGATACTAATTTTAGCATTGATCAATACACAATCGAGCTGCATAATTTAAGAAGATGAATGCATTGTTCACAAAATGAGTGGTATGGCTAGTAAATAACTTAAAGTAATAACATCGCATAAAAATCTAAGATGAAATCAAAACAATAGTAGAAATAAGTTAACTAAAAATTTAAAGTTTCATAAATAAATTTCTACGTTGTAATTAGCAGCAAATCTGACAGAGAATAAGTATACCATAAATTGTTATAAAAATTGAAAGGCACCCAACAAGAAAAGAAACTAGTCCAATATTTAACAGACTTGCCATAACTGAGAAAGTAACTATAACTTTGTAATGTCGTCATATTTTACGCAAATAGGGAAAAGAATTACACGAAAGTTGAAAATAGAAAATTGTGAAAGAAGAGAAATTTTAATAAAATCATTATTGCCGTCTGTTATTGATAAGTATACGCAAATGAAAACCCTAGTTGTTATCGCCTTATCAAAAATTTATAATCATATCAAATTAATACTATTATTGTACATAACATTAGCTGATATCAACTACTGTACGCTAATATATGGACAGTTTCAAATCTCTACAAGGTTCTAACAAAAATTATAAGTACATGTATAATAAAAAGATGAACCATTAAATAGTGAAGATTACTTGCCTAATGACTCGACTATCTCGACACCAGTTTTTTAAGCCGTATCAAAATGATACAAGTTTCTGATATTGCAAAATTTTATTAACATACAACCACAATAAACTATAGCTCTAACTAATACCGTAGAAGAATTATAAGTTGATGTCTCTAATAACCTCGAATAAAATTTACGAGTAGCATATGTATTCATGTAGAAGGCAATTAAAAGGTGGCGTGGAATCTGCAACGTTAATGTTCTCTATGATGACGTAAATGACATTTGGGAATGAAGTAAGCTTTCAGTATTACTAAGAATGGAAAGGATGTCTATAATAGGTAATACCGGATCTTATTTTCTGAACATCACATCGTCATCTACTCTTTCTTTATAATTAGTACTAGTACAGTACATGGATTTTTTATTCTTCTATGTTTCAAGTATCATTCATATTGATCATCCCAAAAACTGGCTTTTAAACTAAGAATGCTAATTTCGGTATAACAATTGTTCTAATATTTAAGACAAAAAGATAGTTCGATCTATATTTATCTGCAGTATTCTAAATAAGTACAGAAATACATAACTTGGTAACGGAAGCTGGAGTTACATTTAAACTAATGATGAGTTAATACTAATCATCTTACTATTCTATGAGATAATAAAAATATAATCTTAATATTCAAAAATTATTAAACCAATATGATAGATGAAAAATACGGATTTTTGTATAGCATACAGGAATAAATTGATAATTATAGTGTGGTCACAGTAGAGAAGTTATAAAATTATTTAGGATCACGACCACATCATTAAAAATTCCTCATCCCTTCCATATGCTAATTTAATGTTGAAATAGATCAGTAATAGCATGCCATACTTTGCCTCTGCCTAGAGGTTCGACAACTGTCATAAGCCAAATTATTAATTACATCTGCATTCAGATTCCCTTTACTTACAAGAAACTAATTCAAAAAGCATAGAAGCAATGCAAGCATAAGCAATGACGATTTTTGCAATACTATGTGCACTTTTTACTATTGTTCATCGTGTAATTTGAAACATTTTTAAAATTTTACTATGACTTTCAAATGCTATATTACACTATCATGCACTCGCATCTATAGCTCTTAGCTCACCCAATAGTATATATTTAATCGTTACTTGAAATTCAAAAATTTATCAACTATAATTGAAAATTAATCTTAATATATGTAGTTGTCAACATTTCAATTGCAGGATTAAATTAAGAAATAAAAATAATATTTCATTTTAGTTACATAAAAACAGGGATAACCCTAAATAAAACCAGTCTTTGTTGTTTTTCATAAAGTAATGCCTTTTCAGTATCGGCTTTTAGACTTTACTAAAAGCTCACAAGCACATTATTATAGCTCAAAGAATCCGTATTCAATTCTAGTCTCACGGTAATTTTGGATGCTATCGACATTATTATCAATAAATAAAATTTTAAAAATATTTCTCTCAAGTCTCATCACTCAAGTAACTAACAATCTCAATAACAAATTTACAAGTAGATTCATACTTTTGGATTTGTCGCGTGACAAAAAATACAAAGAAAACTGATCATAGATCGTAACGATTATTAATTCTTTTCACAAAGACAACACTGAATATATTCACAGCCATACTAAATAATGATAATGACTAACTGTAAAATCGCGTCTTAATGATACGAAGTGACAATAAAATTAAATTAAAGGCAAGCTATAGCTCATGTATAAAACAAGAGATTCCTCGTATTAGCACTTGCTGGCATCTAAATTTTTCTGTCATAAAACTCATTTAGCATTACCTGTATTTTTATTCAAGCTACGTGAATTGTAGGAATGAAATCTTTATGAATAACAGCAATAAAACATCTATGTATTTTGCTAGCTTGAAACAATCTTTGCTAGACGTACTTCGCTTATTAAGTGATAACAGTCTATCCTCTGCCAAGTGAATCTCTTCATAATAATTCAAATGGAAGGTATCATTAATTAAGCTCATTCTGTTTCAGAATTGTTTTATTTAAAGTTTCAGTAAATTCATTAGCAAAACATAAAGCATTTTTAGCTTATATTGCTGATCTTTTTTACGTACAAAACACTTTCGATGGCATTGATTACTAAAGCAAATTCTCTTTATATTCATTACATTACGCAATAGCGTAAAATTTTTTAAACATATTGCCTTTATTACAGAACTACTTTGAAAGCTTATTAATTATCAGTGATATTTGAGAAAATTTGAGATATTACTTCATTAGTCTTATGAAATTTGGAAACTTAAAAAGCGAAAATTCATTTAACTTGACTGCAAGAACCATTTTTAATTTATACTCAGTAACTTCGCACCATAATGAATATCTAATTGAAATCTTGATAGTGAATATATAGCTACTGTCAATTTTTATCACTGTATTTGATAAACTTTTACCAAATATTTACTGATCGAACGTAAAAGGTCAAACAGATTCTACAGTAAATTTTAATTATGTCTCAAAATTTTTGTAAATCGTAAGCGTTGCTAGTCGAGAATTCCTAGTTTCAAATACTGCTCAACCAATTATCTATTGAAACAATCGTCCGTAAAATTTTTGGTAAAGACAGGAGAATCACTGTACGCTATTTCATAACAGAGTAAACGCTATCAACATCATCCATATCTGTATAGAGATAGTAAAATTTCATCTCCTGGTAACACTGCTCCTCCCTATTCCAGTGGTTAAGACGTCCTCTTAGTTGCGACAAACCGCTAAGAAAGACCGAAGATTGATGATAAAGTGAAAATAATAATTCTGGATATCCTACATACATATAGAACGGTAGTGTCGTAACTACAATTAATTTTAGTTTATCAAAATTGAGTTTTAAGTTATGACAGATTATCGAGTGCGGTAAATGCTAAAGAAACACATAAGAGCAGACGTAGGCGATACCATAATTATGTTTACGCGTACTTAATATTAATTAAAGCCTACTCAGTGAGTGCTATATAGTATGTTGTCGTCGAATAGAATTTTTGGATTTCCATTACTCGTGAACAGTCTTTATTCGGCGATAAAATTCCGAATACTTATTCCTTCAAAATTCTCTTCTTGCAGGCAATTAAAATTCTGCGATGATTCGATATAAGCACAGTTACTAATTTGATCGATATAAAGCCATAATTTGCAATCTTAATATAAGAATATATCTTTCTGCAGCAGTTATATGCTCCGAAATTGATACCGCTTTTTCTAGCTATTATAGCATTTATCGCTGTTCTTGATAAGGAATGAAGTATAAGGTAGCATCAACTATATTTTCTAGGTAGTAATTTTGAAATTTCATAAACGAAATCTTTAGTTACTGTAGGCTAGATAAATTCAAGAACTAGTAGCACTCCTCATCAATTTTACTTATACTACATAAGACCGCTTCGCAAAGTCCAGTACAAAGCATATTTTGCAATCTGCTAAAAACTGCTAATAATAATTACAGCATCGTAATATTGCTGTCGGTGACTTAGCGAAAACTTTCTGGCTGCTTTCAAAAAATCGAATCATAACTTTACAATCATATTTATCCTTCTATAACCTTACAATATCTAAGGCAGATCCGTGCTATAAATTTTTCATCCTAATACAATGCAATGATCGCTTATCTCAATTGGATTTCTTATGAATTTCTGATATCATAATTAATACTAAATTGAATGAAATTATGGATCTAGCAGTTTACTCTACACTTACTGTCACAGGATTCGTTTCTACAACCACTAGGTAAATCTATTCAATATCAGTACAACTCTAAAATAAGAAAATCGAACGACTATCACCTAAGACTGATTTTATCACAATTTCTTTACTCTATAAAATAACGAGTCATAATAGACAGATTCCAACTCGAATATGAGCGTTTTCTGTAACACTCTCTGCCCGCTCGATGTCTCCCTCTACAAAGTCGGTTTATTTGCCAT